CTCTCTCTCTCTCTCTCTCTCTCTCTCTCTCTCTCTCTCTCTGTGGATTGTCATCAACAACAACAGCAAATAATTATTATTTAAAACACAAATCAGAAATCAGAAATGAAATTTTCTCTCTGGAAAACATATGTCATCACAAGATTTGTGGCTTCTTTTTTCCGTCGTCGACACTAAATGCGTTCAATATTAATCAATCAGGTCAAAAGTGACGATAATTTATTCTCCAGGTAAATTCTTCCTCCTACTTTCCTGTAAACTACTGTATCAGAATATTAATGATCTTTGGTGGTGGTCATCATCAGAAATTTTTTCCTTAATTAAATCATCATCGTCATCATCGACATAAACGCCCACGCACACCCACCCACCATTTAACACTCACGCACACACACGGGAATAAATTTCAAAAATGATTACCTTTACAAATAAATGTCAACATGAATATGATCAACAACAGAATTGTCATTTGATGATAATGTTGATGGTGACGGTGACGGTGGTGATTTTGGTGATAAATTTTCGAAATAAACGTCGAAAATGAATTCATTTTTGAAATTATTAATTTTTTCATCATAATCATAATTCATTCATTAACCATGATTAATCATTATCATAATTAAGTGAACAAACGAACGAAAAAACTGAGCTTTAAACTGAAAATTGATTTATTTTTTCGGTCGATTTTTGATTTTAACACACACTGGATCAACTGGGGGGAGAAAACCACCAGCACTTTGATGATAATTTCAAAAAAAAAATATTCTTGAAAAACCAAACGAGAAAAAACTGAAAAAAACCCCAAGAGTGTGTGCATGTGTTGACAGGTTGACTTCAAGCTTACAACTGAACCGTACACAAACCGAGGCAGAGAGAATTGTCGGCTACAAAAATCATCAAGTTTTTTTGGTTCTGAAAATGAAAATGGTGATAATGTGTTTTTGGATATAGCGGGAGAGAGAGAGGGGGAGAGACGGGTATTTTTTCAGTTATTTTCTCCGGTTATTATTGCTGTTTTGTTGCAGGTTTTTCATACATTATATGTTGTTCAGTATAGGTTTCCCGTTATATATTTTTAGTTTATAGTTTCTGACGCCAAGCAAAGAGTGATGATAAAACGGGAAAAAATGGATAGAAATCAGCGCATAACCTAACCAATTTTATTCATTTTTTTATAGCCCACATTATTTTTTGATTGGATGGGTTGGACGGTTGTTTTCTTTCTGATGGCGCCAATTTTATTATCATCATCGTCGTTGTCGGATATATATTTATTTATTACCACATGGTCTAATTTCGATTTTTTTTCTTCGTTTTCTTTCGCATAGAAAATGTTGGATTTTTTTTTTGGACAAAAATTTTTTCATCAACCTAACCTCACTCAACTATAAATCACAGTCATAGTCATAGTCATGGTCATCAACCTAACCTCACTGAACTATACGGCTTATACAAATCCTGTGACTTATAAGACATACATAAATTACGATAAACAATGGATAATTTTCTAACCAATCTGTGATCATGATCCTGGAACAGAACAAACGAAAACTTTCAATCATTTTTAGTACTGTTCTTTTCTGTTTTGTTTTGTTTGAATCATAAAGGCCAAAACAATAAATAATAATCATAATGATAATTTGAAACATTTCTCTTTCTCTGGATCCATTTATTTTCTCTTTTTTTGATTCAATTCTTACTAACATTTTTTCTCTTTCTTTTAGTTGTCATTACTGTTAGACTTTATGGAAAAATTAATGAAAACAAAACAAAAGCGAAAGTAGAGATGTTTTCATGAACACACACACATCGATCAAACAAAACGAAAAATGATTCGGCTCATTGATTTTTCTTCTTTTCATTTTGCCATCCTCCCCAAACTACTATGTTATCGATTACGTAATGATAATAAATTTTAATTGAAAAGTTTTTTCTCTTATTGTACAACAGTTTTAAGTATCGAATTTCGATCGATGTGTGTTTGTGTGGGTGAACAGGCACACTTACCTGAATGTCATTGTTAATATTGTTTGTTTGTTTTGTTTTCTTATTGATTATTACATAATGACAGTACAGTAGACAAGCAATGCATGTTATCTAGAAAATATTGTGTAATTGTATTGTGTGATCCAATCAAATTTTTGTGTTTTTCAAAAAATTAATATCAAGTGATCACCATGTGTGTTAGCTAGAGATGTGATCGGTTGCAAAAATACGTTTGTTTCATCATGAATATCCACCAAGTTGACAAATATCACTGATTTGGATTAATGATGTCTTTTCCACTTGTTAGCCATCCATCCATCATATCATTCTGAATGAGGAAAAATTCATATTGTACCCGCATGATGAAAATATTTATCAACATTAGTAGTCATTATTTGCTTTACTGTGATAGGCCATAAATGAAGAATATCATAAAAAGCCATCTTTTTCTTCATCAATCGATTGATGATTAAATTCTCTCTCTCGTTTCAACTGGTTAGTCCATCGATCGATGATGATTTACCTGTTTGTCTGTTAGCTGTGTGCAATTACCACCACGTACATGCACCTTACACATCCCCAACTAGCAAATAAAATAATAAAATAATAAAATAATAAATGATCATCATCAAATATTGAATTTCTTTCCATTTGTCATCATCAAAATTATCGATTCTTTTCCTTTCCTTTCTTCTTATTTCAACAAAACGAAACGAAATAAATCTTTCATTTATCGATTTTCCACAGGCATTTCATTCATTCATTGATTGTGGTTGTTGTTGTTTCATTGTTATTTTCAAATTACTTTCTTTGAAAAAATCATCATCATCTTGTTTCTCTCTCCTATATATCAATAATCATTGTTTTGTCCATCTATTCAGCTTTAATAATTTTTAAAATTTGAATGAAATTTCAAAAATTCTTTTAGTTTTGATTTTTGAATGAAAATCTATCTTTGATTGATTGATAATCAATGAAAATTTTAAAGAGTTTATAATTAAATTGATTTTTGGCATAGTTTGGAGGGTAAGTGAATTTGTTTGTTTTTCATTTCAAATGTACACTCACCAAGGTTATTCAACAAATTAGACGTATTCAAATGCAAAATTATGAAATGAATAATTATTCTGTCACATTACCATTCATCATTGTTTTTCAAATAAATAACAACTAGATAAAACAGTATATACTTGTTGTTTATCTGTCGATGACAATGATGATATTCGCACAAACACACACATACACACTCAGATACTTAGATAATAATGAATGAATGATAATATTTCAATGTCAGATTCTCATAAAAATATTCAGGTAGATTTAGTCATATGTTCATCCATCGGCTATAATTATTAATAAAAATAAATTATTTTATCGTTAAATGGCAATCATTTTCGATTGTAAACACGCCAAAACAATCTTATTTTGCCACTATCTTCTTAAATCCTTAAAATCACTGAAATCCAGAAACAAACGAAAAAAGAATGATAAGAAAACCTTGGCGATTGATTCCCTTTGCCTGCTCAAACTGAATCATATTAGTCATATTATCGATTAGTTTTTCATTAGCGAAATTCACGGCCGTATAATAATGTTCTTGTTTTGATCATCATCCTCCATGATACCTTTGATTGATTGAATCGATTTTTTTGTCTCTGTTGTTTTGATTGAACAAATCCGTTCAACAAAAAGTTTCTAATCGAATTGAATTGAAATGAAAACTTCTTAGTTTAGTTTGTATGATCATCACCGACGAAACATAAATAATGTTTGAAATATCCAATCTTGATGATGACGACAATTCACACAATTGAATGGCAGCAACAATAATTTCTATCTTAAGAAAGATAAACACCGCTGCTGTATACGTATCTGCTGCTATGGATGATGTTCTCACCAATCCAGAATAGAATGCATGATGAAAACATTATTTTCATTCAACAAACAGAAAGAGAAAGTCTTTATTTTTCTTTCTTTCTTTTCGATTTCTTTCTTGGATGAAACATTGTGTGTTGGTAAGATGGCATGTTTTTTTGGGAAGTTTTTTCTTTCGCTAACAAGTTGGTCGCGCATCTAACTAACTGCCCTTGAGCTCAATTCAATTCATTTTTTCCTGCTATATTCCAAACATGCGATTCGATTGATCCTATCTATGCATTCATTTCATTTCTTATGTGTGCTCAGGATGAACATTCAATCAATTTCAAATCTTGTTTTTTAAATTTTGTTTGTTGATGCTGATCAACAGAAAAAAAATTTACGACGACAACATCGATCAGCTATATTTGTGTTTTGTTTTGGTCAGTTCGGTAAAATTAGTGACCATATGAATTCTATCGAAATCAATTTTTGATTCTTTTTTGACCACACGTGTCAACACGTGCAACGTATGTGATTTTCGGTAATTTTTCAATGATAAAATAATGTCCACCTGAAATATTTGTTCAACTTTGTCCTATGTTTGTTATTTCAAGTCTGGTTTTCACCATTTTTATCATTTATGATAATCGAATGATGTGTTGTGTGTTTGATGATTGGCGAAAAATTATTTGTTGAAATTGATGTCCTGTAATGACGTAGATAAAATGATTTTGATTTGTGATTTGCTATTTGATTCGGCATTGATAGCTATGTTTATTTTTTCGTTCGTTCACATTATTAATTAGGATATTAGTATGGGTCATGATATACATTTTTGTTTATCAAAAATTTTGCTTGAATTCTTTTTTTGAAAACCTTATTCTGGTTGAATCTAATCTTTAAAATTTCCATTGTTTTCTATTTTCAACAGTCAATTTAAAAAAGCATCATCATCAAGACATTTGATTGATTAGCACAGTTTTTAAATTTTAAAAATCGACGTACATCATTTTGTATCATATTCGTCGAAACATTTCTATTTGGGTATTTTTTCCAATAGGCTTTTTCATTTTCCCCATATACGTCAGCTACAAAACAACAACAACATTATAATCATATCATCGTATTCACACCATTCCAACATATAACGCTATCAACATCGTCAAAATAAATATTTCACCAAAAAAACTACAATAAAATTAAATAACGACAAATAATAGATATATCGACAAGAGGACAAACACAAATAGAAAATGATAAAAAATCCTTTCACCAATCATTCATATGTATCGGATGAAGCGGATGTTGTCGCTATCAATGATAATCGACATGCGTCTCTCAATCGTTTCCGTCGTTTAACGTCAGTAAACGAGACTGACGAAAAAGTTAAACGTGATCCGGCGTTAGCTTTGGCCAAATTGGTTGAAAAAACAGAAAAGAATGGAGTCTATGTCAATAAAGGTTTGATCATGGAAGATGAACGTTCAACACAATCCACACCAGGAGCTATTACACCAACAAGTATTCGTCCACCAAAAATTGCTGTCGATGTTCGTGATGTTACATTTGCCTATGGTTTTGGACAAAAATCATTACTAACCTTGAAGAAAATCAATGTTTCAGTGCCACAAGGCAAAATTTATGCTCTTCTTGGATCCAGTGGTTGTGGTAAGTTTCTTTACTCAAAATTTATTCAATTTAGAACAGAAAAACAGTTTCCATTTTGCAATCAAACTCTATATTCAACAAAAACAAAGTCATTAACACACTGTAGTTGCAAATAATAATATATTGAACACAACATGCAGTTTGCTACTAATTAAATCCAAAATCTTGCAATCATTTTCAATGAGTCCAACATTATCAAGGATATCTTCTCCTTTTTTTGAAATATCTATCTGATGTTGTTGTTCGTTGATCGATGAAGCATTACGAATAAATTTAAGTAGTACTTTTAACTTAGGAGGAGAATTATTTTTTGATTTTCTTAATAATTTTTTTAAAATAATATGCTAAAACTGGCTCAATTAATCATATAAAATTATAGGCAAAACAACCTTATTAAGATGTGTACTTGGTCGGTTACAACCACAATCCGGTGTAATTCGGGTATTCGGCCAGGAACCTGGATCGGAATACAGTCCAGTACCCGGTCCTGGTGTTGGTTATATGCCACAAGAATTGGCATTATTTCCTGATTTCACCATCAAAGAAACTTTAAGATATTTCGGGCAATTATATCGAATGTCACCAAAAGAAATCAAAGCAAGAACCAAATTTCTCATAACACTTCTTCATTTACCGGAAAAAAATCGTCTAGTTTCACAACTTTCAGGTGGTCAACAACGGCGTGTATCGTTGGCATCGGCATTAGTACATCGTCCACCATTGTTGATTTTGGATGAACCAACCGTAGGTGTTGATCCAGTTCTACGTAAAGCTATTTGGGAACATTTAGATGCATTATGTCGGGAAGATGGCTTGACAGTTATCATTACCACTCATTATATTGAAGAAGCCAGAACAGCCGAAACTGTTGGTCTAATGCGTTTCGGACGTTTATTGGTACAATCAAATCCAGAAGAATTACTAGTTAGACATGGTTTGCCTACATTGGAAGCTGTATTCTTGAAACTTTGTCAATTAGATTCAGCACAAATCCCCGAAAGTGTTAAAACTGATGCGGCCAACAATACTATTGTCGCTTATAGTGGCGGTAGTGATGCGATTGAAACGAAAAAAGTGGATGATAATCTTCCCATGGTCACTGTTAATTATGAAAAAAGTGATATCGAAAGAAGTCCAAACAACAACAACAACAGTGATGATAATAATAATATTGCCAATAATAACAATGCTATCAGTCTTGCGCCAAATACTGCTGGTAACTATTCCTCATATTTAATTACCAATTAACAATTAACATAATTCTTATTCAAAACAGGTAATCTTTTGATTCCAATGTCAACATCGTTCAAAGATGTATCGGCACGAGCAACGCCATCTACACAAAGTCCACGAATGTCATTTTCGGAACGAGGATCGACCGGTGATTTTGCCCAATTACAGTTACAAAATCAAATCAGTGTCGAAGGCGAACGACGGCGAATGTTCGATTTGAACCGTGTTATGGCATTATTCATCAAGAATTCTATTCGTCTGAAGCGAAATGTTCCCATTCTGTTGTTTTATTTCTTTTTACCTTCCATTCAAATTGCCTTGTTTTGCATATGTATTGGACAAGACCCGAAAAATATTCCGGTTGCTGTTTATAATGCTGAAGATCCACCTGGTCTAAGTGCCGAATATCTTTCGTTTGTTAATCCGGAAATTGTTGTACAAGTACCTTATCCATCATTGGAAGAAGCGCGACAAGCGGTTGTGGATGGTAAAGCATGGGCTGCATTGCATTTTTCACATAATTATTCGGCATCCTTAAATCAAAGAAGAATAATGGTAATATCACTTTATTATTTCTCAAAACAAATTCTCAACCTTTCATCATGACAATATAGGCTGGAAAAGCGGATAACGACACAATCGAATCATCCAACATAAAACTTTACCTGGATATGTCCAATCAGGTTATTGGATTTGTTTTGTTGCGTACATTTTTCCTGGCGTTTCAATCATTTGCACAAGATTATCTATCGATTCTCGGTTATAATCCAGCTACAGTAACATTACCGATAACAATTGAAAAAGTCATCTATGGTACTGTCAATCCATCGATGACTGAATTTATGGCACCCGGTGTTATCATACTGATTGCATATTATGCGACAACTGCATTGACTGCATTGTCGCTAGTATTGGAACGTAAAGACGGTCTATTGGAACGATCATTAGTAGCCGGTGTGAATTCCTTCGAATTTCTCATATCACATATTATGACACAAACTATTGTCCTTTCTATACAAGAAGTATTCATGTTGGCAACAACATTCTATATATTTAAAGTGCCATCAAGAGGTCCAATGATTTGGGTTTTTTCATTAACATTTTTCCAAGGTTTGTTTGCCATCAATTGCTTATCAATTTCTAATTTGATCATTCCGTTAGGTGTGGCTGGCGTCATGTTTGGATTGTTCATATCATCACTTTGTGCTGATGAGGTATCAGCTGCCATGTTAGGTATGGGATCATTTTTCCCGACCATTATGTTGGGCGGTATTTTCTGGCCCATTCAATCCATGCCTGATTGGATGGCATCGCTGGCCGCCTTTTTGCCGCAAACATTACCCGTTGAATCGATGCGTTTTATACTGTCGCGTGGTTGGGGTGTAGAATATTTCGAAGTAACATTGGGTTTTATTGCCACATGGGGATGGATTTTGGTATATTTGGTTGCCGCTGCATTTATATTCAAAAAATACACTTAGTCATCATAGTCAATCAGTGATTGCCTTCTCCTCATCAATCAATCAACAACAAACCAAATCATACGCATTCCTCATCATATTCTCTTTTTGTGCAGGGTTTTTTTCCCAAACAAATTTAGTTTTTTTGGTTCTATGTATTTTTTCTTTGGCTAAACTTTTTGCTTAGAAATAGAATTTCAAAATCAATCATCACAAACAAAATCCGAATCGATTGAATCGATTTTGGATGGAGAAAAACATGACAAACTTCATTTGTGAATCTTAATCCTTTATTATTAATATTATTATTGTTCCATATCATTATTAATGACTGTTTAGTACCTGCAAAAGAAAAGTCCTGCATTCAATCAATTGATCAACTATCGAACTTCTTTCCTATCTCCTCTTCTATCTCTCTCTCACTCTTTCGATTCGAATTGGATAATTTATAATGATAATAATTTATGTTGTTTTTAATTTTTTTTCAATATTGAAAAATCAAATCAAATAAAACAAACATTATATTAGTTTTTTTCAATTTTTCAATTTCCCGGTGAAAAATGATCAAACGTGCGTGTACACCTTGAAAATAACATGGTGCAAGTCATCCTCAATTCCTTCATTGATATGATTAAAAAACACCATTATCATTGATGATGGTGATAAATGGAGAAATTTAATACAGAGTTTCATGTTGCAAAGTTCATCGGTAACAAATGTCTTAAGTTCGATCATCATGTACAGATCACGTGTATGCGTCAAGGAAAAAATGACAATGGAATGTTTTAAAAGTACTAAAGTTTTTCTTTTTTCCAAATTGCTGATGATACATTGGACTTATGGATTCATATGTGTTACATCATCATTGACATCCAATTTCATTGAATCTCAATCAAAATGCTTCAATTTTGCACTATAATAAAACAATAAAAATAAACTCAAAATGCATTTTGAAAAGTGGAAAATTTTCCATTTCTTATGGAAACGGATTTGAATTGATCTAATTTTCATTGATAAATTGAAAATTAACAAATCATTTCATTTCCTCAACCCACACACTGCACTGACCATTATTGAATTTTCACTAAACAAAATCAATCGGTGAGTGAAATGTATTTGTATGATAATGTCTATTCAAGCGTGTTGTTTTCAATGAGATTTCAATGAAAATCGTTTTATCTGCGTATTAGTGTGTAATCATTGTTGTTGTTTAGTAAATTGGTTTCCATGTAATTCGGTTTTTTGTCAATTATGTATTGTTTTTAGTTTTTTCCTTCATTTAATTTCAATTAAATCAAACCTGCAACAACACCATAACAAAAACAAACCATTTGACCACACCGTTCGATATGTGATCGATTACCTACCAACCTGGATGATCGTCATTGATGTTAATTTAATTTATTCATAACTTTGTTTGTTGAAGGGCAAAAACAATCACGATTTTTTTGCCCTTCGATAATTCTTTTTCTTAAAAAATTTTATATTTTTTAAAATAATGTGATTGACATTGGCTAAAAAACACAGCAAGACAAAGTAAAAGTAACAGTTATTTGATTTTCCATTATGCTCCTCTACATTATTGCAGTTTAGAGTTGTTTCTCTCTCGTTTTTCATCGTATCAAATCGCACATAGAGACAAACGAGACATTCAATTTTGTCGTCTGTCTGTCGTCATAGATTATTTGGAAAAAGAAATAATTTTCAATGAAATTAAATACAAAACTTGGATTGTTATTCTTCATTTCATTTGATTGGCCAATTGCAAATATCAATTTGGTTTCATCATCATCACCATCATCAGTCGTCATCATATAGAAACTATATTTTGTCCATCCATTTCTATATAATCATCATAATTTAGCAAATCATAAATTTGATTTGCGACGCTACTTACCAAGCACAACTGTTGAGTTATTTGATTGAGTATTTTTTTATTTGAGTTTCTGCCTGTGTATGTTGTCCATCATCATTTTGTCTTCAATTTTGTTATGAACAAAAAATATTGTTCCATCAAACAAGGAAGACATTCATTTTTTCTATTGATGCTCTGTGATTTTTTTGATTTGTGATATTTTGGTTGTTATGATTTGTATCATGTGTGATGCTGGTGAAATGTGAATAACATTCTCTGTTTAAAAAAAATACATTACTCAGGACTTTTTTCGCACAAATTCCGTTACTTTCTGAACGCTGATATTTTTTCTGATTGAAAATAGAAAACTGATCCAAATTTTTTTCAACAACAAATATTATCAAAGAACGACAACCAGTTTTTATCATCATTATCGTTTCATTTCGGTTTGATCCGGATTTTGTTGGTCCAAAAAAATGTCAAATCATTTTTTTGCTAATTGAAACATCAAATAGATTTACCTAAAGGTAATTAATAATAATAATAATAATTTCTTGCAACTTGGTTTCCTTGGTTATTTAATAATCACTATTATGCTTGTCACAAATTCATTAAAAAACAATATGATAGCCAAAATAGAGAAAGAGAGGGAATCACTTGTTGCTGTGTTATGTTTATTATGGTGATGATGATGTCAATGGTATATGATGGGCATAACCAGATTTCATAATCATCAACAATTATCTAAACCGGACTTTATACAGTCACTATCAATAATGATAATCATGTTTTGGCATTTCAATTGATTTTTCCCTATAAATCCGGTTCCATTCAATAATGATTTTTTTCACTTTCGATTCTAGTAAAAGAAAAAAATCAATGAAAAACAATTAATTAATTTAGGGAAATCCCATTTAGCAATATTACATTAGAATCTAATTAGATGGTCATTTGGAAAAACAAATTCATCATCATTGATCGAATTGATCGATCGATTGTATTTCATTATTAATTTCGAAACAAAGCAAAAAAATGATCCAAATACAAATGTTTGTTACATGTATATTGTACATGATTGCTTTATAAAAATGATAATTTATCGAATGAATTACATAATGGTGATGGATGGATTATTCAATCTTTTCAAATATATTTATATTTATTAAATTCTCTACATTTTCTAGTCTAACGGAATTTGACGTTTGTTAGTTTGTCCATAATTTTCATGCATATAAATCATGGTGATGTATTGTGTCATCGTCAAACATGGCCAAACATCAATCAGCTTAACTTATGCACACATTCAATGCATGTCATCATCATCATCATTAATTTGGTTTAACCATGTATGGCGGCTGGCTGGATGTACATAGTGAAACATGTGATTTGATAATGATTAGTTTTCGTTCTGAATTTTTTTGCCCCGATAATAATGATGATGACAAGTGAGTGAGTAAATGAGTAATAATTCGAAAAGATTAATAGAGAAAAGTGATTGATTTGATTGATTGATTTTGTGATAATCAATCCATTTGCTTTCCATATGCCATCATTTTTTGGGGATAGAAGTAGTGCAAACGGAAAAATTTATTGAAACAAAATTGTGGTGGTGGTGGCATAGTTTTCTGAATGATGATTATGGATAAGATATGGTGATAATAATAATCATAAAAAAGGTTTCGTTTTTGTTTTTTGTTAATTTGATTTGAATGATCATCATTCATTCAGTATTTGTCTTTCATATCTCATCAATCAAACACACGATCTCATCATTGGTTTTTGGCAAATAAAAAAAACAACACAGAAAAATTCTCACATAAAAATTGTGTTTCGTTTTCATTTTATTTGACCAGAAACAAAAAAATTTTTCCTGATATCGATCTCATCACATCCTAAATGAAAAAAATCGATTTGATTGATAGAAAAATTTTCGAGAAAAAAATCTGAACAAGCATCGTCTATTTTCTAAAATTGATTTATGATTTGATAAAATTATTGATTTTGATTTGCTCCGTTTTCATTTTTGCCTCGCAATCAATCCCAAATATTTGGTTGTAATCGTTTCTTTTTTATTGAGATTATCATCATCACCCAAACAAAGATTAACACACTTACCATTAATCATAATCATCCACATTATCAACCACAACCAAAGCAAAGAAACATCGTCACAAGACCGATTTTAAATAAAAAACAAAACACGCACATTACACATTATTGATTGATCCTAACAAGCAAAAACAAAACAAAAATCAATCAAACTTTGAAAAAGTAAAAGAATTTTTTTCCTGAATCTTTAGTCTTGCGAAACGATTTAATTGACAATAATCTTTAATTAATTGGAAAACAAAGAAACGATTTAAGAATGGCAATTACGGCACATGTAGTTAGTTCGGAAGTTTGTGGTGGTGATAAATCGATAAAAAAATATACTGTCTATAAAATAGTCGTGGAATATGGACAACAATCATGGGTGTTTTATCGTCGTTATAATGAATTCAGTAAATTATGTGATTCAGTAAGTAATATTTTTTTAATTCAACTTCTATGTAATTCTTATCTGACTTTTGCTGGTTAGCTTAAAAAACAATATCCATATCTTCACCTGAAATTACCGGGTAAAAAATTATTTGGAAATAATTTTAGTACAGATTTTATCCGATCAAGACGTCAAGGTCTGGATACATTGGTGCAACGCATATTTGCCGAACCACAACTTTTGGATCTGTAAGTGAAAGTCTAAATTCGAATTATTTCTCATGATTTTTCTGTATAGAACCGAAGTGCGGGATTTTTTCCAATTTGATAATAGCCTGAAAAATAGTATGGATGATGAAGAAGATGATGAAAATTCCCAAACCAATTCATTCGATTCAAATAATAGTGATTCGAAAATTACAATAAATTTGGGTCCATCAGAAAAATCTAGCTGCACACCAAGTGATTTTCAATTTTTACGTATGATTGGTAAAGGTAGTTTTGGTAAAGTTTATTCGGCACGTCATCTGAAAGAAGATAAAATATATGCCGTCAAGGTTTTATATAAAAAAATGATATTGAAAACTAATGAAAAGAATCATATAATGAGTGAACGTAATGTTTTGCTTAAGAACCTGAATCACCCATTTTTGGTCGGTTTACATTATTCATTTCAAACAAAAGATAAACTTTATTTTGTTCTCGATTATGTTAATGGTGGGGAAGTAAGTTATCATTTAATTTATTTATATTGACAAACAATGACATTTTCTTTCATTTTCTTTAGCTCTTCTTCCATCTAAGCAAAGAAAGAGCATTTACCGAACAAAGAGCACGGTTTTATGCTGCAGAAATTACCAGTGCAATTGGTTATCTCCATTCACAAGGCACAATATATCGTGATTTGAAGCCGGAAAACATTTTACTCGATTCAGAAGGTCATATTGTTTTGACCGACTTTGGCCTATGTAAAGAAGGACGTGAAACGACCAATACATTTTGTGGTACACCTGAATATCTGGCACCCGAAGTTTTACGTAAAGAAGCATATGATCGTTGTGTTGATTGGTGGTGTTTGGGTGCTGTTCTTTTTGAAATGCTCAATGGATTGGTAATTGAATTTTGATTTGTTTTTCGACAAATTTTAATAAAATTTCATCCAAAATAGCCACCGTTTTACAGTCGTGATAATGCCGAAATGAGTGATAATATCCTACATAAACCAGTGCGGTTAAGGGCAAATATTTCAGCTTCAACCAGAAATATTATCGAATCGGTATGAGTGAAATGAAATTGAATTAGCCATGCCATTATTAATGATTTTTACAAAAAGCTATTACAAAAAGATAAACGAAAACGTTTAGGCGCCATTGAAGATGCCGAAGAAGTCAAAAGACATGAATTTTTCAAACCAATCAATTGGATTGATTTGGAAAACAAACGCATTCCGCCACCATTCAATCCCAATGTGGTAAGTTATTTGAATTTTACTGAAATTTTCTAATTGAAAAATCCTATTAATTTATAGAGAGATAATTATGATCTTCGGAATATTGACCCAGAATTTGTTCGGGAATCGATACCGAATTCAGTAATGAGAAATGGAATCGGAACAAACGCCAGTTTGAATGATAATGCTTTTCAAGGATTTTCATATGTTCCAGCCGCAACTATAACAAATTTTTGATCAAGTCAAATCAAATGAAATATCAATTATCAGGCACACATCAATCACATCAAACAAAAAAATCATAAAATCATTTTGTTTATTATCTAATTATTAATTATTTTTTATTATCATTAAAAATGTTTTTTTCCTTATAAAACTTATTAAATTATTATGATATTTGTACAGGCAAGCGAAACAAATTTCTAACTCTAATAAAAATAATGATTTGTTGCCATTTCAAGTTTCATCTGATTCGCTATCATCATCAGTGTCGTCGTCGTCGTCATTGGAACTATTTGATGATGATGATGTTTTGGCTTCTGATTCGGATCGATCATTGTCCGTTATAATGGGATATAAACATGTTGGACGTGTTTTGACATATATTTTTCGATCCAATATTCGTTGTGTTTTGGTCATAGTATGAATACGAACAAAACGATCAATACTACAGGAAAATATTTTATGTGAAATCTGGGAATCTTGACAGGATTTTATATCACGAATCGAACCGCCGGAAAAACCTTTAAATGAACCCAATATTTTTGTAGAATTATTGGATTTTAGACGAAGATCCAATGCAATCATTCGACCTAGTGTTGTTCCAACGATTAATGATGATGATGCTTGTCCATAATTGGATAAACTTGGCAGCGAACATAAACTAGTATATGATAATGGATTTGAACTATTATCATTATTTAAATGCTTTAAATCGATTATCATTGCTGGTTTGCGTTGTTGTTGTTTAATATCGTATATTCGAATAAAAGGTTCAGTTCGTGAACAAGTTGCCAATAAATTGGGATCATTACCGTTTTCGGTTGAACCAATCCACTCAATATCGCTAATCCATAAATCATGTCGAATTCCAAGCCAATCTGTATTGACAGATTTAGCATTGAACAATGATTGACCAGTATTTAGATCAAAAACTTTTAGATCAGAATTAAATCCACCAACGGCCAATTTATTATTGGTGGCTTCAAAACATGTCAGACGGGTGTGATCAATATTCCAATTTGGTTGAAAAATGGATAAAATATTTTGCTGTTCATCGGATATTTCATTTGCTGTTTTCGATGTTTTCACTGAAAAATTATTATCAATTCTTTTACGTTTTCGTGTTGGTGTTGGTGAATCGAAAGTTGCGAATGATGATACATCCGAACAAGAATCGATTCCCAGCAGATTGATTGCTTTTAAATTTGGTTTATATCGTGCAAAACAAAGATCCATTTCAACATTGATACGTTTGATGGAACCGTCAGCAAAACCGATGACAATATTTTGATCATCAATACATCGACATCCTATTAATGGTGTTTTGTTTTCATTTATGTATTTGATTGATTCAACATTGTCGGTGTTAATATCGTAGATGAAAATTTCATGATCTTTTCGTGCAATCAGGAAATTTTGTTCCGAAGATTTGGAATGAACTTTATTCAATGGATGTATTGAAACGATACTTTTGGATGGATGCTTCGATTCATCCGGAATTAATTCAATAATTTTCTGTTCATTTTTCTTCAAGTCAATTCGTTTTAATTGTCCAATTTCATCACCAACAAGAATTGCACTAGGTTTTGGATGACGATTCATTTTTTTCAAAAAACAAACCAAAAGAATTCAATTGAAATTCAATATTAACAAAAACAACCAACAAATTCTTTTTCAATTCTGCATTGAGCATTAACCACGTTGCTATATAACTATGTTTATGAATTGAGTACCAAATGAGCATGCTTGCTAGCTTGTTCCAAATGAAAAATGATCGTTTTTTCTTATGGAAAATCTTTGGAAAATAATGTTTTTTCAAAAATTAACAAATTAATTAGCAGAAATTAATAAAATAGACACAAGGAAAAATATTGAGTTTCAAAAAAAATTGAATTTATTCATTAAAAAAATCCATCCATAGTCACAATTACACAAAACGATGTTATCAAAAATTTTTTCTTTTTTTGGATATTTTCATTTCAGTTGTTCGAACAGGATTCAATCAATCAAGTTTTTTGAAACCAATTTGACCGGCATATTGTCGAAAACAACGACGACAAATGTTGAGGCCATATTTTCGGATCAAACCATGATGGTTACTGCAAACACGACTGCAAAGTAAAAAACAAGAATGAAATTGGTTAAAAGAAAATAATGAATACATTGTGAGCAACATACCAGTGTCTGGATCCTGGACCATATTTTCGTGGATGAGAAAACCAGATATTTTGACTACCCATGGTAATTTTGAGATTTAATTCTTTGACAAATTTCTCAATTCAGAATTTCACGAAACAAACAGCAGCACACATAAATCGGAAAGGAAATACTTTTCAGTGCAGGCAACTCACACACTCGTTCGACGCATGCGTTTTGTTGTTTTTCCACAACGTTGTCACACAATATTTTCCCTTCATATACAATGTTTTGCATTGCATTATATTCGACGGGCGACAACGTGTAACTTAATTTACTTTGAAAGAAATTCGTGAAAATCACAAAAAATGGTTCTCGATCTTGATTTGTTTCGTGAAGAGAAAGGTGGTGATCCGGAAAAAATTCGAACTATTGTTCGTAATCGATTTGCCGATGTTGGCGCTGTTGATAATGTAATTCTTTTGGATAAACAATGGCGTCAAGCTCGTTTCAATTTGGATCAGCTGAACAAATCAAAGAATAAAATATCGAAAGAATATGGCAACAAAGTGAAACAAATGCGACAACAAGGAATCAAAGAATCGAATGAAACATCAACGCAGCAACCGAATCAACAACAAGGTGATGATTGTACAAAAGTTTTCAGTACCGAAGAATTACTTGGCTGTATCAATGAAATCGATGCCAATACTACATTGGAACAGCTGAAACAATTAAAAAATCAAATTGATGATAAAATTGTTGCCGTCAATGAAGAACTGAATCAATTGGAAGAGAATCGAAATTCAATTCTTCGTGAAATTGGTAACATTCTTCATCCAGATGTTCCCATTTCAAATAATGAAGATGAAAATGCCATCATTCGAACTTATGGTGAATTTGAAACCAAACAATTATCACATATTGATTTGATCCAGAAAATCGATGGTATGGATTGTGATCATGGTGCTGATATATCTGGATCACGTGGTTATTTCCTTCGTGGTGTTGGTGTTTTTCTTCAACAAGCACTCATTCAATATGCCTTGAATTTCTTATACAATAATGATTTTATTCCATTGTACACTCCGTTTTGGATGAAAAAATCATTAATGTCAGCCGTAGCACAATTGAATCAATTTGATGAAGAACTGTATAAAGTTGTGAGTAGTAAACAAAATCTTGAAGATCAGGATGAAAAATATTTAATCGCAACATCGGAACAACCATTATGTGCTATACATCGAAATGAATGGATAAATCCACAATCATTACCCATCAAATATGCCGGTTATTCAACATGTTTTCGTCAAGAAGTTGGTGCACATGGTCGTGATACACGTGGTATATTTCGTGTTCATCAATTTGAAAAAGTTGAACAATTTATCATATGTGCACCGACTAAATCATGGGAACATTTTCATGAAATGATTTCCAATTCGGAAGAATTTTATAAATCATTAGGAATATCTTATCGGGTGGTTAGTATTGTTTCGGGTGCATTGAATAATGCTGCAGCTATGAAATATGATTTGGAAGCATGGTTTCCCGGTTCGAAAGCATTTCGTGAATTAGTTTCCGTATCGAATTGTACTGATTATCAATCCAGACGTTTACAGATACGTTTTGGTCAAACGAAAAAAATGTCCGGCCCAGTAGAATTGGTTCATATGTTGAATGGCACAATGTGTGCCATAACCAGAGCAATATGTGTCATATTGGAACAACATCAAACTGCAGATGGAATCAATATTCCAGAACCATTACAAAAATATATGCCAGATAAATATTCAAAATTTATTCCATTCACCCAATGATTTTTAGAATCAATTTGAATCTGAAATTTTTTTTAAATAAAATTTTTTGTTGTCAATGTCAAAATAGTCATTCTATTTTGACCTATTTTTGTTTGTGTTGTTATAGAAATCTTGATGTTTTTGAAATTCGAATCAACGGTTTTGACAAGTTTGATTGAGTTGAATTTTTCGAAAAAAATGGACCAACCATCAATTGATAATGACCAACAACATTCCATTGCACTTGATCAATATAATGGATCAACTTGTTTGGAAATATCGCAATCCGATACATTACCATCCATTTCATTTGATGAAAATTTACAACAACCGGCTAAAGAATTTTTTCTAAAAGATTTACATGACAAAATATCCAATCTTCGTGAAGAAAATTTTGATCTTAAAATGAAACTTTATTTGCTGGAAAATAATGACAACTTAATTAATGGAAATTCTGGTAATATTTTTGTCGTGTTGATTTACATTGATTCATTTTTTTCGTTTAGAATTGAAACAAAAAGTTATCAAAGAATTTGATAGGAAAAATGGCGAAATAAAAAATCTAAAATCAACATTATCCGATAAAGAAACGGAGATTAAAAAATTACAAATTTTACGAGAAGAAAAAAGTAACGATAATAAATTTCGACATGAAAATAAAAAATTGAAAATGAAATTGTTGGAATTGTTCAACGCCTATTCGGATTTATATAAGCATCTACGGGCGGCTGATAACACTGATTTTGATTCGAAATTGATTCAAAAACTTGATTCCAGTTCAAAGATTATTGAAAAAACGAAAAATTTCCTCATAGAAAATGGTATCAATCCAAACAAAATGATTGAACTGAATAATAATGATGGAAAATGTTCATTCGTTAATCAATCAACACAGACAATTTTGGATAATCTAATTTATTCGAAAACAAATAATGTTCAAACAACAAAATGTTGTACGACTGAAAATCTACGTGAAATAATCAATGATTTTCGTAATAATAAGCTTAATTATAAAACATTTTTGGAACGATTAGATCAGATAATTGTTCAGCAACAAGATCAGCCCATTCAAAATGATGATTTAGAATTCAAACACAAATTGTATTCATCATTATTGATACAATTAGATAATCTGGATCAATTGAATTTGAAAATATCATCCAAACAACAAAATTAATTCCATTTTTTCGCAGCCTGTACATTTGATGATTCGATTTTTGAACAGAGAAAAACTATAAATAAATAAAATTGTCAATCGTCGATGCAAATTGTAAAGAACAGATTAGTCAATGTCAGTTTGTCATTCCATCACTTTTATTTGGTGTGATTATTCAAGATCATCAAGATAAGTGAAGAAAATTTATTATTGCCAAAATAATTCCAATCGCCAATCCATCCACTTTCATTAGTAAATTTTCTTTATTTGTTTAAAAAACGGAGCAAAAGAAAATCCTTTTTTACAAATTCCAATCTCATTGATTTTTATGGAACACAATTTTTCTCGAAAAAACTTGTTCGCGAAGGCTTATTTGTTTATTTTTGGAAAAAAAGAGAAAATTTCCTCAAAAAAAAACATTTTATTTGACAATAGAGAGCGCGTGTATCCAGTGTATGTAAACAACGTGTTTCTGATTGCAATTTCTAACTGACTGAATGAAAAAGCATGTGATGATGTCGAAAAGCATGTATCTTTTTTTCTCTCTCACAATTTATCTTGATCATTCGAAAATGATAATTCTCAATTTCGTAAATGAATGACAAGCACACTGTGTGTGTATGTTGACTGACTTGCAATTTCTTTTGCTGAACTGCAAGAGAGAATTTTCTTCTTTTTTTGGAAATGTACGACAGCACACGGAACACGTGGTGGACAAAAGCGAAAAACGAAATGCACATTGCTCGCAATGATTGATCCAGATCATAATTTGACAAAAATCGAATCAAAATGAAATCACGTGCTTTTGTGAATTGAAATCAAAAAAAGTTCTGCTGCTGCCATTATCTTTGTGTGATTTGTGAAATACGTTCAGTGAATGTTGATCATCAATATCAAGTTTGCCCAATCAATCAATCAGTGAAAAAAAACGATCTGCATTTTTGTTATCATCAAATATCACCACAATTAATTCTCTGAACAGAGGGAGAAAGTGAAACCAGTTGGTGCATAACTTCCAATTCATTTTTATGCAACTAAATCAATTTTTTTCTTTTAAAAAATCGTCATCGTCATCAATACTGATTTAAATTTGCTTTCAATCAAAATTTTCAGTTTAGTTAATTATATCCAACTAAATTCAAAATTTGAATTAATTGCAAAAAGACAGATAAAACTAAACCACCATTGACAGATCATGTTATATGTTATATCCATGGATGTGCAATGTTGCCTGTTTTTTAAAATTTCTATGCCATGTATGTGTGTGGATTTTCTATTTGAATTGAACAAATAGAGAGAAGCACATTGTCAATATTGAAAATATATAACAGCATCAATCAAATTTGAAGAAAAAAGAAATTACGGATAAGCAGAGAGAAAGCGAAAAGAGAGAAAACTGAAAAGATTTAAGATTTTTGTTAAGATTAGACAGACATAGAGGAAAATATCATCATTACACACACAGAGTGTATAATCGCGTGCCATGCTTTTCTCGTATGTGATGATGATCCAACCACGAAACTAAACCACCACTACTAACAAACAAACCATCAACCATTATCATCATTTTCTCCAACCAGAAATGTCTTGTGATCTTTCTTCTTCCTTATAGCTAAATGATCTGACATTTTATTAGTATATCTTATGATTGTGTTGATAGTGGATGGATAAAATCATTTCATGTCCACATGCGTAATGTGCAGAAAGAAATGAAAGATAAATTTTTTATTTGGAACAAAAAATCGATCGAAAATCAATTAATCAATGATCTTTAAAGACTGGCATGATGATTTTATCATTTATACCAACAACAGTGTGGCAAAAAATGACTTGTGACTTTTTTTTGTTGGTTTAATCGACTTCTTTAACTGTGTGGATATCTTTCATCTGTCAAACATTTATTAAATGTTAATCAAATTGACAATTGCTAAACATATTGTGTGTGCGTGCCATGAAATTATTGAACAATCACAATAGTCATAGAGGTAAGTTTTTCCTTCAAAATCTGCTTCCGCTTCTGGTTTGAAATATTAATAAATAAAGTGTGCTTTTTGATTGTTGTAAAAAATGTATCATTCACATTTGTCACATTTGTAATAATGTCATGTAATATATATTTTGCTGTGGCAAGAATTCAATTCTATGAATGTCTTGTCATTTTTGGCATTTGTTTTTTCTGCAAAAAAAATATTCATCTTCAGAAAATGTTGATGATATAGGCAGAAAATGTCTATGTTGTTGGTGACATAGACGATGCTGCAATCATCAATGTTGTCCCTATATGTATGACAATTTGGCAATGTAATTGCGTACATTTACCATTATTCAATGACGATCATGATGATAACATTATGTCTGATATTATATTCTATTATTAACCATCATTTTGTACATTTAGTGTGCGAATTTTGATAATGATGATAATTGTTGTGAAAGAAAAACAAGTTGAAGTTGTAAAAATGACTAAAGAATTTTGTCATTTTCAAAGAAAGTGAATTTTCGCATGCTTTTGTTTTACCACAACACGCAAAGCGATACGGAAGCGACTAAATATGTGAATTGTATTTTCATAATAAACCATTGTTATTGAATTTTAGTGTAAAACAAAATCATTTCACACATCACTACATATTGGGAACATGAAGAATTTTTTTTTCGATGCAAACAAGGATGCTAAACACAATTAAATAGAATTATTCTGTTTGTTGGGAGCAAATCATTTTTTGACATTTGGTGTTTGGTGTGTGTTGATGCATATGTGTTGACTCATAATAGCCATGATGAGAAAATTGATTGATAAATAGTGATCAAATTGAAATATCATCATGTTTCATTTTCTCCTACATCATCAATGATTGTGTGTGTTTTGCTGACCTAAATTCACTACTTTACTTTTGTTTTGTTTTGCCATATAATTTCTCTGAATGAATGATTGGAAAGAGAGAATAACAAATTGATGTTTTTTATTATTTGATTTGCTACTACAAGCTACTGAACAACAAAAAATTCCATTGCTGTCGAAATGGACTAATGGTAGAAAAGTGATCTCATTTTAATCAACAAAAATGAATGACAGATGCTTTTTTTGTTTTGTGTGGATATAGAATTGAATTTGTAGCTGGTTGGTTAATTTGTTCAGACACACGTTTTTTCTGTTTGTTTTGAAAGGAGAGAAAGGCCATGAAGTAAATTCACAATGATGATAATCAAATTGAAAGAGAATGTCAACCATTTTTTTAATCTAGACTAGATATTATACAACAACAACAATGCCAAAAGGATGGAAATTACCTTTTTTCTAATATTTTAATCAGGAATTGAATGGATTTTGACAAAGTTTGACAAATGCAAAAAAACTTTGAATTTGCTTATCAAGCACATAATTTTTTGACAACATTATCATTATTGGACCTAAACCTATCTTATTTATGATGATAAGATTGATGATTGTCTTATCTTTGTGTTGATTTTATTGGTTGGTTGAGAAATAAAATACATTGTTTACATTCTTTCTCGTTTTAAGTGAAAAACAGGAACCTAACCTGTTGTTTTGTTACGGGAGAAGAATGGTTCTTAGCAATGATAATGATGATGATACTGCCTGCAATGACACAACAACCTGAAAGCAATTATCATCATTATCATTGTGATTTTGGTTACAGTATGGCAAATCATTGCATTGATACAACTGTGACACACATTTATTTTAGGGGACGTCTTTCAATTTCAATTTTGTTTAGGAATGATAATGATGATGAAGAAAGCGATTATCATCATTTTTTTTCGTTGAATTTTTATCAATTGTCATTCAAGGCGATTATTCCGTTCAACGAAAAAAACATTGATTAATGTGAATGAATGATACCTGAGGTATGTATGATTTGACAGAAACGAAAAATGAAAATCTGCAACAATGTTCATTTCGGATTCCTGATTTGATCATTTCCGTTCAAATCTGTCACTTTGTGACCATAGTGGATTAAGATTTTTTCCCAACACACTGAACAGAATCTCGGGGTACATTTTTTCAAACAACATTATCATTTCTGATAGTCAATATAAATATAGGCAAGCAACATTGCAAAAAAAAATTATCGGTAAAAATTGATAAAAGTCATTTTTAGGCTGGCTGTCATGTTGAGATTGAGATTTTTTTTTGATGAAAAAGTCTTATGATGATGATGATGATGATCTTACTGACATTTATATTTACCACCACCACCATCACAATTATCCTCCACAAAAATGACGTCACAGATTGCGGAAAAAAAGAGTTTATATATCATTGATTTGTGTGTGTGTCTTGAAAATTGAATTAAAGTGACATTTCATTTAAAGTATGCAGCATGCATTTTTCTAAAAAAAATCATCAACGTTGTCGTTGTCGGTGACAATTACACATCCAACCAAATATATTAGCATCCAAATCAAATCAAGGATTGTCTGTCTTCCTTTTTCAATTTTTTTCAGTTAATGTGATGTGATTGTTTTTCAAATGAATAACTTAATTAATTAATTGTTGGAATTTTTGTTTGTGTTTCATCATCATTATCGATTATTTGTGGAACGATCAATTTTTTTCTCTATCTTGGTTTGGTTTGATTTGATTAATTTGCTGACGTTGGCGCCAAAAAACAACAAAATTTTCATTTTTTCTACCATCATCATCATTGTCGTCATTCACCCAATATTTAAACCGATAAGGTTCAAACTACCAAATTGCCTGCGTGTGTTGTGTAAGTAATTCACATTGCTTTTGTTAGCAAAAAAAATATTTAACCTTTAATCATCTTCATCTTGTTGATTTGACACATATATTCTCTCTATAAATGCTTTCACTTTTAATTTGAATGAATTGAAATTGGAAAATGTCTTGGTCTCCTCCTCATCGTTCATCACCATTATTATCATCGAAGGTTCGAGGTTGAGGATTTTGATTGGATGAATGACTTACTGTGATGTTGTTGATTATGGCCATATATTAAATGAATGGAAAAATTATCCTTATTTGGAATACATTGAGTGTTGTGTGGTGTGTCACACTATTTTTGTCGTAATAGTCATTGTCTTGGCGTGGTGGTGGTATAGCTTGAAGAATTCAATGTTTTTTGTCTTTCGAAAAAATTCAATGAATCTTCACTTTTTCGTTTCCTGAAGTGAAGAAAAAGAATGAAGGATTTCTGCAGCTAAAGGTTTTAGATTTTCGAAAAAATTTTGTAAAACAAAAATTATAAATTTAGTTTGATGATTGAATGTGGCAAGCAAACAAACGAACAAAATTTTGTCTGTCGGATGTCTAGCCCTTTTCGATTTTCTAAAATTAAAAGACGGAAGAACGAAAAAATTATTTGGGCTACAAACTATTTATTATTACATGGCATTCAGTAATATTTCTTTTAATTTGCTCAGTTATGATGAAATCATTTTTTTTCTTAAAACATTTTGTTGCTGATCCAATCGAATCGATCTATCCTTTGATGTAACCTTGTTATCCCCTTCGTTGTTTGATCGATTTAAGTTTATTTTTTTCAATTTTTCCATCGAGAAAGACAAAGTGAGTGAGTGTGAAAGAAAGAGAAAGTTTTGCAAAAAGGACAATCCAGTTATTCATTGAGTTTCATTTTATCATTTTTTGTCTATAAATGTTATTTTGAATAATATTTGTGTAACTTGTTCTGTTCAGAAAAAACTTGTTGTTTGCTCCATATTTAGGACGAAACTCGTGTCGTTTGTGCATTTGATTTGACATCTAAATTATTTAGATTTTATTCACAAAATTCACACAACAAAATGCATTATTAAGACTGTCATTGATTTATTTTTCGAAAAATATTTTTATTGCAAAATAGCTTTTGATTCGAATATAAATCACCAAGTTACCACCAACATAATGTCATCATCAAATCATCGTAAACGTCGTGGAAATTTGCCCAAAGAATCAGTTAAAATTTTACGAATGTGGCTTTATGAACATCGTTATAATGCATATCCATCGGATCAGGAAAAACAATTATTATCCCAAATGGCTAATTTAAGCGTATTACAGGTTTGTTTGTAGCATTTGAATTTGAATAAATATTTCATTAGTGATAATTATCTCAATGAACAGGTTTGCAATTGGTTTATCAATGCCCGTCGTCGAATATTACCGGATATCATACGAAAAGAAGGCAATGATCCATTAAAATATACCATTACTAGAAAAAGTTCAAATAAACGTCAAAACCATCATCATCATCTGGGTGGTGGCCAAAATAATAATCATCATTCATCATCGCGTACAATTTCTCAATACAATGGTTTTGGTTGTATAATCGATAATAATCAAAGGTATTCAATCATCAATTTGGTTGAAAACGAATTTAATAACATTTTTCATAATTACTGTAGATGTACTGTAGATGATGCTGACGATGACGATGATGATAATGATGATGGATTCAGTTCGAATGAGAGTATCGAAGACGATGTTGGTGATGAAAGCAACGTTGACTCAGATAATGGAAGTACAACTAGTACGGCCAATTCTAATCAAAGTGATTTTAGTCGACCATTAAGTCATTGTTCATCATTTAACGGTATGATTTAATTATAAATAAAAAACATTGAATTTCTCATTTGATGGAATCATTCTGCAGATTCACCATTAAAATTGACCAAAAGATGGAGAAAAAATCATGAAGAAGATCAACAATTACGCCAATCGGAATTTAATTTGATTATTGATGCGAATGATGTTGATGAAGCGAATAGAAAAACAAAACGTTCGATTCTCGATATCGATGATAATCATTCGCCAGGATTTGTTCAATATTACCACCATGACCATCACCACCGAAATCATCATCATCATTATAATTCATATCGTATCGATAATACAACAACATCCATTGTCAATTGGCTCAATCAAACAGCGAATGGCAATTCGGCTGCTGCTGCAGCAGCCGCAACAATGATGCAATTATCATCGTCGGCATCATCTAGTTATTCGAATGAATCATATTCATCATTGAATGATGATGATCATCATCATAATTCACTTTCATCACCGTCCACGATGACAACATTATCATCATTATCCACGTCATCATCAATTATCAATGACGGTGATGAACAACAATCAATTTCATCGACAGCATCATCGATAGCCGGTTCACCATCACCATCATCATTTAATTATCTATATCTTCTAGCTTCGGCTGCTGTTGAAAGGTTAAGTAATAGCAGCAATAGTAATGATAATGATGACCAGCAATTATCAATCAAGAATAATGAAAATAATCATCTAGAATTGGCAATCAAAACGTAACACACACAACAATACATTTTGACTTTCTTGGTTAATATAAATCATGATAGATATTTAGATCAAGAATTCTACCTCTTCCACCTTCTTTACATGTGAATCAATTATATACCCGGTCATCAAAATTTTAATTTATTAATGAAATGACTCTGAATTCGTATAATTTTTTTTCGGTGGAGCCCTTATTTGGTAGCCAAACTTTTGTTGAAAAAATTTTATTTCCATTTTTATTTTTGTTGCTATTATTAGCATCCATTTAGCTCTTTTATTCTTGAATCACAATTGATATGATGACAATTACAAACCATAAAACACATTTTATCTTTTGATTATAACTAATATAGACGTTGTTATATTTATAAATTTTGTTATCAATATCCATCCATTCAAACATTTTATATCATATTATACACTGTAACATTTTATTTTAGTAATTTTTACTTTTATTCTAATTGCTCCTTTCTCTCACCTTGATTCTATTGCTCACCCTTTTGATTCTATTTTTTCAAATTTGTAATGTGCCACACACACCATAATGCCATTAATACATACAGAATAGCCAAACAAAGGTGCCATTTCACACATTATTTGACCTAGTCATACTCTAATACATCCACACATACGGAAGAAAAAACAACAAAAATGGCCTTATCATCCTTATATTGACCATCAAATTAATTTCGGGCTTATCAAATCTTCCATTTTTTCGATCTATTTTATTCTTTAATTTCATTTTAGGTTTTGTCAATGTTGGAATTTTTTTTTGAAAAATCAATTAATTTGTTGTTAATTATAATCAATTTATAAAACATTGCTGATAAACTTTTTTGCTCAATTCATTTTGCTGAAGTTGTTTTTGTTCATTTTATACATTAAAATTTACTAACATATCGCTTTTGTTTCAGGTAATAAACAAATATTTTACAAAATTCACTCAAACACTTTACACTGACAAAAAACCAGTTGTTTATTTTGTATTGATAATCATTATTAAAATATAGAAATTGTTTCAAAATTACAAATATTGATTTCAATAATCATCATTCTATCAATGGAAAAGTGGCATCAGTGAGAACGCCACAATCATTATTTTTCTGATTGATCAATATGTAACCATCATTACCCCAATAAGTTGACCAAGAATTTTTGATCAGCCAATATTTTTGTCCATTCAATTCACCATAGCCAACAGCTAAAACTTGATGATCAAGATTTTTCGAACTACAATTTGGATCATAATATATACCATTTGAATAGAATGTAAATGTTTTTTGTGATGCATCCACGGCAACGGTAACTGGTCCATGATAATATAATGCAACTTTCATTGCATCAACATCACCGATGGTTACATTGTAAAAACCTTTAATTTTTACAGATTTTTTAACATTTTTATCATGACATTTACCATCAACACCTAAATAATGGCCATAATCTTCTTCGGTAGCAATACCACCAGCCTTCATGATGTAATTATATGTACGAAAATCTTCACCGCCATCACATCCGTTATTATCCTCTGTCCAACTACAATCAATCAATTGTTGTTGTGATAATTTCAACAAATGGCCAGTTTTAACAAAATATTGTCCTTCAATCGTACCGGTAGCACCAAATGACCAACAACTACCACAAATAGCTTGATCTTTGACAGGTGTTACAGCACCTAACAAACGCCAATCCCATTGATTCGGTAACTTAGAAGTATCATAATGGCTTTTATCGAACAAAATTCCATTTTTATCTACATTTGTAACCTGAATTTTGCCACGAATACGACTCATTTCTTCATCCGTACGATCGGCCAAATGATTAACAGCCAATTGATAATGTATATTTTTACGATTTTGTGCCTGAATAAAACGATAATTTTGTAGGAAAATAAATCGTCTAAAGTTGACTTCTTTGGTATAATTTTTAGAATGTTTTTCAATAAATTGTTTAAAATGTTCGTCAACATGACCATAATCATTGAGTATAAATTCACGCATTGGATTCATCATTGCAACAGATTGTTTAATACCTGGTCCAGGGAAACCTCTACAATCATATTTTTGATAGATATCAAAAATTTTCGAATCAATCTTTGCGGTTGAATATGATTCATAGAGAACTTCATATTTATCATAATGCGAACTCATTAAACTATCATATCCCATCATTAGGTAGAAAATTGGTATAGCATTTCCTTGCGAATCACGTTTCAATATGAAAACATATTTATTATCTTTTTCACCAAGTTGAACACGATATTCCCATTCTTCACAATATTCCGATGTTAATGTTAATGTTGGTAGATTTTTAGCCATTTTTTTACAAATACCACGTTGTTTAAATTGAAATTGAGATAAATCAGGTAAAACTGATTGAACAGTTACTGGTGATATTGGTGATGCTTCCATATTGAAACAAACACGACCAGTTTGTTGATTCGAACCGACCATGTAGGCAATTTTATAAAATTGTCCCAGATCAGCTCGCTGTACAGTCAATTGTAAATCCCCATAATAATCGATACGACTTTTGTTAGCCAATTCATCATAATAGGCTGTAAATGGTTCATCGATTTCAGCATATGGCAAGAAAATTCGTCCATTTATTATATAATTTTTACTAAATGTTGGCGTAGGGGGTGGTTTTTCCGCCAAAACCAATGGAACTATTCGAAAAAAACCATTACATTTATTGGAACAAAAAAACAATCAATTCACTTACCACATAGAACAATGAACAAAAATGGCGTCATCATTTTCAACAAAAAAAAATTGATGGATGAAGCAAAAAAATGACAAACCCTAATATATGGGAGAAAAAAACGTCGTCATCAAAAATCTAATCAAAAAATAAATAAAACTTAGTTGCTTAAATATGAATCGAAATATTTCAAATATCTCATCATCGCTAACATTCTTATCACTATGGTGCACTCATCGTTAAAATATTTTTTCCCCTTAATTTGTTATTGATAATTTGCTACAGGATCTTGTTTGTACGAAACATTGATTAAGTGATGTACGTGTATGTGTGTGTGGTAAGTGAATAGATCAATAACCAAATGATCAGTTTCTTCTTTTTGATTGTTTGGGTAATTCAATGGAAACAAACACAATAGTTTGGAAAAATCCATTATCAATGACAATGTATATTATATTTATTTATTTATTACCAATAATCATATGACTTATAAATCTTTAATAAAATATTTACAATTTTAACCATTTATCCTTAATCCTACTCGTAATTTAGCGGATCTAGCGCGTGGATTTAACAATATTTCCGTTTCTGTAGGCAGTTGAAATTTTTTCTGATAAAATTTCCATATTTTGAGCGATTTAGGTGTTTGATAAATATCATTAATAGTTGGATGAATAATATAATCATTACTTTTGGGTGGCAAAATTAGATTATTATCCGATTGATTAACAAAATGACTTTTGACAATTCTATCTTCAAGTGAATGAAATGAAATTATTGCAAGAAGACCACCATTCGAACGTTTTTGAGCAATAAATTCGTTGTCATCATCTTTATCGTCTGATTCTTCTGATATCTTTAAATATTTGCTCAACACCGGTATTACCGAATTCAATTCGTTCAATTCATTGTTAACAAATATACGTAATGCTTGAAATATTTTCGTAGCTGGATGTACTGGTCGTCCAATTTTATCTCTTGTTGCTGAAATATCGTTTGATCTGGATAAAACCGATTGAACCAATTCGGCCAATTCTCTGGTTGTATTCAAACGTTTCATTAGGAAACGTGAATCAACAATTGTTTGGGCAATTTTTTTAGCATGTCGTTCTTCACCATAAACTTTAAAAATTTTAGCCAATTCATCAGCATTCAACGTATTGATTATATCGGCTGCTGATGGTAATCGTTGATTTCGCTCACCATCCATTCGCATATCAAGTGGTCCATCATTACGAAATGAAAAACCACGTTGTGGATTATCGTATTGAAATGATGATGCACCAAGATCCATAATAGCACCATCAAATGAATGATAAGGAATTTGGATTTTTTTCAACAAATCATCAATCTCACTGAATCGACCCAACATTGGAATAATTTTTTGGCCAAAATGATTATTCTGTTCAATCGTTTTGGCTAATATTTCGGCTTTTTCGAATGCATAAGGATCACGATCCAATGTAAAAATGGTGATTTTTTTATTTGTCGATAAAAGATGTTTTGTATGACCACCACCACCAAATGTTAAATCCAGAAAACATTGTCCATCTTTTGGTGATAATATTTTTGTTATTTCTTTGGCCAAAACAGGTATATGTTTGATTGTTTCAACATTATTCCTATTATTATTAGTTACACTGTTTATTGCAATAAAATTGGAAAATTTTGTTGAAATTATTCGCATTTTTGAATTTCACACGTGACAAACATGCATGCAAGAATCGAATCAGCTGATAATCGTAGCGCACTAATCGAAAGCAATATGAATTTAGCTAAAAATTTTTATCGTATTTATCGTCGTCAAATCAATCCATCATTAATAATATGGTCATCGTCATATTCGACGACAATATCGTCATCGGATAAAAAACGAACAAAATTTTCGAAAAAACTTCCAATTGCCGGTGTCGAACGAATCATATTGATATCATCAGCAAAAGGTGGTGTGGGAAAATCTTCAGTTACAGTTAATCTAGCTTTGGCAATCAAATGTTTATATCCTGTAAGTTTTTTTAACGAAAAATTTATTTAATGATTTTATCATTTTTCCACCTAAACAGAATAAAAAAATTGGCATACTTGATGCCGATATATTTGGACCATCATTACCGACAATGATCGGCTTATTGGGTAAAAAACCTACCACTAATAAACGTAAGAAATTTGTTTTTGATCAAAGTTGAAAATATTTTTGTAATTTCAATTTAGAACAGAAAACCTAATAATACCATTAGTTAACTATGGAGTGAAATGTATGTCGATGGGATTTTTGGTGGACGAAGATAAACCAATTGTTTGGCGTGGATTGATGGTCATGTCAGCTATGGAAAAACTTTTACGATTCGTTTATTGGGGCAATCTAGATCTGTTGATTATTGATATGCCACCTGGAACAGGTGATACTCAACTATCAATCGTACAAAATATACCAATCGATGGTGTTATCATTGTAACCACACCACAAAAAGTTTGCCTAGCCGATGTTGTTCGTGGTACACAAATGTTTCAAGATTTAGATGTTCCCGTATTAGGATTCGTTAAAAATATGAGCCATTTTATATGTGATAATTGTTCACACCATCAATCAATTTTTTGGGATTCTAATGAATTGGAATATTTAGCCAAAAAATTTAATACCGAAATTTTAGCCCAAATTCCATTGGATCCAAATCTGTCAAAATCATTGGATAATGGTTGTCCTTTAGTGGTTGAAAATCCTGATAATCCATGTTCACAGATATTCATTCAATTAGCAGGAAAAGTTCTCAGCAATTTAGAAAATGAAAGATGAAAAAATTAAAAACGATGATCAGATCAGAAATCGCTTCGTCAACAACAAAAAAGTTTTTACGAAACGAAACAATTTTTCCCGAAGAACAAAAAAGCTACAAATTAACGTATCTTTAACGTTCTCGGTTATTATTGTTTCTGGATAATCGTTAATTTTTGTTCAGATATCCGTTCAATCATCAATTCTGATACATCGTTTTTGTAATTTTTTTCAAATAAATGATCTTTTCGATAATTATCATTGTTAATCATCACTATTTTCTCATCATTTTGAAACAAAAATGTTTCAATCAAATAAGATCAAATACGTAGTTCTGATTAAGGAAAAGAAAGAAAGGAAAAAGGGAAAGGATTAAAGAAAGATTTAAGATTGGGGAATAGGACCGATTGGTAAGAAAGATAAAGAAAGAATAAAATGTGTTTTGGTTGAAAAGTGAAAAAAGAGTTTTCATGTTAAAATGCGAGGCAAGCACGTGACCACTCATAATATATGTACCAAAAAATTTTTTTTGCGACGACAAGAATCGACAGACTTTTTTCGGATCTAACTTTGTCGAAATCATCAAAAGCTGTTGATTGTCTGAATTCAATCATGTTTACCAATTCGAAAACATTCGATTCTAGCCTGGATTCAATAATTGATAATTGTTTAGTTTGGAAAGATAATATTGGTCATCTTCCTGGCAGTTTATTGAAATTTCGTCGTGATTCGACGGGTGAATTATGGTTGGCGGATGAAAAAGATGAAACATCTTCATCCAGTACTGGTACTGGTAGCAGTGATGGTGACGATAATGATAATGATGATGACAATAATGAAACTGATAATAACAATGTTGAATCATTACAAAAGCGACAAAAATTACTTAAAGATCATTTATTTAATGATAATCATCATCATCATCATTCAGTAATATCGCTTTGTTCACGTTGTTTTCGTTCAGATTTTAAAGCCGATTTGGTTAAAAATAACAAATATTGCAAACAATGTTCACAAATTGATCCACAATTATATAAAATTTATAAAAATTTTGATTCCAATTCCAAAACATCCACGACAACAACTACAACATTGTCGAAGGCGAATATTAATGAACAGTATGATGAAGAAAAACATGCCAATTCATTACGAAAACTTCAACAACAACAACCAAACTTATCGAATGATTTCGAATTTCCTGATCAATTTGATTGGGAAAAATATTTGAAAAAATATCAATCGATTGCTGTACCAGTGGAATATTTTTCCCCCGAACAAAATTATCCTACCCGACAGAATGGATTTAAAGTTGGCATGAAACTTGAAGGAATTGATCCATTACATCCATCCAAATTTTGTTGTTTAACCGTTGTCGATGTTCAAGGTTTTCGTTTGCGATTACATTTTGATGGTTATAGTAGTCGATTTGATTTTTGGATCAATGCTGATAGTAAACAAATATTCCCGATTGGTTTTTGTCGAAAAACACGTAGAAAATTAGAATACCCACCTGGAATGAATTCAGGTTCATTCAATTGGAAACAATATCTATCAGCAACAAACAGTATTGCTGCACATGAAGATCTTTTCACTATCAATAAGTTCAATTCGACGATTGATAATCATTCAATTATCGATAATAATAAATTTCAAATCAATGATAAATTAGAGGCGGTCGATATTGCAAACAGTGCATTGATTTGTGTGGCTACAATCAAGGATATACTTGATGATCAGATTCTTATACATTTTGATGGTTGGGATGATAGTTTTGATTATTGGACATCAACAACATCACCATTAATACATCCAATTAATTGGTGTAAATCAAAATCAAAATGTTTAACTGCACCGAATGGTTATCGTAAAGAATTCATATGGGAAGATTATCTTCGAGAAACTGATTCCAGGCCAGCACCTGAAACAGCATTCAACAATTCAATTGAATCGAAACAAACAATGAAACATCATTTATGGCGACAAGGAATGCGTCTGGAAGCCGTTGATAAACGTAATCCTTATTTAATTCGTGTTGCTACTGTTGTTGATCGAAATATGCATTCAATTACGATTCATTTTGATGGTTGGGATGAAAAATATGATTGTTTGGTAAGATTTTTTAAATAAATAAACTGATTGCAGCTGAAATTAATTTATTTCATTTCTCATCATAGTACAACGAGGATTCACCGGATTTACATCCAATTAATTGGTGCAAACAAACCAATCATAAATTGGAACCACCACCAAACAAATGTAAATTATTAGATATGTAAATTTTATTAATTATAATAATGTTTTTTATTTAATAAATATGAAAAAGATATAGCTAAATTGAATACATTATGTCCAGTTGCATTTTGCAATGGTTTTGGTCATCAAAAATGGTACAGATATCGAACACATTCACGAGAAAAGGATTGTCCATATTCCAAATTCAATTATGATTCGGAAAGAAATGAAAATCTCGATCGTTTTGCTGATCTTATTGTTTTCGATAGTGAAGATGATGATGATGATGATATGATGATTATGAATGAACAAAATAATTTCGAAATGTTCAATCAGATGGACGATCATAAAATAAAATGTGAACCAAACGATGACAATAAAATTCATCCATATTATCTTAAGTTAATCAAAGAAAATTATTTAGAAATGAAGGAAACGCTGAAAAACAATAATGTTCATACATTGAGATATTTAATGAATTATGTTAAAAATCTTGATTTCAATCCATTCGATATTGTTGGATTTGATTGTCAAAAAATGTTTGAAGTTATTCTGAAATTAACCAACAATAGGGAAACGGCCAATATTTTCATACAAGAGGTATGTTGAATATTTGTGATTCTCGTTTGTTGATCATATTTTTTATTAATCAAAATTTTTCATTTCTCACTCCAAACAACCCGTAGAAAATCGATGGCATTGCTTTTCTTTGTATTCGTCATGAAGAAATTCAAAACAAACTTAAAATTGATCTCAATTCGGCCGTAAAAATTGTACCATTTTTGTTTGCCAATCTTAAATTTATATTCAAAGATGGCTTTTAAGCAAAACAAAATTTCGAAATTTGAATGACCATGAATAAAGAATATTTTATTGAATAAAAAAGATTTCTTTTGAATGTTGTTGAATAATAATTATTTCGATTTACGCCAAAAATTCACGCATGATTTTTCCAGATTATAGGTATTCTCCCGTAACAAAAAACCGACCAACCTTGCTTTCGATTAGTGTTTTGGTTCCAAAATATATTCATATCACTTTGGAAACAAGAATCATTGTTGTTACTACAAATCGACTTTGTTGTTTTTTTTCACTTTCAATCATCCATGCATATTACCTGTACAAACTGAATAATTTCGTTTGTTATTGGTGGTGGTGGTGGTGGTCCTCCAAAATTCTTTGATAAACTACTTACTGTATCATCATCATTATCATCATCAGCATATCATTTTGACAATGACATTTTTTTTCTCAACAATTTTAGTGATTCTTTATTAAAATAATAATAATTTTATTTTTGTTTTTTCATTCATTAATTTGTTTGTTTTGAAAATATTTATTTTGAATTTTAAAAATAAAGTGACCATTATTATTGAAGAAATAAAATGAATCGTTATGTAACATTAAGTCAATTAGGTGATGGAACTTATGGTTCAGTATTTTTGGGACAAAAAATCGATACAGGCGAAAGGGTTGCTATTAAAAAGTAAGCAAAATTGAATTCCAAAAGATTAAAAAATGTGAATTAAACATTTTTTTTGGTCCATGTAATTGTACGAAAGAATGAAACGAAAATATTTTTCCTGGGAAGAATGTATGAATCTTCGTGAAGTAAAGGTATTTAAAAGAAACAAAACAAGAAAAAAATTATGATTTTTTCAACAAAAAATTCTTTTTTTCCGAAAGTCTCTACAAAAACTTAGCCATCCAAATCTTATAAAATTAAAAGAAGTTATACGGGAAGATAATACATTATATTTTGTATTTGAATATATGAAAGAAAATCTTTATCAATTGATTAAGGATCGGTAATTTTATTTTAATTGAATGTTGTTGTTTTGTTGTTGAAAAATTCATTAATTTATTCAATATTAGTGAAAAACCGTTTGCGGAAAAGATCAATTGTAATATTTTATATCAAATACTGCAAGGTTTATCATTTATGCATAAACATGGATTTTTTCATCGTGATATTAAACCGGAAAATCTGCTTTGTATGGGACCAGAATTAATAAAAATAGCCGATTTTGGTCTGGCGCGTGAAATACGATCTCGGCCACCATATACAGATTATGTATCAACACGTTGGTATCGTGCACCTGAAGTACTACTTCGTTCAACTGCATATAATTCACCCATTGATATATGGGCTGTTGGTTGTATAATGGCTGAATTATATACCTTACAGCCACTGTTTCCAGGACGAAGTGAAATTGATCAAATTTTTCGTGTCACATCTGTTCTGGGTACACCTGATAAATCCGATTGGTCTGAAGCATATCTTCTGGCTAATCAAATGAATTTTCGTTTTCCACAATTTTCCTCAATACCAATTGAAACAATTGTTGTTGGACAAATATCATCGGAAGGTTTACAATTTTTAAAAAGTACCTTGCAATGGAATCCACAAAAACGACCAACCGCATCACAAGCATTAAAATTTAGTTATTTTCAAAATGCAACAAATTATTCGCCACATAATCAAACGGATAAAAACATTAAAAGTGGTGTTTCGAAAACAGCACCAACACAATCGGAATATAATAAGAAAATTTTATCCATATCAAATTCCAATAATACAACAACATCAGCTTATAATAAATCATTAACCAATAATTTATTAATTAAAACTGTACCAAGTTATTTAAGTGAACCATCATCCACAACAAATGATATTGATAATCATAGTATACAACAATTACAAATGCAAATTGGCAATCATAATCATCATAATCAATCAACATTGATTGGAAAAAATTCTGATCAAAATAATTCGTTGAATACGAACAATCAAAAATTTTCAATGAAAGATCAATATCTTTCAAGCTCAAGATATATTGCCGGACAGAATACAGCCAAAAAAAATTCAACTATTATTAATCATAAAAATTCGGGTATTTTTATTCAATTGTTATTTAAATCTTTATTCGTTTCCTTAATTTACTTGATAAAATAGGAGATCAACAACCAACAATATTTGGAAATTATCGCAAAAATTCAATAACATCTAATAAATCGGCCATAAGTAATGGACAGAGGAAATTATATGCATCATCACATTATGGTAAAACTGATTGGTCAGCAAAGTATGTTAACCACAAAAACAAATAACAATCGATTCATTTGATTACAATTTTCCCATTGTAGATACCTATGATGATAGCATTGAACATTGCTCGGAGCCGGATATAGTTTTTTGGTTTGATTGGTTTTTTTCTCTGGACTCTAGACCCAGATGAGCAAATTACAAATTCTCTTTTTCATTCGATTTCAATTTCAATTTTTTTCACATTGAAATTGTCAAAGTCTAAGAAGAAGAAACAAAAAAAATATCATCATAAGATTTGAATATTTCTCTCACTAAATATTATTATCGTCAATAAATAAAAGAAATGTCGTTATTAATATTTATGAAAACAAAAAACCCATATTATAATATTGTATTCAATTTGAATTTGTCCAAAGGTTTTTCATTTCGTCATCATAATCGAGTATTTGACATTTTGTCTAAGGTTTTTTTTTGAAAAAAAAGTTAAATGCATCGTATGACTCTGCATTGATGATTATTGTTGAAATCAAAGTCTTTTTTCAATGCTCAAATATTGGACCATGGAATTGAAACAAATTCAAAGATCGCATATTGATCAATCAATCGCGATCGATCGATTTTGTCCGTACATCCATCCGCCCGTTCATTACAAAGTATAGAAAAAATTGTTGCTCAAGTAGCAAAGTCTTTGCTCAAAAACAAAATCATTGACATCATCATCATTGGATGTAGAAATAGTAAAGAAGGCTATAGGCTACAAACAGAGCCAAGCACAAGTTATAGGCTATAAAAAATTATAAACTGGATTAAACTGGACAAAAGCGGCCGGACCTATAGATGGATTATTCTTCTCTCTTTTTTTCGAAGAAAATCGTATACGAGGATCCACTTGACTTAGATGAATCACCACTGTAAGGCTGTGTTGTTTGGTTTTTTCCTTATCATCATCATATGATTTGACTTCCACATTGATTTGGCCTTTGGAAAAAACCGAATTTCGCCGATTTTGGCCGGAATAAATCCGGTTATTATTCAAAAATAATCAAAAAAATATTAAATGCGAGAATTTTTAACCACATGATTATAATTTTTGGAAGCAAAAAAATGTCATAATTACAAAATAGCCAAAGCTCAATAAAACAAAACAAAAATCTCATGATTTGCCCTTGCTATATTAAAACAATCAACAAACAAGAAGTAACAAGTTTAAAACAAAAAAATAATCAATAAGGTTCGAAGTCAATTCCACAATTTAAAAAAATCTGAATATTCATATTACAATAATATAGAGCACGCGCGCATCAACGGATTTTTTTTCGTTGTCGCCGTTTTCCGATTACAAACCAAATATACCAAGTTCAATTTGTTAATCATCACCATGATGATATGACAAGAAAAAAGATTTATCATTTCCCTCACATTTCATTTCATTGTAATTGCATCGAATTGAAGATATTCGGATTTTGGTAGCCGCCATGCGACAATAGAATGAACATTATCATCATTATTATAATCAGTTTTGATCGAGACTTTGATCGATGATCATTATCATCATTAGCATTAGCATTGCCATTGCAACCAGCGAGAAAGAGAGAAATAACGTCATGCGTCTATATAACAAATGCATGTTATATAGAGATAGATTTTACCAGATTATACCACCACCACTTGAATTTTCATTTGAAATGTGATATTTTATCATTCAATTTTGACATTACATATACATTCGCACTCAACATTTATCCTTTATTTGTGTGTCGGTTGGTTGAAGTGAACGAAATAATTTCGGTGTTACCAATATAAAAAGCGACGCACATTTTCAATTCCAAATCATTCGTTTCAACATTTCTTCGGAAATCAAATACATTTTCCTTTCAAGGCACTCATCATCATTGTCGTCGTGGTTTTTTCTGCTCAGCAAAATACTGAATCTTAGCCAACTACAATTCATCATCATCGAATCTTGTCCTTAGAAAAACATCGCTCTTATGAAGAACGGAGATTGATATAAATATTTTTCATTTTTTCAAAAAGCTTAAAAATTTTCACAATTCCGTCGTTAAATTTACTTTCGAAAATTTTCGGGTGGGCAGCTACTCTTCAGGTAATTGATGATGATGAAATTAATTATAAAAAATTGATTCATTTTTTATATTGAACAAAACAGGGGCTTTATCACATTAGTCCCGAAGTTTTGGTGAACTGTTACGTGTTCGAAGCAAAAAATTGCGAAGGAGACCCACCTTGGAAAATTTGATAATAGTGGTATAACCATTATTGTGACTTGTTATTTTTGGATTTTTCTTTTTGGAATCGGAATTAGAATCAATCGGATCTATTTATTTGGACATTTATCTAACTGATCGTTCTATCTCTCACATTGAAAAAAACTAAAAAAATGAAGATTACAGTTTTGGAAAAACTTTTCGATCAAAATCCTTCAGTCGATGATATTATCGGCGAAACGATTATGAAACGTAAAAATGAAGATGCATTCTATGTTTGTGATGTTAATGATATACTACGTAAACATAAAAATTGGCTGATGAAATTACCAAGAGTACGGCCATTCTATGCTGTCAAATGTAATGCCGCACCTATTGTTCTCGAAGTATTGTCTTCGGTTGGTGCCGGATTCGATTGCGCATCAAAGGTAATTTGATTTTTATTCGTTTTGAATAAACTAATGGCCTCTGTGGCATTGCTTTTCAGAATGAAATCGATACAATTTTGGATCTTGGTGTTCACCCGGATGACATTATCTATGCTAATCCATGCAAAACAAAATCATTCATTAGTCATGCATCATCAATGGGTGTGGATTTGATGACATTTGATAATGAACATGAATTGTACAAAGTACGACAACTTCATCCAAATGCTAAAATGGTCATCCGAATCAAAGTCGATGATAGTCATTCGGTTTGTCGTTTTAGTGCAAAATTTGGTGCCGATTTAGATCAGGTGCCAAAGCTTTTACAATTGGCAAAAAAATTGTCAATTGATATTGTTGGCTGTAGTTTTCATGTTGGTAGTGGTTGTGAAGATGCCGGATCATATCAACAAGCTATTTCGAATGCGAAATATGTTTTTGATTTGGGTGAAAAATTGGGATTCTCGATGACATTATTGGATATCGGTGGTGGATTTCCTGGCACATCGAATGCCCCAATTGCATTCGATGATTATGTGAAAGTTATCAATGAATCATTGGATATTTATTTTCCAGAATTCGATAGCCAAGGAATGAAATCCAAGGTGAAAATCATTGCCGAACCTGGAAGATATTATGTAAGATTTTTTTTAAATATTAAAATAACATTGAATTAATTACTTGGTTATTCAATAGGTTGCATCAGCTTTTACACTTGTAACAAATATTATTGCAAAACGTTCGGTTCGAGATGATGAAGGAAATGCGAACAATATGTACTACATCAATGATGGTGTATATGGATCATTTAATTGCATCATTTTTGATCATGTTCAAGTTTATCCCAATCCATTTCCAACCAAAAATGAAACAATTGAAGGACGTGAATATAGTCTGTCAACAATTTGGGGTCCAACATGTGACAGTATGGATTGTATTAATCGTGATATAATTTTTCCCCAAATGGAAGTTGGTGAATGGCTTGTTTGGCGTGAAATGGGTGCCTATACATTGGCTGCTGGTACAAATTTTAATGGCTTTAAAATGCCGTCATTGAAATATTATGTGACTGGCTATACATTAGGAATGTTGAAAACATTACGAAATTGGTCGAAAATTTATCGTATCATTGAAGAATCGGACGAATTTATCGAAGAAGATGATTCATTATTTGAAACATTCTATTTCGATGAAAAAAATCAATCAGATAATTTGATTAAAGTTCATTGATTAGCAATAATGGCTGATAATGATGACGGATATTTTTTTAAACGACAACCAATGGTCCACCACCACCACCACAATCAATATCTATTGCATACAGCCATTTTTTTAATTATACTTTTTACCATTTATTTTAATGATTTTTGTTGTAATGACACTTTAAAAATTATTTCCAATTTCGACTTTTTGGAACATTATTATTTCAAGCAAGAGATAACAACAATTGACAATGATTATTTTATTGAATTTTTATCTAAATACATAAATAATAAACTTTTTTTTCAAAAACGTTCGATTTTTTTTTTTGGTCCGTGAAAATTGTTTGTACGATGAAGGTGTTCGATTCATCACTCCTCGTATAATTCAGGCATTCGAATGATTCGAATCCTTCATGCGTGTTTGTTTTGAAAACAGAGAAATCATTTTGAAATTTTTTAAAACCATTTTATTAATGAAAAATGAAAAATTTCCGAATCAATCAATTGGGAATACAAATGATTCCAGAATTTTTACATCGAAAATTATTTGCTAAAAAATTCCCTGTACAAATAAATGATAATCGAAGAAATGTGATAATTGATCAATTGAAAAAATCTATTCAAAATATTGAATTTAAAATCGACAATATTTCCACTGCATCGTCGTCTATTGAAACCAGAAATCCTTGGAAAGAATTGATCCGATATCTTCCTGAGTTAATCGACAACGATGTTCTAACACATATGAATAATTTAGGTCAACATTATAGTAGACCATATTTGAAAAATATTGAAAAATTATTACAAATACCGGATAATTTACTAGAAAATCGACCGAAAAAATGGCTATTCAATCAAGGTTGGACACGTTATGAATTAATTGATAACGACAATCGATACAAATCTGAACCAGTTGAATATCCATTAGAAGATTCATTAGTATTCGATGTTGAAGTAAGTTTAGATAAAAATAATTATAATCGTCCAACGCTGGCTGTAGCACTATCACCCAATGCATGGTATTCATGGTGTAGTGATGCATTAATCAGCCAAAGTCATCAAGATCAAATTAATGATGATTTCAATCTTAGTAATCGTCAAGTTACTATGGATGATTTGATTCCGATGGGTCAATTCAAAAATCAAGAACGATTAATCGTTGGTCATAATGTTAGTTTTGATCGTTCTTATATTCGTGAGCAATATCAAATCGATTTAGATCAAACAAGATTTTTGGATACAATGAGTTTACATATTTGTGTTTCAGGTTTAAATCAAGAACAAAAAATGTTTACCATTCGTAATGGTGGTGATAATCCATGGCAAGCCATTTCATCGTTGAATAATTTGAATGATGTTTATAAATTGTATTGTCAATCCAAATCGGGCGTTTCAAAAGATCCACGTAATGTTTTCATTAAAGGAACCATGGCAGATGTTTTCGAAAATTTTTCCCATCTCACTGATTATTGTGCTAATGATGTTTCGGTTACATTACAGATATTGAAATCATTATTTCCACAATTTCAGCAAAGATTTCCATCACCTATAACATTAGCCGGAATGTTAGAAATGTCTGTGATGTATTTACCTGTCAATCAACATACATGGAAACGTTATCTAGATGAATCACAATCAATCTATAATCAATATAAAAATGAAATTAATGAAACATTAAAAGAAATTGCATGTGAATCTTGTCAATCATTATCGAATGATCAATATCGAAAAGATCCATGGTTATGGGATCTTAATTGGACCACACGTAACATTGGTTATAAAAAAGCAATGAAAGAGATTCAATATGATGATACAAAATTTAAAGATGATACAAATTCATTCATAAAAGAATTAATCGAAACGAAAAAATATTTGAAAAAAATGCAACCAATTTTACCAGGATATCCACAATGGTTTGTTGAATTATGTGAAAATAGCCGATATCTTAATAAAATTGATCAATTAGATTTTAATAATATTTTCGATTTTGATCAATTCAATATTACCACTAAATTACGCACCATACCGAAAATTCTTAAGCTAATGTGGATGGATTATCCATTATATTTTGATCAAACATATGGCTGGGGCTATCTTGTTCCATTATATGATCAACAAGAAGATTCGATCAATTTTCCGCCATTTGAAACAATGAAAAAATTTTTGGGTAATAACAATCATTTGGAAAATTTAGATATGGAAAAATGTATTAAAGAAGTTCAAATACCTGGTTGTTTATTTTTTAAACTACCACATAAAGATGGACCAAATAAACGTGTTGGAAATCCATTATCGAAAGATTTTATTAAAAAAATTTCCGATGGTACATTAAAATCTGCAATGAATAATGTAAGCAATGATTTGGTGGCACATCAAAATAAAATTTCTTATTGGGTAAATTCATCCAAGCGAATTCTTTCACAATTAGTCATACCATATGACCCAAATAATGGTGATGGTTCTATTCTGCCAAGAGTGGTTGTTTGTGGTACCGTTACAAGAAGAGCTGTAGAACCAACATGGCTTACAGCAAGTAATTCCTATCCAGAACGTTTAGGAAGTGAATTGAAAGGAATTATTCAATGTCCAACAGGCTACTCATATGTTGGTGCTGATGTTGATTCACAAGAATTATGGATTGCATCGTTACTTGGTGATTCAAATTATTGTGGTATACAAGGTTCAACCGGTTTAAGTTGGATGACATTGAAAGGTGAACGTAGTCGATCAACAGATATGCATAGTGTTACTGCTGCTACCATCAATATCCGTCGTGATGAGGCAAAAGTTTTGAATTATGCACGTATTTATGGTTCAGGAATGGAATTCGCTGCAAGATTTTTAAAACAATCAAATCCAGCGCTTTCCGAACAAGAAGCTAAAATGAAAGCGAAAAAAATTTTTCATCAAACTAAAGGTCAAAGAAAAAAAACTTTTATACAAGCCAATGACGGTGATAATGTTCAATGGATTCGTGAATGGTATGGTGGTACTGAATCATCAATGTTCAATAAATTGGAAAAAATTGCCACATCACAGGAACCGGCAACACCATTTTTACAATGTCGAATTAGTCGTGCATTAGAACCGATGGCAGTTGGTCATGATTATATGACTAGTCGTGTTAATTGGGCTGTACAAAGTTCAGCAGTAGATTTTCTTCATATCATATTGATCGCAATGAAATGGTTAATGCAATCATTTCAAATTCATGGCCGATTTTCCATTAGTATTCATGATGAAATTCGTTACATAATCAATGACGAACATAGATTTCGTGCAGCATTAGCACTACAATTTGCTAATCTTTTAACACGATCATATTTTACATCCACATTGAATCTAAATGATTTACCTGAGTCGGTGGCATTTTTTTCATCCATCGAGATTGATAAATGTCTGCGTAAAGATTCAAAAGATGATTGTAAAACACCATCAAATTCATTGGGTCTATCAAAAGGATATGGAATTGCTTCAGGAATATCTATTAATGTTTATGAACTATTAGATTTACTTCAAAATGATCAATCATTCAATCGAATGTTCGATGATGATGATAGTAATGATGATCAACGTATCAAAAGTGAAGAAAAAATAGTCAATTAACAAAAATGTAATGATTATCCATTATGAATATCTGTGATTCAAAATTAAAAAATCAATTTAATTCGAATTAAATAGAATTCGATTAGCGCATGCGTTTTATTTTTGTTTGTGTTTTTAGTAGGTTAACGCCAATTGTGTGTGGGACATGTAACTCGTTCTTCGTTCGATTTGTTTGTTTGTTTGTGTGTGTTTATCTGCCACAACAAATATCACATCGAATTTTCTTTTTCGTTGAAGAGATTCCCAAAAATAGTCAATAATTTATTTTTTGTAAAAAATTAATTAATTAGTTCGTGGATCGCCTATCCATATTAATATGGCTCATATTGGTGGTGGTGATATTGATACAGAATCGTTTTATGATAATAATCAAAATATTGATGATGATTCGGATGCACCTGATACAAAAGTTTTTTACTACAAAAAAAGGTTTGATCGACATTGATAATTTCGATGTAAAAATATAATTTTGTTAAATTTTTTGTTCATCAATGAAAAAAGATATGAAGAATTACAAGCAGAATTCGAAGAATATCAATTTAGTAGTCGTGAATTGGAGAATGAATTGGAAACCCAATTATCACATTATGAGCGACGAATTAAAGAGCTTGAACAGGGAAATTCTCGTCTAGTGAATGAAAATGATTTATTGCGTAATAAATTGGAAAAAACAACAATCGAAAGTAATGAACAGACAATTTTATTGCAAGAAAAATTGGCTGAAGTAACATCGATTAATGAACAGTTAACAACGCATATAAGAGAATTAGAACAATCTAATGATGATCTTGAGCGTGCTAAACGTCATCTTGATGCAACATTATCCGATTTTGATGCAAAATTGAATGAACAAATTGAACGAAATGAATTATTGGAGAGTGAAATCGGTGAAAAAGAACAATTACAAGTAGTGATACAAAGGCTTAAAGATGAAGCACGTGATCTACGTTTAGAATTGATGATACAACAAAATGTAAAAAATCCGAATAAATCTAATAAGAATATTTCATCAACGACGACACCTGAACATGAAACATCATCGAATCGTCGTGCAACAATATCATCACCATTATCACCTGCAACCGCCACTATTCAATCCACGACAATCATTTCGAATGATATGAATAATAAAAATTGTAAAATATCATCAACAACAAATGGCACTGTGATTCATCAAAACAACAACAACAACAATAATGCACTGAAAACGCCAACATCAAATCAGATACCATTGTTATCAGCTTCATCAAGAATTTCTGCATTGAATATTGTTAGTGATCTATTAAGAAAAGTTGGAGCTTTAGAATCGAAATTGGCATCATGTAGAAATATAATGCCCATCAATAGTCCAACATCGGCCAACAGTACCGGTCTGATGAAAACAACAAACATCATTACAACAAATGGTACTACAGATAATAAAAATATTAATAACAATGATCATCATAATAATCATCACGGACAAACAACGACGACAAAAACATTGAAAAATATCAATGCAAATGCTTAAATGATGATGACTATCAAAATCAATCAATCAATTCGATCGTTTTACTAAATAGATAAAAATTCTTAAATATTTATTCTGTTTAGAATTTCTCTAATTTGTTTTTGATTTCTAATTTATTTATATAATTTAATTTCATCTTTTTTTCCTCTTTCAAAATAGCTTGCACTGAAAACAATTGATTTGATTTTCAACAAAAAAAATTTACATTTTTTATACAAAAAAACAACAACAACAAAAATCGGCTGTACATAACCATTGAAACATCAACATCATTAGATATCTGTCTTATAAAAATTGATTTATTTGAATTTGATAATTTGATAATGATTAATAAATTTTATTTATAATAATTTCAACAAAGTTTCATTCGATAACGTTGTTTATGAATCGAAAAGGTGATGTTGGCAGTGATGCAAAAAAAAAATTCACCAAAAAAAAGAATGGTATTTTTTTTGCAAATAGTGTTGGCTATGTTTTTCTCTCTCTGTCTTTCTCTCTTTTCTCATGTGAGAATGTTTTGCGTGTCAGCTTTCTTAGATCAACATTATCATCACTTTGGAAATTTGGATAAAATTCTTATTTTTTGATTGATTTTAAATAAAAATCGATAAAACTTGTCGCATTACATAGCAATGATTGTCGACAATAATAATGACAACTAATTGCATCATTAATTTAAAAACTCCTTTTATCGTCGTCGTCATATCGTCATCTAATCTTGACATTACAAATTGAATTGAATCACAACAATGAATCATATTAATAATACTGTTAATGATAATGTGAATGTGAATAATTCACATTCATTGAAATTAGATTTAACCATCAAAGAATTACTTGGACAAAAGGTAAATTTATTCCATTTGATTTGTTTTTTCACAATCCATTCATTTTTTGATTGAAAAAGGATGCATTACTCAAATTAGAACCAGAATGGATTGAAAAATTTACCGATCATCTGGAAACCAAACTGACCAAACAATCCGAATTTTCAATAAAAATTGGTTATTTTGAAACAAATGAAAAAATAGGATTAACTCCGGTGGAATTGGATCAATGTTTAAAGCAATTGAATGAATTAGCAACGACAATTGGTGCCAATCTAATACATTTATGTCGAAAACAATTGAATTCATCCAATTATTTTGTTGATGAATGTTTAATACGTAGACGATCACAATTGGATGATTTTCATGAAATTCGTGTCGCTGTTGTTGGTAATGTTGATTCCGGTAAAAGTACATTGTTAGGTGTATTGACTCATTGTGAATTGGATAATGGTCGAGGTCTGGCGCGACAACGATTGTTTCGACATAAACATGAATTAGAAACAGGTAAAATTCGTCGAGTTTCGCTTTGATGAATTAATCTATCAATCCAATTCGATTAGGTCGTACATCATCGATTGGTAATGATATACTTGGGTTCGATAGTTCGGGTAATGTTGTCAATAAACCATCCACACATGGTAATAGTCAACAATGGTCAAAAATTTGTGAAGAATCATCCAAAGTGATAACATTTATCGATTTAGCTGGACATGAAAAATATTTGAAAACAACAATTTTCGGCATGACTGGTCATTCACCTGATTATACATTGTTGATGATTGGTGCAAATGCCGGTATTGTTGGAATGACCAAAGAGGTTCGAATCTTTATAGAAGATGGTTAATATATTTTGAAATTATAAATTTTTTTTCATTTTAAAAGCATTTGGGCGTCACATTAGCCTTGAATATACCGGTATTTGTTGTCATAACCAAAATCGATATGTGTCCTGGAAATATTCTGCAAAACACATTATCATGTTTAAAAAAAGTTCTCAAATCACCTGGTTGTCGAAAAATTCCAATTATTGTTGAAAGTGATGAAGATGTTGTTATTTCAGCAACGAATTTTGTTTCCGAACGTTTATGTCCCATCTTCCAAGTATCTAATGTTGAAGGAACTAATCTACATTTTTTGAAAAAATTTCTAAATCTTCTCAATTCAAGAGCACCGAATCATGATAATTGTTTAGCTGAATTTCAAATTGATGAAGTATACACAGTGCCGGTATGTTGATTGTTTTTCGTTCAGTAGATGTTAACTGCAAAATCTTGTTTCAGGGTGTTGGTACAGTTGTTTCGGGAATATCACTTAAAGGTATTATCCATACTAATGATACTTTGCTGCTTGGACCGGATTCGCTTGGAAATTTCATACCGGTTGCAATCAAATCAATCCACCGAAAACGTTTACCAGTTAAAGAAGTTCGAAGCGGTCAAACAGCATCATTTGCATTGAAAAAGGTAAATTTCCATTGTTTTTCAAATTATGAGCTGGAATTTTATTTGTTTTGGACAGATAAGAAAAAATGAAATTCGTAAGGGTATGGTTATGCTTTCACCATTGCTCAATCCAAAATCATATTGGGAATTTGAAGGTGAAATATTGGTACTACATCATCCGACCACAATTAGTGCTCGATATCAAGCTATGGGTAAATACATTGCATGTTGAATTGTTTTTGATTTTTTCATTTTCACTTTTATCCAATCAAGTTCATTGTGGCAGTATTCGACAGACAGCTCAAATTTTATCAATGAGTCAAGATTGCCTACGTACCGGTGATAAAGCAAAAGTTCATTTTCGTTTTATAAAAAATCCCGAATATCTTAATCTAGGTATGAAGTTAATATTTCGTGAAGGAAGGACGAAAGCAATCGGAACGGTTACAAAATTGTTGATCGGTGCTGCACCACGTCCATATTGTAAAATGAAAAGAAGCCATCAAAATCCTCAATAGAATCAACAAATTGATGACATTTAATTTAATTTAAATTGATTTTTTCTTTTGTATCAATGTTATAAATATGACAAATTTTTTTTTGCGAAAAGTTTATTTATTTCAAAAAAAAAGAAGATTCATTCATTCACCATCCATAAAATTTGTGACCAGGTTATCACCATCACATTGATTGTTGTTGTGATATAACTTTTTTTTGTTGAAAAAATTGTTGCTTACTATTTTGGATATTATTATTAGATTTTCCACATAATTTTTCAATGATGATGATTGCCAGATGTTATTTTCAAAATAAAACATATTTGTCACGAAATGTTTCATCATTATTAAATTGTCGAACAATATTGAAAAGAGCCAAACATCAATCATCAATAACGAATCGTGATCAGGTGTTTATCGATAATAGTAATAGTAAAAGTGATAGTTTGCCCAATCAAAATAATGATGCCACCAATTATTTTGGTTTTAAACCAGTCACCGATGAAGAAAAATTCGAAAAAGGTATGCGTTTTTTTTGTTTTGACAACCATTAAACGCATTTGTGACGCAAATCAATAAATTTTTCCCCCGATTTAGTTTACAATGTATTTCATAATGTTGCCGGAAAATATGATCTCATGAACGATGCGATGAGCTTTGGTATACATCATTATTGGCGTAATGAATTGATTAAAAAATTAGATCCAATTCCGGGTACCCGATTATTGGATGTTGCTGGTGGTACTGGTGATGTTGCATTTGAATTTTTACGCTATACAAACGAAAGAAATGATAGAGAAAGTTCGGTTATTGTTTGTGATTTTAGTGAAAATATGTTGAAAATTGGTCAGCAACGAGCCATAAAATTCGGTTTTCATCCGGATCGTTGTCAATGGATGATTGGTGATGCTATGAATTTACCATTCGATTCGGATTCCTTCGATGCATATACAATATCGTTCGGTATAAGAAATGTAGTGAATGTTGATCGTGCCATACAAGAAGCATTCCGTGTTCTTAAACCTGGTGGAATGTTTTTATGTTTAGAATTTTCTAGCCAAGTAAACAATCCTCTACTGAAAAGGTATTTAGTCATATAATGGAAACAATTTCAACTAAATTATTCATCTTTATTCATTTTAGCATTTACGATTGGTACTCATTTGAAATAATACCAGTGATGGGTGAAATATTATTAAATGATTGGCAATCATATCAATATCTAGTCGAAAGTATTAGGAAATTTCCTGACCAACAAACATTTAAATTAATGATTGAAAAGAATGGATTTATATTGGTTGATTATGATAATTTTTTAAGTGGTATTACATCCATTCACTACGGTTTTAAGCCATTATAATCTCATTTTTCATTAAATAAAACAAATAACTTTAAACGAAAGAAAAAGAAAATAATGAATCAAGTTCATTACATTGTAGATACATGGTGTCAATACTGAGTGAATTATGGATACAATCAATGAATGTGATTATTTTTAATGGCGGCAAAAATAAATGATTGTGATCAGCCAGATTTGAATAATAAAATTGCCACTTGTCCCAGGTAAAAATAAACGAAATGTTTAGTTTCATGAGTTACATAGCTGCCAAAATTACGGCCAACGATACAATGCCAAGTTGGATTGTATTTTTTGTCAAATTCTTTTTTGATATAGGCAGCAATATCTTTTTCGATGTTGTATTTATCCAATGCTTGTAATGCTGTATTGATTGCATCATCTTGCATTTCTTCGCTCATATCGGCATTTTTGACCACGGCTTTTTTATCTCCAGACATTGTTTTCTTTAAACGATTGGAATGTTAATCTATTTGGATTTATTAATTAATTTAAAATCATTTTTTTCAATATAAAATACTTAACCTCTATAACAGCAAATGAATGTTGAAAATTTAATACTCGATTTTAAAAAATGTTATTGAAATTCAAACAGCCGAAATAACGAAAACGAATTAACAAACAGACACAAACACATTAAATAAGCCTGAAATGAAAAAAAATTTCTTCATTCATTGACTGTCCGATTATGATTGGCTGTCGGCAATGTTCTTTCACATTCTTTCACACTCGAATTGAGCCAATCAAATTTATTCACCCTGCCTACATTTCATTGGCAATTCACTAAAATGAGCCTCTACTATTTCTAACTTTTGTATCAACTGCTAGTTCAACTACAAAAAACTGACCAATTTTTCTGCAGTGTGCATGTGCTTTAAAACAACAACCAATAAAATGCACTGGGCGAATGCGCGAAAATATTTTCAAAAAAAAAAAAATTTAAAAATTTTCCTTTTTTGTATGGGCATGTTACATTTATGGATTTTTCTGTTTCGAAATACTAATCAAAATCAACCATCATCGTCATCATCAAAAATTTGCGGTTTAATTCTTAAATAAGCTTCAAATACATTTCATCGAACGCCAATTCAACATTTATTTTATTCAAAAGAAAACAAACAAAATAAAAGATGTTATATTTGTATAATATAGCAGCCGAAATCAGTTCTTTTTTTAGGTAAAATTATACATTAGTTTGTTGTTGTTGTTGAAATGAATTGCAAAGGAAGAGACAACGACTAGAGAACGAAGAGAATGAATAGAAATCGTCGATGTGATGATGATTTAGGAGGCACTAATTGTTTCAAATTAAAAACGATTATTATATTCATGATTCCATCGATTAAAATCAATATTATAAACCAATAGTTTTCCATTTTCCATACCAACCAGAATATATTTAAAATCCACCAAACTTAATGAACGTATCTTTTCAGTTGGCTGTAACTGTTGATCATTAATTGTTGTTGTTGCGGATGATGAATCCGTATTGAATGCATATAATGGTATCAAATCAAATGTACGTAATATTTTGATAGTATTACCATTCTCGGTAAAGATAATATATTCACCATCACGCGTTGTTTGTAGAATACAATTATCTTTATCTTTTGCAGCATTACTGTGGATCTCCATTGATTTAATCAATAGACCTTTCAGATTATAGGAAAATAGATAGGATTTATGTTGTTGCAGTTGTTGTGATTGTCGTTTGGATAATTTGTTTTTTCGGCTACTATTATTATAATCCGAACTTGCAATACCAATAATAAAGCCCAATTCGCGTGATATATTCAAATTGGTTATAATATAATCATTATCATCCATTAATGATTGTTGTTCTTTGTTGTTTATTTTATTGTTCGATTTTTGTTGATGATTTTCATCCAAATTTTCATTCGATTGTAGTTGATTATCATTTTTTTGTGGTGATTTTAATTTTTCGAATCCTTTTCTGCCCAACATACTTGCTTCGATGTTTGCATCTGCCCGAATGAAAGAAAATTAATTAATAAATTTAAGTTATCAATAATAAAATAGATAACATTACCTGCTAATTTCCTAAGATCAGTTTCATTAATATCACCATAACTTAAATCTTTTGTTCCAATCGAATGCCGATAACGAAAATCAATTTCCGAAATGCATTCACCTTGTGTTGTAGTATGTATGAGAATTTTATTCAAACTTGAACTAACAATTATTCCTAATTCTGCTGAAATCAGTAATGATGTTATCGGTGATTGATGTCCACACAGTGTTAATTTAGGCAATGGATTTGATGAATGAAAACAACCATTTCCTTCGATTTGTGAATATTTAGCATTCCATGTCCACAATAGTACCGAACAATCTTGACTACCACTGCAAACATAAAAATCGGATACAATATTACATTCACTGCGAGCAATACAAGTCACAACACTTTTATGACCATAAACAATTTGTGTAATACGTCCAGTTTCAGTAGAATAAACCCGGAAAGAATTATCATAGAATGGACATAGAATAATATATTTTGCATCCATTGTCACAACATAGTTACAACGATTTGAACAACAAAGATCATTAGTATCCATTAATTGACGTTTTGCCGTTGTACTATTATTGGATTGAAGATTTGAATCCATTATCAATGGATTTGTTGAATCTTTTGAATTCCATTTATGAAGGAAATATTGTTGATGTTGATTAATTGTTACAATCACTGAAGTTTGATTTGATTGAAGACTGCCAGTACAAGGTGCAACATGTACGATTGGTGAATTGAATGGAAATTTAAGATTTGCACATAATTCATCCAAACTTGATGTAAACATTAATGGTGATACATGCAAAGCACTGGATCTAGGTGGATGTGGATCTGTTGTTAATTGTGATGGTGTTTGACCAAAATGACGTATCTGTGTTTCAATAGCTTCTCTAATCGATTGATCTCCGATCGATGATAGATCAATATTACCTTCATAGGTTAGATAATAGAAAACATTTACAGCACGAACTGCTTCAGGTCCACGCTGTTTATAACCAAAAATTAAATCAATCCATTGATGTAATTGACAAGAAACCAGGTCGGATTCCAATGCCATTCGATGCAAACGAATAAAACTTTCCGGTGTATCAGCCCATGGTGGAAGTTTAACATTTTTCAATAAATTATTTCGATGAAATATTTCGGGTAGGAAAAAAAATTCCGGAATCAGTTCTTTAACATTTTGTTGACCACCCATCAAAGATGATACCCATGAATCACGAATCGATGTAAATAAACGACTACGATCTTCCAACAAGCCATCTTGAATTGATAAATAAATTGAAAAAAATGGTTGAATCCGTATCAACCAACTCAAGGTAAAAGCAGCTGTTGAATAATGTGTACCATAATGAAATGCTGGTACCTGATTATTATCCCATTGATTAAAACGTTCAATAAATTCTTCTCTACGTTCAGAATTCAAAGCTCCGATAGGTTTAGAAAGATCACGAAAGTTTGTTGGTTGTGAAAGATCCAGATCTTTACTTTCATAATTGGTTAAAATCCATGGAAATATTGGATATTGATTTAGATCTTGATATGATCTACCAGCGATTGTATTCAAAAACATCAGGTATTCAAAATTAGATATTTCACGTTTTTGCCAACGTTGTGTCATATTTGATGATGCAAATAATTGTTTGGGTGTCATTAGCGATCCACGTCTTGATTGTGGTATACCATATTTAACACCAACACCAACAGCCGGTAAATAACGTACAACTTTTTTCACGGTTTCATAATCCGAAAAAGCAAACATTATTGATGTACGTTGTGCAAGAAATATTTCCAATGCATTTGGTTGCAGCAGATATCTTCGAGTAAAAATTGCACGAATATCCGGAAATGATACTTTACAATTATAAGTCAATAGGTCACAATATTGTAATGCAACCAAATCCCAATCTTTAAATTCTTTTACACCTTTTGGTCCGATACCCGAAAGACCACGAAATGAATCATAACAAAATGATGAATCGTTTGTTTGTTTACGTTTATCATTTTGGTGATTTTGATGATTATGAAATTTAATCAAATCAATATCATTATTATTGTTTGGTTCAAAGAAAATTTCATTCGATGTAATTTGCAGCACTCCTTCTATAGTATAGATTGCCCATATTAAACAACATTCAACACTGAACAGGACTGAACTACTAAATTCAACAGTTGTTGTTGATGTTGATGTTGTGGATGTTTCTGTATCACCAATATTATCATCAGTATTCATATCCCATAGATATGAATCATTATCTTCATCATCAATGGCCGAATTTGTGATTAAAGATCGTGGTGGTACAATTGGTGATGATAATGATTTATGTGTATCATTATCATGGTCATTATGATGGTCATGGTGATTCTCATTGATCGTTTCGTGTTGTACAATTCCACTTGCAACAACATTGATTGATTTTAATTTCAAATTAATAAATTCACCCAATGAATCATAAATAAAACGACGACGTCTACGACAATCATCTTCCCATGAATCTAATTTAAAATATTTTCTTTCTTCTTGTTTGATTGATTCTTTAAATCGAGTGAATATCATCCAATCACGACGTTTTGCCGATATAATCAATGAATTTATAATATTTTCCTCTTGTAACCGGGAATTATTTGTCTCAATACAAGATTGTGTAAATGCATCATGTTTGGAAACATCATCGGCACGTAATCGATTTAGAATAAATTCCGCTTCCATTGCCACTCGTACAATATGATCTTTCATTGCATGCGATAATAATCGGCCTTCATTGATTAATTCAATAAATGCTAATCCGGCATTTTTTTGTAATGTATTTTGCCATTCTTGTGAACACAATAGCATCACTAGTTCGACCGGACTAGCATCTTGACGTTTAAATGTACGAATAGTTTCTTTTGTAATCAATTCTTGACCATGTGATCCAAGCAGAGTTTTCGATAAAAATGATGAAAAATCACAAATAATTTCCCTTAATAATGGACATATTGATGATAATGTTTGTTCTAATTTATTGGTTAATTTTTCGGTAATTTTTGTCGTTTTGGTTATTTCAATCGATTCAATCGATGTTTGTTGATCTGATTCTTTGTTTGAATTATTTGTTTGAATATCCACTTCATTCGATTGTCGTTGTTGTTTATTGTTGATCGATTTATCACCACCACCAACAACATTATTTTTCGGTTCAATAATATCACGATATTTGGATACCATAAGAACTGATATAAAATATAATGTAGCTAATGCTAGAAATTGTGATTGACGTGGATCGGAATCAGCATCACGATAAATACAAGCTCTTAGTCGATTAATATCCATTTCTTGTAGCAATGAATTTGGATCTTTAATCGGTGTTATTAGATGATAATGTAAATTATCAATATCCATATCAGTTGTTTTACAATGAATCAGATCGGAATGCGCAGGGTTAAAATCAACATTAAATAATTCAGCCGATGAAACAATACTAATTCCTTTATAAAGATATTCATTTGGTGATATTAATTCAAAATCAATAGAAGAATCATTAACCGAAGCAGCAGAAGAATTTGTCAAAGAATTTTCATGTCGTTGAATAAGTAGACAATTTTTAACAGCAATCGTACAAACAATACGTAAACATTGTCGTAGGATACCACCGGCAGCCATATTTTTTTCCGCTTCCAATTCATTGAAATTTACATGTGTTGCAACAAAACACAAAACATCAATCAAATTGGCCAATTTATATAGGAGGAAATTTGCCTGTGATTGTGTAAAACCTTCATTGCTGATTGATGGATTAATACCGGTTGCATTGCCACCATTACCCCCACCACCACCACCACCGCCAGTTGCTGATGCCAATAATGGAAGCAGACCACCCGAAGCAATAATAACATTATCACAAAGTTGTGATATTAAATGTATTGTATTGACAATATAGATTTGATTATCATTATTTTGTAAAACTTGATCAATTTGTGTTGTTTTTGTCAATGATGCGGATGAATCTAATTTAAATTCAACACTTTGATTACGCCATGTTTGTAAATCAATTTCAATTGAATAAAGTAAATCATTCAAAAGTTTCAGATGTAAATTACTCCAACGAAATTCTGGTATACGAAATGCTGGTGTAGCTGATATTTTTATTTTATTTAAATCGATTGTTGATTGTTCATCATTTTTATCGACAATATCAGGTCGTTTCGGAATTTCGGTATTACGAAATTTTCTTGATGGTGCTACATCAACGGAATCATTAGATGGTGCACTAGTAGTTTGTTGTTTTTCATCATTATCAGTATTTTCATTATCTTCTTCGACAACACTTTTGTTGTTTGACGGTAAATTATTATTTGTCGACGATTCATTTTCAATCGAACTAATTGTACAAATAGCAGCTGCAGGAACGGGATGTGATTCATTATTATCCGATTCATCATTATGATTAACATTTTCCGCTGCATTCGTTTCTTGAATTTTGGAATCTTGTTGACCATCAGACACAATGGTATCATCATCAACAGCATCATTATTTGCATTCATTATGGGATGAGTTTTTGTTGAAGACACCTGTAATGATGCTTTAATATTTTCCAAATTTTTATTATTCATCATCATCATATTTTTCATTATAATGGACGGATGATTATTTGTTGAATAAGATGTTGATGCTGAAGTTGAGGATCGTGAACTTTTACCAAATTGTTCACAAAAATCATCATATGATATTTTGGCATGTATAATGGCCAAAGTATCGATCCAAACACGCCAACCACCATATTCATATTTGATTGCATGATAAAGTAATATACGAAATATTGCTAGAATTTGATTTGTAATCAATTCATTTTTTATATTATCAATTAAATTGATTAACCAATTTTGCCATACAGACATTTGCAGAACGAATCGACGATTTTCACGATTATTAATCAATAATGACCATAAATCATTGATGAAAATTTCTTTAATATTATTACCACCACCACATGATGATCTATCTTCGGACGAATCTTGTTGTTGTTGTTGTGATTGTTTGCCTTCGATCAATAATGTTGCAATAACTTTCAAAATCATTGAATTTTCAATTTTTAACATTGAATTACATGATGAACTAGTCAACCGTATTGATTCGATTGATGTTTCAGTTAATATTTCAAATAAAGCATTATAAGTATTCAATGTTAATGGTGTAAAACGTATCAGATGTTCACAAAGTAACATGTATAAATTATTTGGTCCCATAACATCTTGTTTACGTTTTGGTGTACTGCGACTAAGAAAATAACCAAGAAGTTTTAACGCTTGAATTCTTATCTCTTCATTGGTGGAATTGAGCAATTTGAAAATGGTTTGAACACCATGTTTAGCATCGAATGCTGGAATCAGCGATGCAGGATGTTCACACATTAATGATTGAAGCATTTGAAGGACATCAATAATATTTAAATCTTGATTGACGGTAACCAAATAATTCAATATTGCTTGTAATTCATCCAAATGTATACCATTACCTTTGATAATCAGTTGTTTAATGAATAATAGAATATATGAACGAATTGTTTCCAATTCTTCCTGGTTAGGTCTTTGTTTGAAATCTTGTGCTTTAACATTATACGATTTTTCCTCCATTAACCAATAATAATATTTTAATGAATGTAATAATTGTAGAACGGTTGATATACGACGAACTTCATTGAATATTATACCATTGAGAAGCATTTGCGATTGATTTGATTGATTCAATTGTTGTAGGGCCGGATTTGTATTGGAATTAATCATCTGATTACCACTTGTTGTTGAACAAGCTCCATTTAAAAATTCATTGGAAAGATAACAATAAAGTTTCATTTGGATTTTGGCATCAACATAAATCCAAAGTGATGCATTGAATAGAATATTATCCAAAATTTGTTTCAAAATTAATACATCATTATTATTTGATGTACTGATCAATGTTTTTGTTAGATTTAATAATACATCCAGCGTATCATTATTGATTAATAGCCGGGCATTTTTCGACAGAATTGATGCAATTGTAACAAAACCATGTGATTGTATCATTTCATTACCGAACCATTGTGGTGAAAATTCCAATAAATCACAAGTGAAACCAATTAGCGTTGAACATGCATCGGAATCATTTTTTTGTGCAAATTTATATAATAATGGAAGCAGAGCACTAATACCACCAATTGATTGCAATGTTGAACTTATGGAATGTGTTTGAATGGATTTTGCCTGTCCAATCAATGCAGCATGTGGTGATGATATAAAATATGAACAATTATTTTTCGGTAAACATTGCAGACAAAGTGTATCACTTTCAACAGCAACCGGTGTATATAGGCAAAATATTGAAGAGCTTAATTTTTCTTCATAAAGTACACGACGGATACCTGCGGGCAGCTCCATTTGACTTTCATTGGAATGTCTAAATTGACCAATATAAGATGGTCCCAAACGATGAATCGAACAAATTTGGCTAGGATTCAGCGCTTCATTAAATAAATAAATCGATGCAATTTGGCCGGAAAACAAATAAGTATCATTCAAATCAGGTGTACCACCAATAAAACATTTATCAAAATGATCGTTTGTTTGCACTTGCCATGCCATTTCAGTATTAGCTGTCAATTGGCCATTGACATAGACTTTCATTTCAGCACTACGCCATTTTGTTAGATAAGTAATAGCACAATGATACCATTTTTGTGATTGAAATTCATAAGGGATACAATGTTGAAATCCTTTTCCTTTAATTTTCATTGATGTTAACACTAGGCAATTGCCGGTAAAATGTGCTGAATAACCAACACCAGATTTACTTGTACGAAAATAATATAAATAAGGCTGTGAATTGATTTGATTCGATTCAATACGAAACCATGTTAAAAATGTCCAACCATTTTGTTGTGGCCATTTTTGAAATGGTGGTAATGCTAATACTGAACCATTGGATCCAGGAAATGCAAAAAATGCTGTAGGACGATTACGCTGTTGTAGATTGGCCGCTCGGATATAATGTAATAGCCGGGGATCTTCTTCACTTAGTTTCAAAATTGCTAATAATTCTTTTACATTACAACTATATGTGGTTTGCAGGTTGATAATTTCACGAATAAAATGTTTGATCAGATTATCAAGATTGAATGTTTGCGTTATAGCAATTAGCAGTAGATCTTTTGAATATTCCAAATTAAGTAATGATTTTTTCAATACAGCAATAATAACACTAAGAATTTCTGCTACAACTTTTGATGGTAACATTTCCAAATAATCACAGAAAAATATCCGTAATGTTTCTGGTTTTCGTATTCGTTGTAAATCTTCAGTAATCAACAATTTAAGAATATTATCTGTTATGAAATTAATTTCATTAACCGGTATTGAATCTAATCGATTATTATTATTTGGATGTTGTTGATGATTTGATAAAACGGCTAAAATTTTTGTATAAAGTAAACCAAATTTTACTTCATCCGAACTGATAGGATCATTCAAAACTTCGTTCATAGCTGTATAAAATGAATTGGAAAATTTTCTTTTTTGATTCTGTTGTTGTTGTTGTTGCTGTTTTTGTTGTGATTCTACATTTCCATCAACAGTGACCATGTCGACGACATTATCTTCTTCTTCATCATCATCTGCTTCCTCTTCATCAACATCGACATCGTCGTTATCATCGATATTGTCACCACCACCATTATCACCGATAACATGATGAGGGTAATGTTTAGGTTCACATTCAGAATCACTAATCATCAATGATGATGGTGATTCAGAATTATCATTATTGCTACTGTTGTTATGATTTTCAATTTCACTATTGCTCGAATTATTGATGAAATTCGAATCATAAGAACATTTATCATTGATTAATGATGATTGACCATTTTGTTGTTGCTGCAATTTTGATGATTGTTGCTCATCAATAATAATTTGATCGATGACATTATCAATTATTTGATTAATTGTCGTTTGGATCTGATGATTATTATTATCGATTCCTTCCATGTTAACACTGTTTTTTTTGGGGAAAAATATTTATTATTGGAACATGATGAAATTCGGTAAAAATTCAATTACCTTTTGCAAAATTGTTGTTGACAATCATTCATTCATAATATAGTTTGACAGAAGAAGGGTTATTTCAAGACAAAAAAAACGATTTGAAAAACAATCAAAAAGGATCAATTTTTTAGGAGAAATATTTTTTTCAAAACACGGAAATTTTTTTGGTTTTTGTTGTTAAATGATGACCATCAAAAAAAAGAAGAAAGTATAATCATCGTCATCATTATCGAAAATGATCCATGTCATTCATTCATCAATTGATATGTACACATGGATACCGATCATTGGATTTAATTGCATTAAAATTAGATTTTCAATGATGATTGTGTAAAAAGAAAACAAAACAAAAAAATGGAAAATATTTATTCCGTATACGGAGAAAGATTATGATGATAATGATGATTATTATTACGTAAACAGTCTGATCACCGTATTGGTCACAATTAATCAAACAACAAAATTTTTTGACAAAATTATTTCCGGCTTAATATTATTCAATGCTACTACCACGAACGACCGACTAACAATCCAATGAATCCGATCCGATACGTATACGAATCCCAACGTAACCAAATATTGTGACTATTACCGATTTTGTATTGTTTAGTATCCGCGTTATTAAAAATCCCAAAAAAAAATTGTGAATAATGTTGACAAAAACCAAACCAAACCATAACAAAGCGCGACCACTCCTTCCGTAGTGGATTTTTACTCTCTTCTTGTTTGTTACGTTGTTATGTTTGCGTGGCTTATATTATGAGATCCGTATTGTGTATCCCTGAATGGAATACTGCTACAACAAATCGAATCTCCAAAGACTTTATTCGAATTCGAATCCATGCATTTTATTTATTTTTTTGGTTAAAATGATAATGGTAAAATGATAGTGATGATGATATGTCAACAATACAATACACAATATGATAATTTTCATCGAAATCGGATATTTTTACATTTAAAATGCCGGTGTATTTGTTTGTAATTAATGCACAGTGTTTGCAAACGTGTATTACACGTATACACTAAAAAAACAAGAATGTTTTCTCTCTTTTTAATTATAGTCAAAGATGATAATCAAAATTTTATTAACGAAAAAAAATTGTCAAACAAAAATTGATAAAAAAAACCTAAACAATTTTTCGATAAATTTTATATAAAATAGATGATACTAATACAATCGAACAAGATGATAGCCAAATTGTTTTGATCATTTTTTTCCTAGAATCATTATCATCTGTTTGATCATTATTGGAAAATATTGTTCGAAATCGATTCCAAAACCATCGTTGCAATGATGATTTAGCCATCATATGATATTTACCTGTGGATTCTACTTCAACATCAATCCATTCTCCAAGTTGACATTGATGTTTAGCAATTAATATTTGTTCATAGAATTTATTATGACCAACAAAAAATTGTTTATCCGAAGATAATTCTGTAACCAATACACGATATTTTCGACCAATACGATCATTATAGGGTTGATAAGAATTGAATAGCTGTGATATTACTCGACTACGACGTTTTACCTTTGAAAAATTCATTAATTAAATAATGGAAATGAATTGGGATTTTTTTTTTCAAAGCATTTACCTCCTGTGTAGGAATTCTTTTCATTTTGGCAGCCGGTGTTCCAGGTCGTGGGAAAAATTGATTAATAAATAATACCGGAAATTGATATTTTTCCACTAATGATACGGTTTCTTCGAAATTCTCGACAGTTTCGGTAGGAAATCCACATATAATATCCGTAGCAATAGTAATACCATTGACTCTGATTGAAAAGGGAAAAAAATCAAATTAGTTCATTAACAAATCAATCAATCAAACCTTTGTTTAAGAAAATCGACAATTTTACAAAAATCTTCGATACAATATTCACGTTTCATATCGGATAAAACTTGATCACTACCAGATTGAACTGGAATATGTAAAAATGAATAAACACGTGGATGGGATAGAATTCTAGCCATATTATCAATATGTTCCAATATATATGGTGGATTAGTCATACCGATACGTATCATACAATCTTCAGGTGTTACCCGAATTAATTCATCTAATAATTCGGGTAAATTTGTTCCTAGATCACGACCATAAGCACCAGTATCTTCACTTGTTATCCATAATTCTTTAACATTTTCGCGGAAAGCAGTTTGTGCTCGTTCAACAATATCCTGGATTGGATAACTACCTAATTTACCACGTGCATGTTTAGTTTTACAATATGTACATTCATTCAGACAACCAGTATTGATTGAAATGATTTCAATCAATGGATTTCGACGTATTTTTGGCATATGAAGTGATGCACCACCAGTTTTTTTGCCATCACGTTTACGAACATTCAAATAACGAACAACGTTTCCTTTCAATGTTTCGTCGACAATTTCAACAATTTTATCAATTTGTTGAACACCAACAATACTCATTGATTTTAGGTATGGTAAACGATAATCAGATTGTGCTACACATCCAGCTAGCACTAATTTTTTATCGTCAGCCAAAGCTTTTTTAATTTCATTACGAAATTGTAATTCGGCCGGTGTTTTAACTGTACAAGAATTCAATATCCATAAATCAGCCTGGTCTTTATCCTGAACAATATTATAACCATTTTGCGCCAATAAACCCATCATATATTCACTATCACTACTGTTATGTGTACAACCCCATGTATGAACATAAATTGAATGTTTAGCTGGTAAAAAATTCTGATACGGTTCATTGTTATCATCAGGTTGATCATCATTGTCATCGCCATCGTTATCACTAGATTTGTCATTGTTTTTTCGTTGAAAAATTCGGGGATTTAATTTCACTTTAAATTCATGATAATCATTATCATTTTTATTGTTTGATGAATTAACATTTTGATAAATATCTTCAATATCTTCTAATGTCATTATTGCCAAATTTATAAAGGAGAAAAGACTTGGGAAAACAATTTTTGTTTAGATTTATTCAAAATAAAATTTTTAAACAGAAAAAATTAACAGAATCGAATCAAAAACATATTTTTTTGCACACATGCATCAAATGGACACACATGATTCATACGATGCAAGTTGTTTTTGTGAAATTTTTTTTGAACAATGTATAAACAGATTTTTGGTGAAATTTTTAAATTGAGGAAATTTTTCAAAAAACATTTAGCAATCTTAAAATAGATGGATCTTGTTTAACACCATCAATAAATTCATCTAGTGTTAATTTTCCATCCATATTACGATCCATTTGTCTGAATACTTTTTCTGTTCGTTTTTCTGGTGTTGAAACATCATCATCTAATCGAATTGAATTGCCTAACATTTTATACATTGCATTAAATATTTCTAACATTTCCTGACGAGTAATATAACCATCACCATCAACATCATATATATTGAATGCCATACGTAATTTTTGTTCCATACGACCGGATGATGTTACCGATATCGCACACATGAATTCTCTGGAAAAAAACAAAGAAAAAAATGAAAAATTTCACCTGAACAAAACACCTACCTAAAATCAATAGTACCATCATTATTGAGATCGAACGTTCGAAAAACATGTTCGGCAAATCTATTCGAATCACCCGAAGGGAAAAAATTTGCATATAATTTTTTAAATTCCCTAACAGTTAAATGATTTTGTGGATATTCTTTATGAAAATCTTGATACCATTCGAAAATTTCTTGTGCACTAAATCCGGTTATCTGTAACAATTCTTCTAACATTTTTGGTTTAATATTTTTACTTTGATTTAGACCCATTTTTTCGTATTATTAAGAAATTTTTAAAATTTTATTATTTTAAAATCAACCTGTGAAAAAAAATCATCATCATCATTATAATCAAGAAAAATTTTAATAAAAAGGGTTATTCGAACGATTCAAAGAAGAAAAAAAAATACTGCCAACAACAACAAAACAACAGAATACACACATATAATATATATAAATGTTTGTGGAATTGAATAATGAGAGAGCATAATAATGATGAATATGGGCGGAATATGATTATAAATGATAATTATCGTTTTGGTGTGGGCGTCATTGTTGAATAAATTTTCTAAATGAAATTTGTAACGTCATGTTTTGATTTTTGGTGAATTCGAATGATGATGATTTGATTTGATGATCGAATAAGATTGAAAATTGATGAAAAGTCGATTCGAAGAAACAAACAACGATGATAATTTGAACATAAAAACATTTTCTAAATTAATTTTTTCTTTTGCATTTTGTTTTGGTCATCGATAGATTTAAAAGGGCAGAGATTAAGTAAATTGAATGATAATTTACAAAATGAATTACAGTATGTTTAAGAATCACCCGAAAGTGATAATAATTTGGCCAAACCATCATCAATATTACAGACTTCAAGAAATTCATCCAACGATATTTTCCCATCATTATTGGCATCCATTTTTTCAAATATATCTTTGATACGTTCGGCTGCTGCGTCACCTTCAAATTGATTGGCCGCTTCTTCACCCAACATTTCATGTAATGCCTTTTGCATGTTTGAAGAAAAATTTTGATTTGAATTTTGCAAAAACAAAACAAACTAACTTACCTTAATAATTTTAGTCATTTCATCCAATTCAATCAAACCATCATTATTGATATCATACATTTTGAATGCCCATTTAAGTTTTTCTCTTGGATTTGTACTGGTTGTAATACCGATTGCCAGTAAAAATTCTTTAAAATCAATCCAACCATTACCATCTTCATCGAATGTACGATAAACATGTTGACAGAATTTTTCCGGATTACCACCTTTAAAAAATACTTTATAAATTTCAATAAATTTATCTCTGGATAATTTTCCTTCCGGACAATCCACCTGGAATCCTTTATACCAATCACGTATTTCTTTTTCCGAATAATTTGTATTTTTCATTAAAAATTGTACATCTTCATCGGTCAATTGAACACTGGATTTTGAATTTGAGCAACCCATTTTTTTTTGAATATTCGAATCGATAGAATCGATAGTGATGAATCGATGATAGTGATGTATAGTGATAAGATGAACAAAAACAATCGATTGTTTTTCGAAGGTCGATAAAGAGAAATTAAGAAATTTCAAAATTTCAACAGAAAAAAAAATCAAAACAAAAAGATGAATCTAAAATCAGGATTGAAATATCTATTGAAATTGTTGTTGAAAAAATAAAAAAACACAGGGTGCACACACAATACGTCATGAAAAACGCGTCACAATATTAATTTTGATTTGGAAAATCAAATAACGAGAAAAAATCAATCAATCGATAATCAATCATAAATCACTTTGTTTCAAAATTATTAATAATGATGACGATGATGATTGTTGTCATAGTTTGTTATGCCAGTCAGCCAGTGAGCTAATCAAACTTTTTATTAAGAAAAGCTTCCGTTTAATGATTTCATCCCAACAAAACACAAAACCAGGAAAAACAAAGGAAAAATTTTTTGTTTGTTTGTTTTTTATTGGAAAAAAATTGATTGATAAAAAACAGAACAGATTGTCACTATGTTTTATATTATGACATTTGATCTTTTTTTAAACAATTTTTCCTGGTCGGTTTGTTCATCGTTTTAGCGGATTATGACCAAAAAAAAAAATTTTTTGTTTCCTAGTAAGTGATTATAATTGGTCATTAAATATCTATGATGATGATGATCCTCTAGCATTTTATGGTTGGTGACATTTTGTGGAAATATATTCTATATATAAATTCTTGTTTCAGAAATGTTACACATTCACTCAGGCAACAACACCGCAACAAAGAATGACCACCAATGAAAACCCCAAGAATTTTATTAGTTATCCATAACCAATGGTTACCACCATTGATACTGATGAAAATTCTGTTAATTACACTTTTACACTACATATCAAAAAAAATGTGTGTTCCAAAAACATAGTAGATAAAATATATTATATGTTGCATAGTGAAAACAAAAAAACAAAAAAAATGAAAATGAAATAAAATGTCAGCGTACTTTTGTCTTGACCATTTGCATTATTAATTAGTTCAAATTTAACACTACACTACTCTTACTGCCATTTATATAGTAACCCCAAAAAAATGATAATAATATTCCAAAAAAACCCCTAAATCATTTTGGTTTTTATATACAAATGAATCTAATGACATTAAAAATCATTATTTTTGGTTTGGTATATTGAATTATTTATTCTCACATGATTAACATGGATTCAGATATGCAGAATATAATCATCATCATTAGTATACTATAGTAATATTTGTCTGACCTATCGGGTCAATTCTTTCATAACCAAATGAAATTTGATTTTCAAATTCGACCCAGATATCTTTTTCTATCCCTAATCCTGATTGAGGGAAAAAAATAATAACCCCTTGTTCACTATGGAAACTCGATTGGTATTTTTCTGAAACATTCATTTCATTCTGCGCAACTATAGACTACAATCATTATTCATTACACGCTAGATCACCGAATAGAGATTTTCACTTATCAATTGAAAATTGATAATGAAGAAATTTCTCATCATCATTGCTACAATGTTATAATTAAATATTTTCGCTGACCAATTTAATCGATTATAGGTAACTTATCGATCGATCGATCGATTGATTGATTTTTTCTCGTTTTTTATTTGATTTTTTGTTTTCTTGAAAAATTTACCTTTTTTCTTCTTGAAAATAATTAATTAACGATGGATAAATGATGTCAACAAAACAAAAATAAGGCACATTTTCGATAAATAATTTCTTTGGAAAACAAAACAAAATTGTATTTACAATTCAATTAGTGTGTGATGTACCAAAAAAAAATGCAGATGCAAAAATGCAAACAACAACAACAAAAATGTCCCTTCAAATGCATACATTTAATTAAGTTAATGGGATAGAAGGAAAGAAAACTTTCCTGGAAATCTGATTGGTTCCAGTGTTTGGGAAATCTTTTCAGGCAATCAACAAAAAAAAATTATACAAAATTTTTGTTGCCATAATTCGAATGTTTGTGTGATGACAGTATTTATTGAATCGAATGTTTTTATTCAATTTGGGGTTATAATAATTATAATTTTTCATATTTATAACGTGATTTACTTACATGAAATTTATAAAAATCGATCGATGAGATATTTATTTAAAAAACAAAATTTTGAAAAATACAATTCATTTTGATTAATCCTGAAATGAAATGAATATTTTTTCAAATGAAAAATATCATTGGATTTTATAACAAAAAAACACACATTTAACACATACAAAAACTATGAAATTCTACATACACACACACCAAGAAAGAAATCAAAATCCAAATGTCTAAACAGATGATGATTGTTTTTGAATTATTGAAAAGATCTAGCGACAATAACAGCCAACAGATTTCACAGTCAACAGAATTTGTCAATGTCTTCTTCTTTTTCTTCACAATTCGCCCATTTTATTTTATTTTAGTATTTTTAAAGGCCAAATTCTGAATCCTTATAGCCAAGAATTGATTAGTTTCTTTGTGTTTGTTTTTTTTCTATCTATCTTTTTTCTATGCGTGTCTATGTTTACAAGACCTTCAAATGTTATTTTTTTAAATGGTTCCATTATTATTATTTACCAGGTACACCAGGTAACAAGCTATGTTTATTTATGTAGACACCCAATATTTTCAAAACAACAACAATTTTATTCGAAAAAAAACCTAGTGGCAGTCTTTGCATAATATCCTTTCCGGCGCCCAAATATATAGTTGTTTATTTTTTTTATTTTTTTGGATATGACGATGATGATGACAAACAATCAAAACAAACAATAATAAGATACCTGCAAAAACAACAACAATAAAATTGCAATCATTTTAAGGGGATCTTCTTTTTTTTTGAATGAAACAAACAAACGAAAAACAAAAATGATAACCATGACAGTCAATTTATTGACTTTCTTGCTTCTCCTAATCTTGAATTTTGACAAAATGGCATATGAGATATAAGCATGGCAACCGGATAATAATTTTTTTTATTCATTTTTTTTTGTTTGCAAGAAATAACCGATGAATATGAAAAAAATATTTTTGTTTTCCTGGTTCCGTTCATAAACAATGTATCATTATTATAATTGAAGTTATTTTTTTACTTCCGCACAATCTCAAGTTTTTTTTTGAAAAAATATTACAAATTGAGAATGAATAATTTGACAAACGTCATCTGGTGGTTGAAAAATGAAATTTATTCAGGTTTTTAAAAATTGATAAATTACAAAAAATACAAAACGTAAAATTTTAATAAAAATTTTTAGAAAATTCTTTCGATTCCAATATATGTAGAATATGTTTATAGCCAAAAATTTTTGCCATATCTTTAGCAGTACGGCCATATAAATCAGTCTTTTGTCGATTAACATTGATAACGTTTACCAAATAATCGATAATTTCTGGTTGATTTCTTTCAGTTGCCTTTGTAACCAAAAAAAAAACGAAACAAAACAAATGGATAAATATTATTAATTTTGTTGTGATTTATTTGCATTTTTAAAATGGAAATGTTATATAAATTGTTACATCGTTACAATTGATTATTGATTGATTGAAGTACAAAAATAAAAGAAAATTAAATAAAGTTATAACGTTGATTTTTTTTAAAGAAAAAATAAATAAATAAAGATATCAAATAATCAGGATAGATCACACAATTTTTTTTCGTTTGTTTTGTTTTTTGTTTTTGCATCCAGCATAGCACAGAACAGAACAGGGTTAAACAATTATCATTATAACATTCAATTTTGGGGTGATAGAAAATTAACCCTTAGTTTGCTTTGTTTGTTTGTTAATTATTTTACAATGGATTATTAAATGGAATTTATATTTATAAATATTATCCGCGAGTATGTAAACATACAGCATGTATACATTGACGACCGAATGTATCTTTTTCTTCTAATGTAGCACCAGCCAAACGTAATGATCTTAATAGTTGTAATTTTCCATTTGCAGCAGCACTGTGTTTATCAAAGAAAAAAATTCAAAATTTTTTTTGATGAAAAAAATGTTTTTTGTTTTGTTTTTTGTTTTGACACTTACTTTGTAATCAGATCACCGACACGATTTTTGGGCAAATCTAATGATGCACCAGCTTCAATCAACATTTTAATAATTTCATGTTGTTGATTTTTTATGGCCAAATGTAATGCTGATTCATTATTTTTATCTTTAGCATGTACATTAACACCTTCGAATAGAAGATATTTAACAACATCTTTATGACCATGACTAACGGCAATATGCAGCGGTGTACGCATATCATAATCACTTGCACATAAATCGATACCATTCTTTTTTAGCTGGATTAAACTATCAACATCACCACGTGCAGTTATAGCACAAACAATAGCCGGATAAAGTGCTGAACGTAATTTTTCAATTTCATCCGATGTTGATACTTTTAGCGTACTGGCTATCGCTTGAACAAGGCTAACATCTTCAACTTTTTGTTCACGTATTACGGTCATTTCACCACGTAAATTTGTACGTACCATCTATGTTTTGAAATTGATAGATGATTGGTTATATGTTAATTGAAAAAAATCAATAATATTCTGCTTACCTCTCTTTTTTGTTCTAATGACCATTCATCTTTACTTAGAATATATGACAGTTTAGCTAAACATGCTTCAGGTGTCATATCAGAACCAGGTATAACACCAGCTTCAACTAATGCATTACCAGTTTCATATGATGGATCAACTTTACCATTTGGACATTGTGTTATATTTACAATAATCAAACCACGTTTAGTTGCTTCACGAAATTCATTTAGAATATCTTTACGATTGGATGGTGCATTTCCAGCACCATATGTTTGCAGCACTACACCTTGTATTGGATCACGTAAAAATACACGTATCTATTGTTTGAAGGAAAGAAAAATTTTTTGATTAAAAGATTGCTTTATCTTTCTTTGAAAACAAACAAAAAATTAACTTACCGTTTCGACTGAAATGCTTGGAAATAAACGTAATAATGTTACATTACGATTTAATTTTGAATGAACATGTATTTTGGCAATTGTTGATGGCCGATAAACATTATTCCAATCAACTAATTTTTGTGTTAAAATTTTAATTAATTAAATTAATTCAATTGAATCAAATATTACTTACCATCAATTTTAATGCCAATATTGACTAGTGGTGACATGTTTGGTGAATTGAATGCATCCAATTTCGATGCACTAATTTTCGATGTACGATTACCACGAAATAATTTATTATTAAATTGTATGGTTACTTCGGGTATTGAATAATTGCCAGCAATTATTAATGAATTTAATAAATTTTCTTTAGCATCACTTCGTGCTTCATACAGCGGTATCTGTGAACCAGTTATGACAACAGTTTTGCCCAAATTTTCCAACATAAATGATAAAGCCGATGCAGTGTAGGCCATTGTATCGGTACCATGTAAAATGACAAAACCATTGAATCGATGATATTCTTTCTGTTTTTTTTATACAAACCGATTGTTAAAAGCTAATTCGCTAATATCATTCATTTCAAAAACAAACCTTAATATTTTGTGCAATCAAAACCCAATCATCAATGGTCATATTGGATGAATCAAGCAATGGATCATATTCAAAAATTGTATATATTACTCGCTTTTTCTCGCCAGTATCACTGTTAATGTACCAAAAAGTTCAAAAAAATTGATCATTTTTAAAATGAAAAACTTACGGTAAAACTAATAAATGTTCGGAATCCGGTAGCATACAACTTTTTTCAAAATATTCTGGATCATGTAATTGGGGATATTTTTTGATTACTTGTGCAAATGCACCAGGACGTGGTTCATAAACTAAATTTTGATGAAATTAAAATTTAAAATTTGAATTTTCATCATTAAATCAATCAATCATTTACCTCCCGAACCATTTTTCACCATACCAATAGTACCACCAGTATAGATAACTAAAACTTTACTTTCTTCCGATAATGTACCATAAGATTCAATACGTGCAATAGATTTATTTTTGCGCAATACTTTTGGTTCAAATGATGGATCAATAAGTTTTTGTTGTTGTGGTACTGTTTGCGCTAGATTTAAACTTAAACGTCGATGACGACGATTTGCCGTTTTCGGTGATTGATAGCAACCATTTAATGGCAGGTTATTTAGTAATTCGGCATCCGAATCACAAGAATCTTCGGAAAATATTTTGTCGGTCATTTTTGAAAACGAAAAAAAAAATTTATTAATCGGCCTGTTGATACCAAAATCAAACAAAATGAATGAATGAAATGTCGATGTCGATGATCCGATGAACACAATCAAAGAATGATATTAAAGATCAAGTTTTATTATTATTATTATCACTATTATTATTATTATTATTATTGATATTGGCACAATTCGTTTTCATACGATAATAATCGTTGAATAGTAGAAAATAATGATAAATGAAATTTTCGTTTTGTTGTCGAAACATTAAAAACAATTTAATTAATTATTGGGGGGTGGTTTTCCTTCAATAAATATAACAAAATAATAATGAAATTAGATGATGTTTGATGATAATAATGGCCAACATGTACGATGATGTTGTTGTTTTCAATAGATATCTTACACAGGACGGTGACACTTTATGTCGAATAAGGCAAAAAAAACTTTTTTTTGGAATTTTACCAAGAAAAAATCCGGGGTAATATATCAATATGTTTCGATCGATATATAGCACAAAAAAAAGATAACCAGAACAAAAACAACAACTCTTGATAAGTGAATGAATGAATTGGAAAAAAGCAAACAGAAAATCAGATCGAATCCAAAAATAATAAAGCGATAAATCTTGATTGGAATAAACAAAATATTGAATATTTTTTTCTATTTGTTGTCGTAAGGGTTAAATATATTCAGGATTTCTTTTTTTTATAAAGATTTTCAAAAGTTGAATTGAATTGATGTGTGTTTTGCAAATGAACGAAATTGAATGATGAAGATAGTTTCGAATAGAGCGATGACTTTAAATACTAAAATTTTTTTTTTCGTATCGAATCGGATCTAATTTTTGTTTTTGAAGAAAACCGCCGCCACTGCTTCTCTGTACAAATTATTGCAAGGGAAAGAATTTATTTTCTGAATGAAAAGAGAGAAATTCAATACAAACAACCAATGAATCTTCCTATATCCAAAAAGATGAACTTCAATTCATTTCAAATGTGCTTAATTCGTTCTCTCTCTCTCTCCCTTTAATTACAGTGGTAAATGTGAAATAATAATCATTATCCGTTTGAAAAAATATGAAATATAGTCATATGTAAACGTATCATGAGATTGCATCAGCTTTTTTTGTTCAAAAATGTTTCGTTAATTATCTTCTCTCTCTCTGTCACTCTGTCACTCTGTCTAAATATACTTTGGCCTATACCATTGACTTTAGTTTTTGTAACAAGCAATATATTTTGGCGGCAGCAAACAGGGACAAATAAATACATACATAATGTATAAATTGTTAACAAGTGATTATCATCATCATCGCTATGTACAACTACATTTATATTCGGCTTACTTGATTATCGTACAAACTTACATCAGAATTTTATTTGAAAATGAACTAAACTTTGATATCGTTGAATGTCTTTTTTGATTTTTGATCTCAGTGTCATCAAAATATTGCTTATTTCAATTCGAATCAATAAAAGAATTTTTTATTCATAACTTTTTTTTCATAACTTGAATATATATTTTACACTGAATCAAAAGATCAAAGATCTGATGATCGTATGATATTTTTGTTTCATTGATAAAGTTTTTTTTTGTTTTGTTTTGCAAATCTTATAATTTAGTCACATTAATTCAATTAATGCAGTTCATGAATGAATGATAAGATTTCTTGAATGATTATCAACATGCATCTGAACATGTGATGATAATCACAAACAACATTGATGACGATCATCAATGTTTGTTTATAATAATTTTTTGTTTTTTTCTGGGTTATCCTATAAAAAACATTCCTTATTCATTATTATTATTATTATTATTATTTTGTTTGTTGTTTTTTTCCTTGGGAAATACCAATCTAAAAGAAAAACAAAAATAAGATGTTTTCATGATGACGCATTGATATATCAATAATAAGTGAATGGAAATCATTCAATAAAAGATTTTTGGCTTTGTTTTTGAAAAACACAAGATTATCCAAATAAAGTTTTTTTTGTTTAAAAAAAAAATTGATATTTGAAGACAAAATGGACAGCAACAGTAAATATCAGTGATCATCAGTGATGATCATAGTTCAAAAATATCATTCGATATTCGAACATCATCATCATATTTTTTGAAAATCATGATTCCATTTGATTCTCGAATGATGATCGAATTGATGATCAATGATTGATTTAGCCAAAGATATAAACATGCATAAACCACCACCACCACCCCCCCAAAAAAAAAAATCTTGCCATTTTGTCACAAAAATATCGATCAACAACATTGATTTCGAACCAAATCAATAATAAAGATTATCTATGAAAATAATCAATTGATTTGAATCAAAATCAATTGAATTTGAATCGATAAATTTTTCTTTTGATTTGATAAAATTTGATTTTTATCATTCGAAAACAACATGACCAATTTTTTATATTAAAACATTCGATTATATCGGTCAGAAACAAGCAATGATAAAAAACAGATTTTTGTTCTCTTCGAATCATCAGTCTGATGATATGACATGACCGAACGGTACTTTTTTTCAAGAAAAAATCCAACTACCAATCAACCCAACCAGAACAACAACAAAAAAAAATCGTGGAATTCCCAAACCAAACCAAATCAATAGGAAGCCATTCCAAAAAAAAACCATAACCCTTTCTTTTTTTTCTCGAAAAAAACCATATTCAAAAAATTTTTAAGAAATTTTTTATCCAAAAAAATGCGGAATTAAAAATCAAAATTCATTAAAATCAATTTTCTTTTTTTTAAAAAAACATAATTATGAAACAAAAACAGAAAAGAAAAATAAAACAAAAAATTAAAAAACAATATTTTTGGGGAGGGGGTGACCAAAAAAACAAAAAACAAAAAAAAAATATGACTAGTGTGTGATGTGTGTTTGATGGTGAAATATATAGAGGTTTTTTTTTGTTTTGCCAAAAAAAAATTTTTCCAATATCAATATCGTTCAAGTAAGAATTGTAGGTTTGTGTTAAGAGGTGTGTGTAAAGGGTTATGTGTGTTTGATGGGAATGAATAGGGGGAGGGAATTTTTGATGAAATGAAAAAATTCAATTAAAATGTGTGCAGCAAGAAGAAAACAAATCTATTTTGATGATAATGATGATGATGATAAAAAACATTGCAGGAGGAGTCTTTGTCTCGTTTTCAATTTGTTTGTAGTTTTTTTTTGTTTTGAAATGCAAACGAATAAATGATGATGATGGTAAGGTGGTAGTTTAGGGTTAAGTAACCAAATCAAATCTTGATGGTTTAAAATCTTCATTTACAAATGAAAAACCTTTAAATTCTTCTTGATTAATTGATCGTATTGTTTCGATATTGGTTGGTGTTAAAACAGCTTCTTCTTTGGTAAAATCTTGATCAAAATTAGTAACATCACATTTGGCTTTCTGTGTACACATGGTAAAAAAAATTGGAATTAATGAATGATTCTTTGATATTTTTAAAAGAGAATGAAAAAAAAACTACTTACAATTTTTGGCTTAAATGGGGTTTTGAGTTTTTTTGCTTGCAATAAATCCCAATTGATTTCATGAAAAAATGGATGATTTCTTATTGCATGTTCACCGGCACTAGGCACACAACCCAAACGTTTCAATGGATTTTTTGTTAAAAACTTTAAAAATGGTAATATTAAAAAAAAAATAAAATAAAAATATTTATGGAAAATCATGATAGGAATGTTTGGAATTGATTTTTTTTGATTAAAAATTATACATACTCCTTTGAGAATTGCAACAGCATCTTTGGAAAGCCAAACAGGATAAACAACATCATCATGTAAAATTGATTCAAATAGATCATCTTCGTTTTCGGCTTCGAATGGAGGTTGACCGGCCATCATTTCATACATTAAAACACCTAATGCCCACCTATCAATATGAAAGGAAGGAAAAAAATTGATTGATTGAATAAAAAATAAAATAAAATTTACCAATCAACACAGGCTCCATAATCAAGTTCTTGTAATATTTCCGGTGCTATATAATCCGGTGTACCACAGAATGTTGATGTTGTATTATCACCAATAATATTTTCTTTACACATTCCAAAATCGGCTAATTTACAATGACCATCACTGTCCAATAGAATATTATCTAATTTTAAATCTCTGTGAAATTGAATTGAAGAATTGAAATAAAAATTTGATTTGATTTGAACGAAGGAAAAAAATCTGAAAAAAAATTTACCTATATATCACACCATGTTCATGAAGAAACATTAATGCTAATGTAACTTCAGCTGCATAAAATCGTGCACGTGGTTCTTCAAATTTTCTTGCTTTTTGTATTTGAAACATTAAATCACCACCATTAACATATTCCATTACAAAAAATAATCGATCCTATTCGTAAAAACAATCGAAAATGTATTTTCTTATTATTGATGACAACAAAAATAAAATTACCTCAGTCTGAAAACATGAATGTAATGCCGTTAAAAATGGATGCTTGGCAGCTAATACTAGAACACGTTTTTCGGTCATTGTACAATCAACATCATCATCCTGTAGAATGACATCTTTTTTCAATACTTTTACAGCATAAACTTCATCGGTTCCTTTCAATTCGGCTAACATAACCTATTTGATTAATAAGTTAATAAATAGGATATTCAGAAAAAAATAATAACGAACCTTTCCAAAACTTCCTTTACCCAAAACTTTTAAAAAATTAAATGAATCTAAATTATAACGACGTTTTGATGATGATTCAATCAATTTATTTAGATTTGATTGCTGTATTGATTTTTGTTGTTGTTGTTGTTGTTGTTGCAGTTTTTCATCTGTACATTGAATACAATCAAATAAGAAATGTTAAGGATATTTGATTCGACAAAACAAACTTACTATTGGGTACTAATGACATAGCTTGCATTGGATTACAGAATGTATCCGTAAATGATTGGTCCGTATATGGTAATGGTGATGTATGTGATCTTTCATTGAACGATAATAATGATGATGATGATGATTTATTTGGTGATGATTGTTCATTTAATGTTATTCGATTTTTTCTATGTGATTTATTATTACTTGTTGTACTACTACTGCTGCTTAAACTTTCACTTGATATACCTAATTCACCTAATACTTCACCAAATTTTTTTGAATTTATTCCACAATTATTTGTTACATTTTTATGACAACGTTTATGTACATTCATTTCACAATCTAATATTCGTTTTCAAAAAGAAAAAAAATCAAATCAAATTACTGAATCATCAACAGAATCTCGAATAACGATTTACCTTCACATTTGAGACCTTGTTTAATAATACCATATAACATTGAACCACAATGATCACAAAATGTTGGTATTTTATAATTATGTATTGAAAATCTATGTGGAACATTGATACTAAAACGATTACCACTGGCCAATGCCTAATAATAATAATGACAGAATTAAATCAATCAATCAAATTAACCTTTTTTTACGGAATCAAACTTACATCTTCTTCATTAGTTTTTTTACAACCCGGACATTTAACAACAACAAATTGATGACATTTTTTATGCACAACCATAGTGCAAACTTGACATTGATAACCTTGTTTAGCCAATCCCCAAATGAATTTATTACAATGTGAACAAAATGTTGGCTGTCGAAGATTGGTTGTCATAAATTTATGTCCATTGATTTGATGAACACGACGACGCATTGCACCACGACGTCTATTATTAAAACCAATACGTTCATGAAATTCTTTCGGTGGTTTTAGTTCAGGTTTATTCATTAATTCAATACAAATATGTAATCTTCCAACCGGTTCTAGGTCAACCTATTTAATGAACGAAAAAAAAATGATTTTTCAAATAAAAAATGCAAACAAAAATTGGAAAAAACATTTTACCCAAAAATCATTATTATCTTTATCATGTTTTTCTTGTATTTCATCAAATGTTAGCGAACAATTTGCAACAAAATCTTCGGATAATGCTGATTTATGAAACACTGTTAATTGTAATGATTTTGAATCAATTAATTCTAAATTAAATGATTCATTCCATATTGGTTTAAATGTTCTTGATTTAACTGTTGTACTTTCCATTACTGATTCATCAATAGCAATATTAATATATGGATCAATAACCATTGCTTGATTTTTACCCAAAACATGCCGTACGGATAATTGTGTTGGCTTTAGATCAGCAGCCTCAATAATTTTTAGCTTTAATGTTCCGGTAAAAGGCATTATTAATTAATTTGATTTGATATTTTTTTTTCTGTTGAATTCTTGCAGAATTTAAGCGAATGAAATGTGATTTATATAAATTGTAACAAAAAAAATGACTGAATGATTGAATTTTTTGTGTTTAAAACAACGAGGAGATCAAATTTCAAAAAAATAAACGAGGTGATTGAATTGACTAGGCAACTTTTTTGTTTTGTTTTTCTTGAAGACTTTTGTTGATCATGATCATCATCATTATCAATGGTGAATGAGAATTTCTCATTACATCAGACAACAACAGAAATCAATTTTGAGGGGAAAAAATGACTGGTGATGAATTAATGGAGATATTAACCACACACACACACACAACATTTGACAAGTGTGTTTTTCAACTGGATAACAACTTTCTATTTAATCATATAAATGAATGAATGGAAACATGATGATCACCATCATCATCATCATCATTATTATTATTATTTCGGGTATGGCATTCATATTTTTTTTTAAATAATTTTCATTTTCAATAAATAATGATTATCATAAACATCACGTTATATAGGTGGGTGGTGTGTTGTTGACCAAAATAAATGATGATGAAAAAACATTCGAAAAATTTCGTCGAAAAAAATTGTCGAATGGTGGTAGTGTTTCGTTCGAAAAATCAAACCAACAAGAAAAAATAATTTTGGAATTTTTTTTTTTTGGCAGAAACGAAAGTAAAAGGAATTGAACAAATTCAACAACAACAACAAGATAACAGTGGTGAAAGAAGATCTTGGTGATATCAATTTGCAAAAAAAGAATTGTGACAAGAATAAAATGACAAGATTTGATTTGATTTTAAAGATAAAGATGATAATAATCGTTGTTGATGAAGATATTTTTTCAATCAAAGAATCTGATGGATTGATTGATGAATCAAACAAGAAATCATTCTAAACATCGAATGTTATCATCATCATTGATGATAATGTTTGTTGTTGTTGGTGATCGATAAAATAATGATAATTTTTTCGATTTAGAAACACATTGGACATGATGATGATGATTATTGAATCACAATCAAAAAAAATAATGACAAGAATTTGTCAAAAGAAGAAGAAACAAACGAAAAAAAACAGATTATCATCCAAAGATCTTCATGATGAAATCGAGAAGAGAGAGAGAGAGCCACACAATTTAATTTAATAAAATAGATTAAAGTCTGTTGTTGTCTGGATCATTGATAAAATGATGATGGTAGTGGTGATCGGTCGGTCGATCGGTTAGTTTTGGTTGTTAAGTGAGAGAGGAGGATAATGAGCCAGAACAAAACTATTGTATGTTTGATGGTTGGTGTGTGTGTGTTGTCTCTGTGTGTGTGTGTTATTTGGTTGGTTGGTTGTATATTTTTTTTTTTCGTATGTTGAGGAATAGGCGCTAAGGTATCTTCTTTATTATTTAAAAAAAAGAATATGGAAGAAGTTGATGATGAAAGAAGAAGAATTGAGAGTGAGAGTGAGAGTGAGAATCACTTTGAGTAAAAATTTTTTTGTGTTTCGTTCGATAAATAAATTCATTCAACTATCCATCCGATGATGATGTTTGTGTTTGAGCACAGTCGACACATAATAACGGAATATATTTTTGGATGAAAAAAAAAGAGGAACGTCTTCGTTGATCTACGAAAACCAAACAAAACAATTTACCTCCTCCCGAGAAAAAAAAACTGACAAGAGAGAATACCCCGAACCATATAGCTTGATGCCAAACTGAATTGAACTTTTTCTTTTTCTTTTTTTTTCTGAATACCGATCGACCAACCTAGTGTGAATTTATATAGATGTTTTTTTTTCATCAAACCAAACCAAATAAAACAAAACAAAACAGATAACGGTATGTTTTTAAAGTAAAGAAGAAGAAGAAGAAGAATATTCTTGACTCAATTTTATTCGCCCATATCTTTTGTTTACATCAAACATTCGTTGATATATAGTAGAGAATTTCTTTTCATTTCAAATTCGAATCCAAAAAACTTCATCATGGAATTGTGGGCTGTTTTTTTTCTTTGAATAACCATCCATTCATTCATTCATTTATTGATGATGATGATGATAGTGGTATTTTCTATTTAAACACAATCATATCATCATCATTATTATTATTATTATTTACCTTTATAGTATACCGGAATTTGGCTAAAAACACACAAACGTTCGATCGAACGAAATGAATTGAATTATAATGATACCCGCCGTTCGGTGACCGAATTATGTGTGTGTGTGTCCTATCTATGTGTACATGAAATGAGAGCGAAAATTTTTTCAAAAAATTTTTAGGTGTATTTTTCGTTCAAAAAAAAAATGATGATATTATTTATTTTGTAAATAGATAATATCATACATGCCACAACCACCACTATATAATCAAAAAAAATCTTAATCCAAATTTACTATATGTATAATGATGATGATGATGATGATAATAATGATGACGCCATCACATTAAATTCTTAAAGAAAAATTTGTTTTTTTTTCCTTTATATCATCAACATTCTCATTACGCCCGCCATTATCATTTTCTCTCTCTCTCTCTCTCTCTCTCTGCTGTCATTGTTTGGTTTTTCGTTTAACCGGTAGCGGTATTTTATTATTATTTTTTTCTAACCAAAATTCTTTTTTCTTTCGAAATGATGATGATAAAAAAAAACGTCTGTTGCTAACAATGCAAGTTTGTTTGCCTTGCAAAAAAAAAATTTACCAATGACAACCAAACATTGTAGTTATATTAATCGCAGGTAAAAAGTCTTTAAAAGAAAAATCATAATAAACTTATTTCTAAAACAACAGTAGAAAAAAAAACAATCATTGACAAAATGACACCATCTTTTAACACTGATTAAAACAGCAACGACATTTTTTTTTGCTTTGCTTTCCTCTGTTTGTTTTGTTGACAAAATTTTTTCTTGTCAAACAAAAAAATAAAATGATGAAAGTCATAAATCAGGAGAAAAAAATAAAATCCTCAGCCCAAAAGTAAACGAAAAGCTAAACAACAAGAAAAAAAAATTCCATCATCATCCGAACTTTGGGGAAAACAGTCAAGGAAATTTTTTTTTTTTTTGATAACGATCGATTGATTAATTGATTGGAGAAACAAAAAACAAACAAACAAATTGGGAAAAATTTGGATTATCTTTATCTAGAGTAATTAAATATAATGTTCAATATTTTTAATACAATCACGTATTGTTACATAAAAATCTTGTAATCCTTGTTCGGTAAACATTATTGATTCGGTTGTTGAATTAGGTTGTTGATCATCATTATTGTTTGCTGGTTTTGAACCAATTATATCGATTAGATAATTTTTTCTGCGAATATTTTCCGCATTTGAACTTTTTAAATCCAATATTTGTGACCATTCAATATCTTTGAAATGAATTTCGGATGATGATAATTCCAATTTGTTAATATTATGATATAATTTTTTCATTGATTTTTCAAGAAAATTTTTAAACAATTCAAATTTTTGAGTGCTACAATCCAGACCACTATCTTGCAGTGAACGAATTAATGTTTGATAATTTATTTGACATTTACAAGCTTCAAGCATTAAAGAATTTATTGCAAATATAAGAATTTTGATTTTGATGGAATCGATTTTGTCGGTTGAATGATCAGTATTATTTTGAATTATTTTATTACATTGATCAAATATTGTTAATAAATCATTTTCGGTAATATCGTTGGAATTGATCAAAGATAATGTCGAAAGTATATCCGATGATATATCCATGATGATGATGATGAAGAATAGTTCCACCAGCTGACCAAAAAAAAAACACCAAACTTCATTCGAAACTATTTCGACATTTTTGATACATTTTCGGTGAAAATTGAAATCGAATCCAAAAATAAAACCGCCGGATCTAAAAATTCGAATTTTTGTTTTGTTTTGTTTATAATTTAATTACAAGCTGAACATTTTTGTGTAAAAACCCAAACGCTCTGCCTCGTAATGTTTGTTGGCCATCATCGATGTTTCGGATTTTTATTTTATCATTATTTTCAATCATATTTTTTCAATCCAATATTATTTATTCGAAAATTATTGTGATTGGCAATTTAAAATTTATTGTTCAAATGAAAAATAATCTTTCATTACCTGGTTGTGGATTATTCGGTCATTTCGAACGAATTTCTAATGGTCAAGATAGTATAGATGGTTCATATCCATTTGCAGCATTACTTTATCGTTATCAGGCACCATTTGGTGGTGCTGTTATTATCAATGAACGTTGGCTTTTATCTGCTGCACATAATTTTTATGAATCAAAACAACCATCAATATATCAGATTGGTGTTGGATCAATATATTTAAAACGTTTAATTATGAAAAAAGTTGATAAAATCATTGTACATGAAAAATATCAACATCATCAAAAATATGATTTGGCTTTAATTCGATTAAAAGAACCATTAAAATTTGGTCAAAATATTCGACCAATTTGTCTGCCAGAATATTCATTCGAATCATTGAATGATTTGAAACGTGGCCGTGCTATTGGTTGGGGTTATCGAAATTTTAGCGGTTCAAAAGTTTCCGAAATTCTACAAGAAGTTGATTTAGATATTATACCATTGAAAAAATGTCGTCAAATTTATTCAAAATTAGATCAAGATATAATACATTCACAAATCTGTACCTATACAAAAAATAAAGATGAATGTAGCGTAAGTATTTTATACAAAACATTATTTATATCAATTTTTTTAATTTTATCTATTCAAAGGGTGATTCTGGTGGTCCATTTTTTGCCTATAAAAATGATCAAGCAATTCTTTTCGGTATTATTGGTTTTGGTGTAACATGTGCCGATGAATTCCCTGGTGTCAATACGGCTGTTTCACATTTTCTCAATTGGATTCATAGAATTTTAATGGAAAATCATTAATTTTATTTCAATTTTTTTCAATTTAAATAATCATAAATTTAATAACGAAGGTTCAACACCATCGATTAACATTTTTTGACGAACAGCATTTTCATTAACACCAAAACGAAGCATTCGTTTATATATTTCGAGATTTTCATCATCCACTGATTGATTATTATCGGATACGGTTGATGATTCGATCTCCGATGAACTTATTGAATTGTTATTTTGTTGTTGATGAGTTGTTGTTGTTTGATGATCAATCAATGTTTCCGTTCGATCAACTTTGATATCATCTTGTTGTACATTGATCTTATCAAGCATTTCCGGAGCGGTTATTACTTGATTATTATTTGATTGATTATCATCTAACGTCGTATTCGAATCATCATTGCTTAACAACAATGTACTATTATTATTCACACTATTAAGTTTCATTTCAAGTATAACCAGATTAGCTTGAATATTATCAATACGATGATTTAAATTGATTAATTTTGTTTCAAGATGATCAACAAATTCATCAAACATTCCAATCATAGCGTACATGTAATTATTGATAAATGTTACTAATGTACCATTATCAAGCGGTGAAACTTTGTTCAATTGAAAATTTGGATTTCGTAGTAGATTGAAATTGTTCATCATTTTCAACTTGTAAAATGAAAATGTTAATGATGTTCGTACACGATATGCCTGAAAAAGATTTGTGAGGCAGGACAGACAATTATTGCAAGTAACAAAGTCAAATCAATTTGTTTGATTGACAAGTTCAAAAAACATCAATAGCAAATCGCGAATCTAATCAAAAAATCATATGACAATTCAATACACACCTTCCAAAAAAATTGATTTTGTTTTGATTTTTTTTACAAACAAAAAGCGCCATCTATACCCTGAGGAAAGGAAAATATAGCAAGAAATGATTTTTGAAATCAAAAAAAAAAAATTTATTTCAAAAAAAAAAATATCACATGGTGTTATGTACATCGAATCGAATCGAGAATCGAAATCAACTTTCATTTCGCCATTGAAATGTTAATTCAACATTTTTTTTCGGTCGAACAGTTAAATGAAATACTTCATCAAATGCTTCTTCACCACTTGATGAACTAATTGAAAAATTCTGTAAAATAACAACAATATAAATAAATAGCCATTTTTTTACAAATGTTTCAGCAACACATGATCGTTTGCCCAATGAAAATGGCATAAATCCTTCATGATCATTGATCAATGTTCGACCATCATCGGTTAAAAATCTATATGGATTAAAACGAAATGGATGTTCCCATATTGTTTGATCATGATGTACAGCCCAAATATTAGCAACAACTAATGTATCTTTAGGAATAAAGTGACCTAAAATTGTAGCATCATCTGTAGACCTTCTGGTTAAATTAAATGGTAAAACAGTTTTCCAACGTAGTACTTCATTTAAAAATGCCATTGTGAATGGCATACGAATTTCATCTTTAAATTCGGGTATTCGTTGTAAACCAATAGCTTTTTCAATTTCTTTAAACATTGTTTGTTGATATTCATTAAAATATGCTATTGATATTAGTGACCATTCAAATGATGATATAAATGCTTCACAACCAAAACTAAGAAAAACTTGACAATTTGCACGAAATTTATCAACTAACAAATTCATCAGATTAACTAATTATTGGATTATTTAATAATAATAATAATACTCACTTGACATTGTAGTTGATGAATAGTTATTTTTTTTATTCTGTATTTCTAAAATATAATAATCAATTAGATCACGAATAGAAGTGGATTCCGTACGAATTGATTTCAAATGATTTTTCGTTTCATTTCTGGTTATGGAAACAAAATAGTGAATAAATGTGTTTTCAAAATAGGTAATCTTACCGAAAAAATTTAGCAAACAATGTAAAATGATGATGATTAAACCAAACAAATAATTTATAAAATGTTTTCGATATCCATGACGGATATAATGATAGTATTGAAATTCTTAAAAACAACGCTGAATCAAATAATGATTTGGATGAAATATAATGTCGTCCGAATATAAATTGACTGAAAAAATTATTAACATATTTGGTTATATTTTTACGACTTTCAATCGGTTGTCGATTAGTACGTTTCAAATAAATCAATAATGATTTTAGTTCATTCAAAAGATTTTTAAATATATTCGAACTATCAAAACATGTACGAAATAATGTTTCGAAAAATTTTCGATCTTCACGCCAACTATAATGATCATCATCGATTAAACCTGTTTGGATTTATGATTGGTGAATTTTTTTTTAAGAAAAAAAACTTCATTCGAAATACTGACTTTTAACCCCGGTAACCAATGAAAATAATGAAACATCTGGACGGCCAAGAAATGAATCTTTTCGAAGGGCATTCCTTACTGAATCCCAATCATTTAGTATGACAATTTTTTGTTCACCAAGTGGCAGTCTACAAAAATTTCATAAATTCAAATTTTTTTTATAAATTGATAAATTAAATTAAAACATACGTATAAATCGAACCATATTGTTCACCCAATTTCCATAAAGTATAATGTGGATTTGAACCTAAAAATGGTAAATAACCAAGTAATGGAAAACCATTTGGTCCTTTTGGTAAACGTTTATCTTTGTTCAATGATACCAGATAACGAAGAAATAAAAGTATCAATACTATTGAACTTAGATTCGATGAAATATATGTTGATATCGACCATAACATTGCAAATGATTTTGAATTTTTGAAAAATTAATTTAAATCAAACTAAAACAAACAAAAAAACACGCGCACAATTAATTATTTAAATGATTTGTTGTTGTTTTCGTTGTCGTCGTTACCACTGATGATGACATAATTGTATACAAGGATAAAACAATTGGTATATCCCCGATTTCGAAGAATTTCAAATGAAAAATTCAGGAATTTTTGGTTTCAACTTTTTTTGTTCTGTACTATTTCAGTACAATGATTATAATGATTTTTTTTTAATTTAAACGAGAAACAACTTTATTATCAAATCAAAATTGATGGAAATTATTGAAAATGATTATTGGGATACTTTATCGTTGTTTACTAAAAAAAATTGAAAATGAAAAGAGGTTTTTTCGTTTTTTAGTTGATTGCAAACATGCGCTTTTGGTTAATTGTTTTTCATCATCATCGTAATCATCGTAACTATCATCATTCGATTGATGTCCACAACAACAACAACAACAACAAATTATCCAAAAACACGCGAAAAGTGAAAACAATCGATTTGAGCAGCAGCAGAAGAAGAAGAAGAAGGGAAATTTTTTTTTTTACTAATAGTGCCATCTCTGCATAATTTTTTCTCTGATTGATATTTTAATGAGGCCATTCTTTTTTGTCGTTTGTTGTTCAACACTTGTTGATAAATTTTCAACAAGAAAAATTTCTAATTTCTTTGATCAGCAAAAAAATTTTGTTTTTCTTCGAAATCGATAGCTGATTGATTGATTGATTAGCAATGATGATGAAAAAAAACAAAAACAAGATTTTTGATTTATCAAAAATTCAAAATTTTCTCAAATAAAAATAGTGTTTCACATCAAAGATCATGGCCAGACCAAAAAAAAAAAAAAATTAAATGAAAAACACATTGGTTGAGGGTTTTTGGAGAAAAAAAAATTTTTGGAAAAATTTTCATTTCACAAAGTAACCTAACCTCACTCAACCACAGAAATGACATGACAAACCTAACCTCACTCAACCACAGAAATGACATGGCAAACCTAACCTCACTCAACCACAGAGATGACATGACAAACCTAACCTAACCCAACCACATAAAGATATGAAGGGAAAAAAATTTTTTTTTTGAGCTTCGTAAAGATTTGGCCAAGGACCGTCATCATTGCAATGTAGTTTTTGATTTGAAGAAAAAAAATCATTTTAAGAAGAAATATTCTCTCTTTCGAGCATCATTTTTTTTCACCATTATTATTTTTTGTGTTTAGGCGGACTTGTTTTTTTTATACGAATAGAATTATTATTATTGGTCGTTTTAATAAGATTACTTTTTGCTTGAAAGATATATCCCACACACATTATTTCATTTCACTTCACCTTTATGATGATGATGATGATTATTAATTGAACAAACACACCACACCACACATACCATATATGTGTGTTTGGCTAAAAAAAACAAGCTTCAATGATGATCATCGGCAGTAGTTGTTGATGACTGGTTGGTCATAGTCACTTTTTATTCGGGTTTTTTTCTTGTCGATCGAAGAAACAAATTTTTCATTTCAAAGTTTTGGTGATGATTTTATGAAAAAAAAATATTCTTTTTGATTCTCTGTGTGTTTGTGTGATAATCAATGATGATGGATTCAACTCAAATGACCAAAGCTCTCGATCATAATGACGATAAAAATGATTCAACAAACAACAAAAAAACCAAACGTCGTATGATGAGAAAAGAAAATATCTGTCAACAAGTATCGACGAAAACGAAATATAATCTTCGAATTAAATCCAGTAATTCAGCTTCAACGACTACTTCATCATCATTTCAGCAATCAAATAATTCGAATCGAAACAATATTAATTCTTTACGTGAATCATCATTACGTAATAATAATAAACATAAACCACCACCATTAAGTAAATATCGTCGTAAAACGGCAAATCTACGTGAACGTTATCGTATGCAAGAAATTAATGATGCATTTAAACGTTTACAAAGTGTTGTACCGGATATATTTTCCATTACCAATGTTGGTAATGCAACTACGGCGGCTGATGAATGTTCCAATTCTTCTTCATCCTGCTCCATTTCGACAAACAATCAAAATTCAATGGCAAAATTAACCAAAATTAATACACTTAAATTAGCTGTAAATTATATATCAGCATTAACACAATTATTACGACAAACAGAAACAGAAACAATCGAACAAACAATTGATGAAAATCATTATCATTATGATAAAAAGAACGACACTATCGATACTATCAATAAATCAGCAACTAACTCAGCAACAACAATGATGACAAATGACGAATCAACATTTTCCAATCTAAATCCTCGTGATAATTGCCAAATTCATCATCATCATCATCAAACGTCATCAAACATTATTGGTACATCGATTAATAATTTTCATGAACAATATTTATTCAATAGCAATCATAATCAACAACAACAATCAAGTGATAAACAACAACAGGTCGTTGGTCTTTCCGCAAATAATAATTTGATGATGATGATGGAATCATCAACATTTTTATTTGATCATCTGATTGATAATCAACAACAACAACAACCGCAACAACAACAATTCAATCATCATAATAATGATCAAAATATGGAAAATATTATTTTGGATGATTTGGATAGCATCATATTTGATGATTATGTTTCCTGATTTCTTAATTTTTGATTTTTGAATTTGATTGATTGCCCAAAACAAACAAACAAACAAACAATTTGTTCTCTATAAACCACCTGTACATTATTTTTAATAAAATCTTTCATAAATAAATTTAAATATTTGAAATTAAAACAAAACAAAAAACGAAATATATTTACACTTTTGTTGATTTTTTTTCAGGAAAGAAAATCCTGTTTTCTAGAATTTAATTTAGATCAGAAAAAAAATCCTTAAATCATCATCCACAGCTTGCTCTGCATGTGCTGCATCTTTTTTTTGGATGCGGACCTTCTTAACATTCGATTTTTTTTTTGCATTCGATTTATTCGAGCATCACTATTTCAACATAATGATGATGACTTTTTTTTGTTGAAAAAAAATTCTTGAATAAAGATGGGTATTGAAAAATGTTGCCAGACGGGCTAACTAGATCAACCACATCCATACACACACTTGAATCATTTTTTTTTGATTAAAGAAAAGAAAATGAGAGCAAAAAACAAGATCAAGTCGACGCCTAAAAAACATCAACGCTCATTATCAGCAACATAAGATTCGAAGATTATGAATGACCATCAAGAATGAAGAAAAAACAAGGTAAGGAGGCAAGTTGAAGGTCAAAAATTATTCTTTTTTATTCAAAGTGAAATTTTTTTTTGTTTGATTTTTGATTTACATCACACACACACTCCCTCTCTTTATCACTTTTAATCGGAGAAAAAATTGAAGGAATTTTGTTTTTTGACTAAATAAATTTATTATATAAGGTTATTAATTAATTAACAAAACAAAAAAAGTTTATAAAATTTTTTTCGGTTATAAAAGATCTAAAATTAATGGTGATGTTAATGAACCTAATGTAAGTCCAGCACCTAAAAATGCAATTAAAAAATAACCAGACATATGACGATATTCATCCGGTATTAATTGTGGTCCATTAACAAATACATTCAATACTAAATAACCATTCATTAATGCAAAGATAAAATTAAATAAAACAAATATCATTTCATATGGAAATAGTACTGAATGATGTCGAGGTTGTGCATTACAATAAAGAAATAATGGTATAAACAATATACGACCAAATGATAATATTAATATTGTTTTTGAATGAGTTTTTGATAATAAAATATATTTTCCAAAAAATCTACCAAAAAAATCACCTAAATTAAATACAAGAAAACATGTTATTGGTAGAATAAATTTTTCCGGTAATATTTGATTTTTATGATCAACAGGTGTTATCAGTACAAAAAGACCAGGATAAATGGATAATGTAACCCAAAAAACAATGGTAAGTGTTAGACAAAATGGCCATATCTATTTAGTTAATTTTAAAAAAAAGGATTTTAATTGAAAAATTAACACTAATCATTTTACACTTACTTGTTGAAAAATTTTTCCAAATAATGAAAGATTCATTGGAATATTACTATCCAAACTATTCGATGAATATGCATATGATGAATAAAATGATTTGTTTCGAACATATAAAAATAATGCAAATGTTACAATCAAAACAAGATTAGCTAGTAGGAAAAATATAAAAACATTATTGATTAATGTACGATGTCCTAGCAATGAGAATATTTTCGTTAATGCTGCAAATAAACCGGACATTGCCTGACCGGCTACCATTGATTGAATATATTTCAATGGAAATAGAGCAGCCAAGCCGGTAAATATGGCCTGTATGAAAATAGCCGCTGCATTTACAATGAATACCAATATTAATAATATTATTAAAAATGCATTTTGATCTGTACAGAAAAAAGTAAAAGAAAATGAAATAGATAAAATGATTACGAACAAACAAAAATACACAATTACATTCATCCGTATCGATTTTAACCAAACTAGTAATGATCATAAATGTTATGATGGTAAATGAAAATGACAGAAAGATTTTCAAATCATTTGTAATTCTGTGGAAAAAAAGTAAACATTATTTCAATTCAGGATTTAATTCTACGAAAACTTACCTTTGAAAATACGGTGTCATACTAACCAAATAAACCAATAAAAATGGTGAATTACAAGCAATAATTAGATAACTATCGAAAAATGTTTGAAGTTTTGTTTTATCCGAATCATCATTGTAATTGTAAATATTTGTTGAGTTTACATTTCGAAATTTATATTTCCATAACTATAGACAACAACATCAGAATAAATTACAATTTGAAACAAAAGTTTACAACTTACATCATCAGCTGTGATTAGAAAATTCATTGGTAATAATTGTGTTAAACCAATCAAAAAGAATAATATTCGAACCAAATGATACCTGTTGGTCAGACAAAAAAAAAGGTTTTTTTTCAAAATTGAAAAAAACGAAAACTTTTTCCAACCATCTTACCTATCATTTTCACCATTATCATTATCATTATTGGTCGATGATTCACATATGATCGTAGGTGGTGTTGGTTCAGATAATGATTCTTGAATCATATCACCATCATTGATATTCAAAATTGGTTCAACATCGCTTCTTGATGATGACATTTTCGTTTCTATTCTTTATTTTTGTTTGTTTCGTCCGGAAAAAATAAATCGCTAAATGACGATTTAAAATAATTTCAATGATGATGATGATTTCATTTTATTTGATTTTGATTTTATTACATGGAAAAGTCATACTAAAAATGATATGATGGATGAAGGATTTTATCAAAAGTTTTATTGGGTGAAATTTTTCTTTCTTTCCGTCCATAAAAAATTTTTTTGTTTGTTTTAAATTATTATCATCATCATCATCATTATCATCGTCGTAAAAGATAATTATCTTTTGCAATGTTTGATGGCAATATAAAACCAGAAAAAAATCACCCGATCCGAATATTGCTCAATTCAAAAAAAAAAGATGTTCGATATCGAATGATCCGTACATTTTGAATAGAATGTGCCATGTGTAGAAAATAAATTGATTTGTTTTCATTCGAAAATTTTCAATTAAAAAATTCTTCAGCAATGAAATTAATGGATATTTTTTGATGAATCATCAATTACTTAATTAAGGATGAATTCAGAAAATAATCATCATGATTATAGTGATTTATATAAAGATAAAATAATTCTTGGACCAATGGTTCGAATTGGAACATTACCAATGCGTTTATTAGCTTTACAATATGGTGCCGATCTAGTTTATACGGATGAAATTATTGATTTTAAATTAATCAAATCAAAACGTTACGTAAATGATGCTTTAGGAACTATTGATTTTATTGATGATACCGGTGTGGTTGTATTTCGAACTTGTTCATTGGAAAAAGATCGAGTTATATTACAGGTATGTGTGTTGAAACGGTCAAAAAAATGAGAATTTACCATGATTTTCTTGTATAGATTGGAACAAATGATCCAGATCGAGCTGTTATGGCAGCAAAAATGGTTGAAAATGATGTTGCCGGTATTGATATTAATATGGGTTGTCCAAAATCATTTTCCATTAAAGGTGGTATGGGTGCTGCACTGATGAACAAACCTGATTTGATTCAAGAAATAATTCGAACATTGAAAGCAAAAATTCGAAAACCAATTTCATGTAAAATTCGTGTATTTGATAGTCTGGATTCGACATTAAATTTATTGAAATTGATTGAAGAAGCTGGTGCCGATGCAATTGCTATTCATGGCCGTACGGTTGATGAACGACCACGACATCCAAATCGTAATGATTATATTCGTGCAGCAGCTAATACATTACAAATACCTATTATTGCTAATGGTGATTCATGTAATATTCGAAATTATGAAAATATTCGAATTTTTCAACAAAAAACTCGTGCATCATCGGTTATGATTTCACGTTCAGCAATGAAAAATTGTTCAATTTTCGATCGGACAAACATATTGAAAGATATTGATGATGTAATACGTGATTATCTTAAATTAGCAATACGTTATGATAATACAACTGGTAATAGTAAATATTGTTTATTACAAATGTTGGGTAATATGCAAGAATATGGTGATGGAAAACTTGTTGCCGGTATGGAATTTATTTTGATTTTCACGAATTTAATTTGATTTTTGTTTGTTTGGTTTCATCATAGGTGCACGTGATATGAAAACAATGTGCGAGATATACGGACTAAATGAATATTATGAACAAATTTTAAAAGGAAGAAATTCAGCCAAACAAATTTCAATAATATCTACCAAATCAGACAATCATGATGTCAATGGCAATGATGAAAATCTAATCGAATTACCAATCATATTTGTTAAACGTGTATTTGATCGATCAAATTATCCAAAAACCATACTGAATAAATGGTTGATGAAAAATAATTATAAAAATCCACGTTATGAAACAAGACAAATTGAAAAAAAATTTCATTCAATCCTACATTTTCAGGGTAAATGTTATCAAACACCATATCTTGAAACAACGAAAAAAATTGCCGAACAATCAGCTGCATTAGTTATTATTATTAAACTTGGAGAAGACCTACTAGTGCTATTAGTTTTTTATTAGTTGCTTACAAATCACTTATTTTCGGAATCAAATATATCAATCATTGAATATCAATATCATGGACGAACATATTTTATAAGACGTTGAACTTTTTGTTTTTAATTTTCATTCATTTCATTTGTATCATCATCATTTCATTTCATTTATCAAATTAAAATTCAAAAATTTTGTAAACTTAAAAAACGATAGATGGCGTTCAAATCGATTTGTTATGATCAGAAAAAAAACAACAAACAAAGGTCTACGTGAGAAGAGTGTTGTATACATCGAACACAAAATGCCAAGATTGAATTTTGATTTCACAGTTTTGTTTCGTTCTTCGTTTCAGTATTTTATCAACAAAACTGATAAATCAAATTCAATATTGATATGATATATATGTTGAATGGAAGAAAGAAAAAAATTATCAAATCATTTTATATTAAAATCTTCTAATAATATTTTCTTGTTTTGATTGATTATTTCATCATTCTCTTTCTCTTGTTTATTTCTTCGTTTTACTCATAATTTTCATAATCATAATCATCGTCGTTACAATTTCGTTCTTTTTTTGTTTCGGCTGCCCAGGATTTTGTTTTTGTTTGGGTGTTTATTGGTTTTTTTTATTGGTTTTTGTTTTTTTGTTGCCTTTACATTCATCTTTTTCAATCAGAAACAATGTCATGTGAAGTTTGTGGTAAAACTGATAATCTTAAATCATGTGGAAGATGTTTAAAAGCAAATTATTGTGGTCGTGAACATCAATTGGAACATTGGAAACAACATAAACATTGGTGTATGAAAAATGTTTACCCTCATAATAATAATATTAATAACAATCATTATCTAGATAATAATAATGATAATGATAGTATATTTATTGATAATAATAATGGCCATCATCCACAACAACAACAACAAAATTTAATGTTATTTGAACAACAACAACAACTTAATCAACAACAGCAAGAAATGTTTTCATCATTACAATCATCATCCGATCAATCATCATCATCATCTTCCAATGATGATATATTGATGATGATCAATGGACAACAACTTAATCAACAACAACCACCACCAACAAATCAAATTGATTTGGTTAATAATTTTAATTCTACAATCGTAAGTCGATAGATATGATGATAATCTTTCTATAATGAATGTTTTTTCCTTCGTTTAGAATTCATTGAATAATCATCCAACGGATAATATCAATAATTTTGATTCATCCACATCCACTATTCATGTCAATCACCATCATCAAGATGAAGAAATGACTGATTTCTTTACACAACATCCACCACAAGTAGCTATTGCAAACAATAATATTCTGAATAATAGCCATCATCAACAGCAACAATTTAACAATTTTCGTAATCAATCATTCAATCTTTCCAATCATCATCAGCAGCAATATTTAAATCGTGATAATGTACTAAAAGATCTGAATAAATATTGTCAAATCATTTTACAAGATATGAATAAATATGGTTTCTGTGTTATCGATGATTTTCTACAAAATGGTGATCTTATTCTGAATGAAGTAACATTATTATATAAAAAAGGTTTCTTTCAACCTGGACAAGTTGTGAATATTAAGGCAAATTCAAATTCAAAATTAATTCGCGGTGATCGTATAACATGGGTTGAAGGTAATGAACAAATTTGTTTGAATATTGGTTTTCTGATACGAATATTGGATTCAATCATAACACGTTGTAATAATTTGGCATTTGGTGAATTTCAAAAATATCGAATTACGAGACGAACAAAAGCAATGATTGCTTGTTATCCAAGTAATTTTACTAAATATGTTCGTCATGTTGATAATCCTAATAATGATGGCCGATGTATAACAAGTATTTATTATTTAAATAAAGATTATAGTCGTGAGGTAAGTCGTGTTGATTGATTTTTTTATCGAAAATTTTCACCATATTTTTTCCAGCGTGATGGTGGTGTATTAAGATTATTTCCACAAATGAATGATGGAATTGTTGCCGATATTGAACCTAGATTTAATCGTGTAATATTTTTTTGGTCTGATCGTCGTAATCCACATGAAGTAATGCCATCAACACGTATGCGTTTTGCCATAACTGTTTGGTATTTTGATGCTAATGAACGTGAACGTGCCATACAAAAATATCGAGAAAATAGTAAGTTTTTTTCTTATAAAATTATCAAAAATAAAAACTTTATCTCTTTCTCTTTATTAGGCATGCAATGTCCAAACGATAAAGATCTGGTTCCGTTTTGATGAAAAAAAAATATTTCGCCATTTTAACTGAAAGTTCATAAATTTTATTTTGAAAAAATTGTATTTGTCTTGTTTCATCAATTTTTGTAAATAATTTAAATAAATAAAAATTTCATCTTTTTTTATCGAAAATAATAATAATTTTGTAAAACAAATGTTGCCATCTAGTGGAGAAAATTTTCAAGGTAAACACTCAATTTGTGTGTGCTGCTGTGTATACAGACAATTAATCAATTGATCATTGGTGGTAGGTGTTTGTATTTGTCGTATACGACTACATTTTTTAACATACAAATAATCGTCATAAACAAATGTTGATGATGATGATAATGTGTGTTTGATTTTTTGTCCATCAATTAGACAATGTTTGTGTGATTGATTGATTTCACTGAATTTCCTTTCAATCAAAGAAAAAAATATTGTTGTTTTGCAGAATTTCGTATTTTTTTGTTTTTGTTTTTGTTTTGAAAAGAATTTTCAAAACAAAATCAATCCATTTTTCAATGATAATGATGATAAATTATCATTATCATCATATAATCATTCTCTTTGTTTGTTTGTGTTGATTGTTTCTGGTAGTTTTTTATTTTGATTGATTTTTTTCTGTTCGTCCAGTGTAATTTAGTGTTTTATAATAATGAATATGCCGAACGCAAATACATCGAATAGTAGTAATAATAAAACAACAACAACAAACAATCATAATAATCATCAAAATATGATGATGGCAAATCGGAAATTTCCCGGATTAGCACGACCATCATCATCGGCTATCGAACGACATCGATTTCCAAACGATATGAAACAAGAAAAGAAAAATCAACAACAACAACAACATAATCATCATAATAATTATAGTTTTGAACAATTCAATGCTTCTTGTGATGATGCATGGAATGCTAAAATCGAAGATAAAATTTCCTATCCAAATTTGTCATCGAAAAATTCAAATTCATCACAATGCTATTCTACACATAATAAACATAATAATAAATTTGGTAATAATAAATCTTCGATTCTTATCAAAGAAATTGTAAGTTGTAAAAATTCTTAATTTTCTGCCACGCTTATTCATTAAACTTTTTATCCATCACCAATTAGCCTTCATTGGATTCGAATGTTGAATCATCATCAAAACAACAACAATCGACCACAGAAGAAGAATCAAATTATAATGATACTTGTTTCGAACAAAAAACCAAAAATAATGATCCAAAATTGGCTAAACTTAAAAAATTATTATTGGATGATGATATTACTGATTTAAGTCAATTACGTACCATTACATGGAGTGGTATACCGGATGAAATTCGTCCATTAGCATGGAAATTATTACTCGGTTATCTTCCTACGGTTCGTTCAAAACGTTCGATTGTTTTGGAGAATAAAAAAATTGAATATCAAAATCTGGTTGCACAATATTATAATAATCGACAAGATAATGATGAAATGTATAGACAAATTCATATTGATATACCACGTATGCAACCATTATTAACAATATTTCAACAACCAATCGTACAAGATATGTTTAAACGTATACTATATATATGGTCAATACGTCATCCTGCATCCGGTTATGTACAAGGGATGAATGATTTGGTTACACCATTTTTTGTTACATATTTATCTGAATTTGTGCCTGGACATTCATTTAATGATGTTGAATTATTTGATGTATCAAAATTATCCCAGGAATCATTATCAACCATTGAAGCTGATTCATATTGGTCATTTAATAAACTATTGGATTCCATTCAAGATAATTATACATTTGCTCAACCTGGTATACAACGATTGGTTAATCATCTATCACGTGTTGTATCAAGAGTAGATAAAAAATTACATGAACATTTGGAAAATAATTCGGTTGAATATATACAATTTGCATTTCGTTGGATGAATAATTTGTTGATTAGAGAAATACCACTTCGTTGTATAATACGTCTGTGGGATACATATCTATCTGAAGGTGCATTATCATCAACATATGTACCGGCTAATAATTTTAATGATTCACATGAATTGAATCAAACATCATCAACATCATCATCTTCATCAATGAATTGTGGTACACCATTCTCTTCCGCATTTCATCTGTTTGTTTGTGCAGCATTTTTACGTTTTTGGTCAAAAAGTTTATTACAGGAACAAGATTTTCAAGGCCTTATGATACGTTTACAAAATTTACCAACATTTCATTGGTCAGAAAACGAGGTGAAATTATTGGTTGCCGATGCATATCAGCTTAAATATGCATTTTCACCAAATCATCTAAAAGTTTAAACAAGCTCTTCCTTGAATCTTAAAAATAACCATATTTTCTGTAAATATTTAACGCATCAGCAACCAACACGGTGTGAAAAAACAAGATGTACATTTAACAACAACAACAACAACAATTGCAAAAAAACAATCAAATCAAATCACATTTGATTAAACAAACCATATTAGTTTTATTTTATTTAGTTTATTCATTGATTTCATCATCATCATATTTTCAGTTTTTTGGATTGATTGATTGTTTCATGAATGAAAATACAAAATTCACATTAAATAACTTTCTAAAATTTGTTTTTCTTTTTTAACAATATTTTCAATATTTTCATTACGAAATTTATCAATTTGTGGATAACGTTTTAGTAATAATTTACAACGCATTGACAGGAATTCTTTTACCTTATCGTTTAAATATTGTAAATCGGTACATTTTTCATCGAATAATGATTCGGATTTTTTTGATTTGATCCATTTTTCTAGTCCCTCTGAACATATGGATGAAAGGGTTAAATTTCGAAAAACAAACAAACAAATAATAATTACCATTATCAAGGAAAAAAATTCGAATAGTAGCCAAAATTCTTGGATTTAATCCTTTTGATTTATGTTCCAATTCATGATAACCATTAGTATCGATATCAATTTTACGACATAATGTATCTTTCAGTGAAAATTGTGGATCTTGTTTACTTATGCCAATTTTAACACGTACAGTATTACAAGGATGATTATCATAAACAAAACCATTGTGTAGGAAAAAATCCGAATTACTACGGCTACCATAACAATTAAAAATTTCATCACCTTTTTTATAATCTTTCATTGAATAAAAAACCAAATCATCCGTGGTTGGATCAAAATCGGTTACCATTTTTCCTTCTTTATGATTACAAAGATCCCAAAATGGTATCAATGCAAATGTTGTTTGATTTTTATCCGCTTTTGATGGTATCGAATTCTGTCTAGTCATTACGGTGGATAGTGCCCATCTAAAGATCAAAAAATTAGCAAAAAAACACAGCATAATACACTGAAAAAAACAAACCGATAAATTTCATATGTAAAATTGCCAAATGATTTATTACGTTCATTAGAGATTTTCATCCAAAAATAAGCATATTGTCGAGCAACATTACGTTTAAATTTAACAACTTCATCAAGTAATGCACTACCACGCAGTTGAATTAAATCCTCTTGTACCATATACAGAATTGTTGAATATGATGTTGGCAGAGTTTTTATGTATGGTTTCCAAAATGAATTTGGTTTATTCAATTCGGATAACAGATGAAATGTTAAAATTAAATTGGGCATATGTTTAAAGATAACATCTTGTGTAAATTGATCTATAGATATGGATAAGAAAACAGAAATCATTACAAACTGAATCAAGATTGATCTCGAACTGAACTTAGTTTAATATCGGAGGTTGCCGTTTCATTAGTCATAAATGCTTTACGATTAATCCGAAAAAGGACATCATTTTCTTTATGATTATTTAGGGCAAATAATCCATATTCATCATTTTTCAGTTTTTTAATTTCAAATCGGTCCGATGGAATTTGATTTTTCAAACACCATTCATGAAATTCTTTCCAATTTTCACTACGTTTTGGTAAGCTGACAGCAATTTCTTTTTCAATTTCAATTATGCTCTTAATTGAATCTTCAATTTGATCATTTTCTTTCAATGGATCGGTTGGATTTACGTTGTAATAATTGACTCCTGTTTTATAAAAAATCCATAAACATTATGGAATCTTTTTTAACCAAAAAACACTTACTTTCATAAAGATCACAAATATGACTTTTAAGAAGATTTTCCTTTTCCGATGATAATGTTTTCATTTTTATCGTTGCAAAACCTTTATTTTTTTTTTGAAAAAATTCTGGACACACCGAAAAAAGAAAATTGTACAGACAAATCAAACAAATGGAGTAAATCAAGAACTTCAGAAGCAAAGCACATTCAAAGATTTACAGAATTTACAGAATGACACCGAAATTCTGCTTCGAAAAAATTTATTTTTAACTTTGTGAAAAAAAAATTATTACATTCAATTTTCAATCATCATTTAGGCAAAACGCTAAACATGCTTATTTTCCATTATATTTCCATTCCTCCTCCCACTATCCATAAACATTATTTATGTAAACAGTCAAAAATACTGACAACAACAACAATTCTGTTTAGGATTTTTGCTTGTTTTTGCATCCATATTCTTTCAATATAGTGTAAATTTCTTGCAAATCAAAGCAATTTTACCATACACATGTAAATGTGGGATAAATAAACATTTTAATGTTTGTTTGTAGAATTGAAAACAAAAACAAAAACGAGAATCGTTTAAAATTATTATTATTTCAACAACAAAAATAAAAATAACAATGACAAAATGATTGGCAACAGCAAAAAGAAATTTTAATGGGGCGTTGCATAATTATGCTAAGAAATATGGATTGAAATTTTGGCTTTTTGAATTAGCCTAATCTTGATTTACCAAAAAATGCCATTATTATTTCGATAATCGTTTTTGCTGATTGATTAATCATTTGTTCGGTACCAATATTTGGATTAAATTCAACCAAATCCATAGCAATCATTCTACCCGTATTGTTGATATATTCACCAATTTGTAATGTTTCTCTGAATGTAAGACCACCCATTACTGGTGTACCGGTTGATGGTATTATCATTGGATCTAATGAATCAACATCAAAACTTATATGTAAATGATTTTTTCCCAATGGATCTATATGATCTAAAGATCTGGCAATAACTTCATTAATGCCTTTTGTGTTTTGTTTTTTTTTTTTGAATGCAATTTTGGGTGGGAAAAATGAAAAGAGAAAAAAAGAACAGATGTCATGAATTAAGTATCACAGAGATGTTTAAAATAAAAAAACTTCTTACCCAGATTATCAACATCTTTCATTGAAAAATAAGCAATATTTAATTCTTTTAATAGATGCAATTCTTGTATTTCAACATCACGTAGACCAATATAAACAATATTTTTGGCATTTATACAAGGTTTGATTTGCTGTTGTTGATTTTGTTGATGTTCAGTCGATGTTGGTTTTACTAAAAATGACATAGGCATTCCATGTAGATTACCTGATAGCGAACTTTGAACTGTATTTGCATCGGCATGTGCATCGATCCATATCTTTGATTTAAACGGGGAAAAATTAAAGAAATTAACAAAAAGGAAAAATCATTAGAAAATCTAACCAAAGAAAGATCTTCGTTGTTGCCCTTGTTAATCAAAGCTTGTTTGGTTCCCATAACCGAACCAACTGCAATACTATGATCACCACCCAAAATCAATGGAACATAATCATTTTTGATTAAATTTTCAATAAATTTACTTGATTTTTCACTTAATTTCCATAGATTAAATTCATTTGGATTTTTCCATTGATTTTTACTAATTTCATTCGAATCAATTTCCAAAGAAATATTTCCAAAATCTACTACTCGATTTTGTCCAAATTGAGCGGAAAGTTTATCGATCAAACCTTTTGAACGTAAAATTTCCGGTGCCATATTAGTTCCTAATCTGGATTGACCATACCAAAATGGAATGCCAATTACACCGATATTGGAATTGATTTGTCGAATTTGCCGCCATTCTATCGATGATTTTTTCGATAATTTTGACCGCATCGATAATTTAGTCGTCAACATTTTTATATAAAAGATTTATTTTATTTTTAATAATTCAAAATTTACAAAGAAAATTGATTGTTTTCAATCCAACCAATAAACATGTGCGAGCTTTTTGTTTTGTTCATCATCAAGATCATCAAAACTTTTGATGATGATAATGGTAATGATAATGAATTTTAAATGAATCAAAGAGAAAAGTTTATTTAGATAGAGATATGGAAGTGAGTAAATGTTTGTTCGAAGTGATAAGATTATGAAATATATTTTGCAAATGGAAAAAGTCATTGATTGATTGATTAAAATCTTTCACCAGTAACATCGAATGATGTATCAGAGAAGGCATTCATTTCGGTACCACCACCACCACAACCAAAATTACTTAGATATAATAATTCAGTATATTTTTTATATGTTGCAATACGAATACGATTAACAGTTAGATTGATTGAATAACAATAAAATCCAATAAACAGAAGGAATATTCCTAAAAATGAAATTAATGTATATAAAAGTAATGTTGATATGTAATCTTTACATAAAATTTTCAAACGATTATCTTTGAAAATGAGAAGATTGGTTTCATTTTGTTGTAACGGGAAATATTGTGAAAATGGTTGTAGATTTATTGAATGTTCTTGTTGATTGTTGTTGTTGTTGTTGGTGATCATTGAATTATCGAATGATTTTTCAGCTTCGTTCAACAATTGTTCGGAATTACATAATGTTTTCATTATGTACAGGATGAATGTAAACAAAGTGAATATTAGGAAAAGTAAAAAGAAAATCAGGAATATCAATTGATTAACGGAAAAAACAAAACGCATCAGACAATTTGTTGTTGAATTTCTTGAACAAAAACATGATGATGATCGACGATTTGTTGATGGTTTACCATCAAATTTCAAGAATGATGTTGCAAATCCAATAATAAGATTAATCAGAATTACGATGGCAACAAAACCAAGTATGAAAAACATTACAACTTTGATTTCATTTGATAATTGAAAATGTTTATAAAATAAATCTTGTGTTAAACGATCAATAATACCCAGCAAATGAAATATCGATATAAAACTAATGATTAAACCTGATATGACTAAAAATGTTGATGTTATTGTTGCATATGGAAAATTTAGAAAACAAGTTCGACAACAATCTATTTGAAAAATGAAAATAATGGAATCAATCAATGAGATTTTATCATTTTTATTTGATCAAAAAATCAAACTTACTGTCTGAATGTCGATGTTGTTTGAAATTATTTCCACCACCAACACCAGCAGGATTACTAATGCTGGAATAAGAAATGTCCGCATTATGTATCATTCGGGACATTTTTTTTCGGTTAGATCGGGTTAAATTTTCACGAATAAAATTTGAATTTTTTTTGGAAAATTGATGATGAAACAAACAGGGCGCGTATCTTGAATTTGACAACTTGGCTAATTCGTTATTGTTTTGTTTTGTTTTTCGCTGTTACGCTCTCTTGACTTTTGGCTGAACATTTTATTCACAACATTTATTCTCAATACACTATCATCATCAACAAACCACGACCACACACACAATAACATTCGAAATTCAGGTTTGACAACATCGAACACACACACACCTTGCTCATTTCACTCACCTTACCTCACCTACTTTGGCGCTAAACAAGTTTTTCGGAACAAAAAAAATTTGAATTGAATTTTAAAATGGGAAAATTAATTTCCCACACACACCAAATCTTATTGAATCATTTTTTTTTAAAAAGGATAATGGAATGGAACATTTTTGCTTAGGAAAACTTCGAACCAGATTTAGTTTTTTTCATATTAGCCAAACGTTTATCCAGATTATTCATCAAATTTGATGATGGTGTTGGATTGTTGTATGTTGCACCAGCAGCCGATGAAGTAGCATTATGCATCGATCCACCAATATTCGATTTGGTTTTATTCGTCAAATTTGTAGCCATTGTTGATGATTGTTGACGAACAGATTGATTACCCGGTGAAATACCCGTGGCAGTTCCTCCGATTGTTGATGAATTTGCCTTTAAAATTGGATGATATTGTGTTGATTGTGTAGTGGCAATTTTATTCGAACGTTTTATTGTATCTAACGAGGATTTTGCGGTATTTGTTACAACCTTATTTGGATCTATTTATGGAAAGATTTTTAGCAAAAACTTTTACAATCAATAAATCAAACTTACCGATTATAACTTTACCACTATTTGCAGCGGATATTATCGATGTTTTTTGCATTTTCCTCCCCACGTTTTTACATTTAAAACAATACCAAATTGATCGCGGATCATTCAGTTCTTTTTTCGATACAATAGGTTTATGACATTCCGGATGAAAACATAGTCGACATTCATGACATTCTAAAAGACGATTTACGGTTGATTCACCTTGTCTACATACAATACATTGATTATTATGGATGATATTCGTTGTGGAAGAATCATTATTATTATTCGAATCGAATGCTTCATTATCTTCAATATCGGTTGCTTCGGAATCTTCTTCCAATGTTTTTTGCTTTTTATCTTCACCAGCTGTTGCCGTTCGTAATCCTTGATTTAAACTTTGTAGCGATGAAAATGCATTCATCAGGGTATCTTTTGGTCGTCGTGATTCAAGATTAAAATTCATTTTTTTAGCATGATAAAAATCTAATAATTTTTTCAATTCATCCGATGATTCGGGTGAACGTGAATGTAATAAACGTAAACCTTTTATAAAATCTTCGGTTTCGATTTCCATTTTTTTTGCAATTTTTCTTTTGAAACTTCAAACGTGAAAAAAATCAAAAATCGAATGACAGCTGACAGCTGAAACAGCAAGCCAAAACCAAAAAAGAAGAATATTTCTGTGCTGAGCCAGTCACACATTGCGTCACGTTTGTTTACAAAATTCTGTTTTTTCGATTTTTCCTTTTTGTTTTTGCTTATCAATCCGAAACAAAAAAATATACATGAAATTAACAAACATTTTACAAATTACAATTTTATTACTTTTATTTTTAATATTTATAAATTATTTTCTTGTTTATAATCAACAACAAAAATGTTTAGGTAAGTTTTTGGTTTTTTGTGAAGAATTCTTTTGTAAATCTTTTGTCATTTTTACACAGATAAAATCAACGATAATCAAATATCCGAACAAAATGTTGATAGGAAAATCTATTTCATTACACCAACTTATTCACGTCCTGTACAACAGGCTGAATTAACCCGTCTGTCGCATACATTATTATTAGTACCAAATCTACATTGGATTTTGGTTGAAGATAGTGATCAAAAAACTTCTTTTATTACAGAATTTCTGCAACAAATATTACGAATGAAAATTTATAAAAATTTCCGATATACTCATCTGAATGTTGAAACACCAAAATCATTTCGTACGAATAATCAATTGGATCCAAATTGGCTTAAACCAAGAGGTGTTTGGCAAAGAAATGAAGCATTACGATGGTTAAGAGAAAATTTAACCGATATAGTAATTGAAAAAGGAATTGTTTATTTCGGTGATGATGATAATACATATGATTTAAGATTATTCGAAGAAATTCGTAATACTCAAAAAGTATCAGTTTTCCCCGTAGGATTAGTCGGAGGTCTGATGGTTGAAAAACCTTTGGTTAAAAATGGAAAAGTTATTGGATTTAATTCCATATGGAAACCTAAAAGAAAATTTCCAATTGATATGTCTGGTTTTGCTATCAATTTACAATTGATCCGAGAGAAAAATGATGCATATTTTTCACCATATGTGCCACGTGGTTATCAAGAAACACATTTGTTAACACAATTTATTCATTCGATTGATGATCTTGAACCAAGAGCTGATTTATGTACAAAAACATTGGTTTGGCATACAAGAACTGAATTGCCAAAATTGAAGAAAATAAAATTAAAAACCTAATTATTTATGAATCTAAAAATTTTGATAATAATCCAATGTGCTTTTATAGTTGATTTAATGAAATAAAATCAAAAAAAAAAATGTTTTTAAAAAAAATTTTTTAAAAAAATTTGATCATTGAGTTTATGAACAGACCTTCATTGATTGTAAATTTTAGCGCCAATTTTTTTTGTTCGGGCAAAACACGATTTTTTGTTTGATTTAAAAAACTTTTCTTTTTTCTGAATTTAGTTTTTGTTTTCAATTTTTTTTTTCAGTGAAAAACGAAAATGTCAACCAATATTCGTGCATTACTTTTAAATGTTCGACAAAATTTACCACCATTAAATGATAAACAAAAAGAAAAACCTAAAGAAATAATTTTAATCGATTCATCGACAACAACAAAAAATTCATTAATTCAACAATTTCATTTGAATTGTAAGAAAAATGAATCGGAAAAAAATGAAGAAAATTGTCGATCATTATCGAAAACAGCCGAAAGTTGGCTAAAAATTCGTGAAAAAATGTTAATTGAAATGGAAGAAAAAAGAAATTTAGAATGGGAACAAGAAAATTTAACGAAACGATTAGAAAATGAAGAAGGAGAAGAAGAAGAAGTTATTCTAACTGACGATGATATTGATGAGGATGATGGTGATGGTAACAGTGATAATCTTGAAGAAAAACCTGAAGATAATGAAGAAGAACCCGAAGAAGCTCATGACGATCATGTTAGCATCAATAGTGATGATGATGATGAAGTTCAATCGAACGACAATAATGATGATGATAATGATGATGAAGATCTGAAAGATATCGAAGACAAAGATGAACAAGAACTGGATGAAAATATTCAATCAGATGATCAAAATGCAGATGATCAAGATGATGACAACGATGATGATGAATGTATATTTAGTTCAAGAAAATCTAAACCTTTACCATTAAGTGATGATGATAATGATGATGATGGCGAAGAAAATGAAACTGAAAAATTAGAAATTGAAGAAGAAATGGGAGAAAATATCATCGATACATTTGATTATTTTGATCGTCAAGATGATGATCAAAATAGAAATTATAATTATAATGAGTATGTTTCACAAAATCTACCATTAACACCGATCGATGCTGTTGTTGTTGATAATGAAAATCATCAAAATCAAAATCATCAGCAAAAAAATCAATTTGATTCACAAATGTTGTTGGAATTGTGTTCAGGTCGATTCAATGATGATCAAGGTGATGACGAAGTTGTTGTTGCTGATGATGATGATGATGAAAGTGAAACGTTGCAAAAAACAAACCGCAAACCGAAAAAATCATTAAAAATTAAAGATTTTATCGAAGACGAAGCTGAATTATCGGATGCGGATGATGCAAATGATATTAGTAGTGATGAAAGTGATGATGAAAATCAAGATCAAGAATTTATTGAAAATCTTATCGATGAAGAAGGTGAAGGTATCCCGGATGATCAAGATGAACTAAGAGAACAAGTGGAAAAAATTCATCAGTAAGTCATGATTAGAGATAATTTCCAAAAAACTTGATTTAACTTTGAAATTTTTCATTTTTTTCTCCCACAGCAAAAATATGTTGGACGAAGATAAACGTCAGTTAATGATTATGAAAGAATATTTTTTCGAAGATGGTGATCTTTACGATGCCGACGGTCATAATAATCGACGAAAAAAATTCAAATGGACATTGAATCGAAACAACGATGAGGATGATCTTATCAATACCGTTGTTGATGATGATTCGGATAGTGAAAATGGTGATTCAATCGAAGAAGATGATGGCCAACCAACAAACATTCGATTAAAACGAACAATCGAACAGATTTCTGTCGACGACGATGAGGTGGAAATAGATTCGAATTCGAATTCATCCAAACTAATTGCACAAAAAATGATGCAATTAAATTCATCGAAATTCGCTAATCAATTTCGAAAAAAGAAAAATCAATCATCGCTAACATCTTATTTGATTCGTGATCAACGTTTAAAAGAAGTAATGACGACGACCAAGAATTCTGATGAATTATCATCATCATTGAAAACGAAAAAACTAAAGACAAATGATTCGATTAGTATATTTGATGTTTTTAATCAACAACAATAATAACCATGGTTAATTCAATCATTACAATCATCCAAAAACATTAAAAAACAATCATCATCTAATGCTGGAAAATAATATTCAGGTGAATGATAAACATTTTTAGATGGTAATCTGGTCATATGACGTGTATTTTGTAAATGTTCAAAAAGATTATCACGATTTTCAAATGTATCTTGACAGATATAACATTGATTTGTAAGGATATTTTTTCGAATAAAATTTATAATCATAATACGATCATAAAAATCATCAATAGCAAGAATTTTATCAAAATCAAAATCATGTTCCATTCGTAAATGTTGACGAATATTATCGAATTTGTTCTTAAAAGGACAGAAAAAACAAAGACAATCCAATTGATTATCATTATCATCATCAACGATCCAATCATCCCAATCATCATTAGTGTTGTCAATGTAGAAATCATTTTCCTACAACAACGAAATCAATAAAATTTGATTAAAAGTCACCAAAATGATAATTTACCTTTTTAATTTGTTTCCAATGTTTATCATTACAAAGATAATTAATCAGATAGAAACGATCATATTCACGATTATTATGATTTAATGTTTTATGTCCTTTTTTACGCATATGTTCTTTTAAAACATTCCAATTTTTAAATTCACGTTCACAATAAAGACATAATAATTTTTTTAATTTTTCTTCTAAAATATCTAAAAATTCATTTGCATCAATAATATTATCTGGATGACCAATAAAAAAATTATGATCATTATAAAGATGATCAAATAATTGTGAACGATTTTCCGAAAAAATTTTTCTACAAAAAAGACACATTCTCGAAAAATTTGGATCCGAACGTTGTTTTTGTGATTCATTCAAGATTTTTTCCAGAAAATGTTTTTCAACAATTTTTTTTATCACAACTTCGGACATTTGTTGTTTATCAATAAGGAAATAATTGAAAATTTTATCAAATTTTTTAAATGTAAATTGTTGACAACGATTTTCCGATTGTAATTGATCCAATGAAATACATTGTTGAAGAAAATCAATAAATTCATCAACACTTGGAAATTTCGGTACGATAATTTGATGATTATTTAACAAATGTTGTTCATATGAACGAAAAAAATCTTCAAATAATTCATCCGATTGTTCTTTTAATTGTTTTTTACAAACAAAACAATTAATGTTTTCAATAAAATTTTCGTGATCCATTCTTTTTGTTGTTGAAGTTTTACTGATGAAAACGTTCGAATTTGGCTCAAATTCCTGGAATTGTAAACAACCAAAACGTAACGTATTCTACTGACGGTACAGGTCATTTTTTTTCTTTGGTTCGATGACCATGGCCTGTCAAAAGAATAATTTTTCATTGAAAAAATCATGAATATTATTGATGAAATAAAATTTCATTACAAACATTGTCTTCAACAACATAATCGAGGTGAAAATTATTTAGATTCTATAGATTCAAGAATTCGATTCTTTCGAAAATTATTCATATTTCATTTTCTTGATGGCGACGATAATAAAAATCGTACGGAAATCGATAATGGTGGCGATGATGATGATCTTTTGTTTTTCATTTATAAATTGAATGAATCGTTTATGGAAAACATTAAGGTAAAAAATGTTTATCTCAAATAAATCATATCTAATCATTTGATTATTTTTACCAGATTGATGTATTTCGAAAATCAACAAAAAATTTACCATTATCAAATACCGATATTGATTGGCCACGAACAACATTTTTAAATATAATATTACAAAAATTAAATTATCAACTTTATTTTACAATATTAACAAGAACAAGTGCAAATCATTATCATGTATTATTCAAGCAGAAGATACCAGTATTTTCAAGTCCAAGTGAACATTCAGTATTATTTAAAGAAAAATTAGAACAATATACATATCCGATGATCAATTTTCATGTTGATAATTACGATGAGGTAAGGGATTCGAATTCGATTCTATTTCGATCATCATTACCTATTTTAACCTATGTATCACTTACTTTTGTCGTTACTTACTCAGTTCCTATTTGAAAATGTTCTCAATTATCTTGAAATCATCTATATTGAACTTTTGGTTTCATCAAACAATCATTCATCATCATCGACGACGACGGCCAAAGAAGAACCAACAGTATTATTATCATTTACACTAAATTATGAATCAATTGATAATGCTTATTGTGAAAAAAAATCAATGATTAATGGGCAATATCTTTCCATTGCTAAAGTTCGTGATTCACAAACAAATGGTTATGGTGAAGTTGTTATTCGAAAAAAAATTCAACGGTAAGTTTAAAAAAGAAAATTTCACCGTATTTTTTACTTGTATTTTTTCCAGTTCAATTTCAGATAATTCTTCGAATAAACTAAATCTGGCCGTAAGTTTTTTTTTATAAAAAAATTTGCATTTAGTATGATTTTATTGACTTTTTCCCTCCCCCACATTTTCACCAGAGTTTTGATTATCCAGATAATTTATTTCTTACAAAAATTCGATCATTAAACAATAGTCCGAATCATCATTCATCACCGTTATTATTACGTCCATCAACATGTCTAATGTATGATGATAATTGTTTAATATTTGATTCACAAGATTTACTATCAGGTATTGTTTAATTTTTCAAAAAAAAAACTAAAAACTGATATTCATTTTTTCAATTTATAATTAGAATTAGATAATGAAAATTCCAATCAATTATGGCTACAAAAAGGTTTTAGTCAATTATATTTTCGTTGGAAAAATAAACAAAAAAATTTTACAAATTCATATCATTGTTTTATAACAAAAATATCAATACCATGTGATAAAATAATTGAAAAAATTTTATCATCATCATCAAATGATTGTAGAAAATCTATTTTGATGTAAAAATTTTTTTTTTCACTAATAAAATATTTGCATTCAAAATCGATAGATGGTGTTTTATGTCGTCAATTCAATTCAATCGAATTTGTACAGACGACGTTTCAATCCAAAAACATGTGATTCTTTTACTCACTCACTTCGTCATTGATATGCTTTCTTTCTATTCTTAATGCCACTACTACTTTTGCATATGAAAATTATTGAAAAATTTTTTTTTTCATCAATTGTGACTGTAACCTGTATCTGTATTCGTTAAACAAAATACTCACAAAATGTATTGATGAATGCAGCATGCGTATACGCAACGTAAAAATAAAACGTAAAAGAAAAAAACAGAAAATTCTCATAAACACACATGCTACTAGCAGTTCACGATCGCATTTTTTCTAATCCAAATTTTGCGTTTTTTTTTTTTTGTTACATTCACTTTAACATTGCGGCATGTATCATGCTTGTTTTGTTTGTTTGTAAAGCTTACTGCCAGCTCGTCTGTTTTTTTTTTCATGATTTTGGCTTTCAATTTTTTTCTTTTGCCTTAAGCTTGAAGCCGGTTACACACAGACACAAATCGAAGTTGTATGGCACACAGTGTGTTGATTGTGACCATCATCATCATCATCATTCATCGTCATCTTCATCATCAACACCAACATCATTACCATCAACATCATCATCATCATTATCATCCATACTGCTGCTGCTGTTGCTAACATTGTACCATTAACAAACAAAACAGATATTTTATTGAGCGACAACCAACAAGAAAAGAAGAAACGCATGCCAAAACGCGAAAACAAAAAAAAAAGTTGAAATCCAACCAAAAAAAATTATTTTATTTTATTTTTTACTTGGTTCTGGATTTTTTTTAATAAATAAAAGTTTGTGTGTGTGTGATCTTTGTGAAAAAAAACATTATCTTATCATTCAGAAAATTTATCCGGTTCAAAATTTTCAAAAAAGAATATTCAAATTTTGTTTTCTCGAGATAAAGTAAGTAGCGAAAGAAAAAAAAATTACCATTAATAATAATCGTTGTTTGTTGTCGTCATCAACAAACGATGTTTACGTTTTTTTTTTGCGTAAAGAAAAAAGACAATGTCATTTTCGTTTATAGAGGATTTCATGGCGACGACGGCCTATCATTAGTGAATGTATTATTGAAGAAAAAACAAGATAGAGTCAGAGAGAGAGAGAAAGATAGAGAGCATGGTATTTTTTTTTCTCAATAATCATAATAAAGTGGCGAGCATGTCAATATTTTTGTTGATTTTGATGATTTGGTCGTAGTAGTTGTCGTGTATAACTCTGGGTAGTCCATAATTGATAATCCATATTTTCTTTTGGGGTAATCATCATCATTTTGTTTTGTTTTGTTGAGTAAAAAATATCCAAAATGATGATTTGTTTTGGCTGAAAACTTTTTCTAATTTTTTTTTTGTTTTTTTTTGCATCTTTTGTTTTGTTTGATTTCAGTGTTTTAGAAAGTAATTCAAGTGCAAACAATTCATTTCACACAGCCATTATCATCATCATTCGATTCATTTCATTTCAAATGTGTTCGTGTTTTCTTCATTAATTTGTGACAACCAATCAATCAATCCTTTCTACTCATTTTTTATCGGTTTTTATCGTTGTTGTTTTGGATCTCTGTTCATCACCTGATTTTTCAGTAAAAGTCGATCAAATTCTACTTTTTTTTGTTGTTTGAATTCGAGTCAACATTTTGAAATATTGAAATAATGATGATGGCTTTAGATGCAAGCAGACCAACTAATTATCGTAATAATGATAATTATATCGAACAACAACAATCGATTGTTGGTGGTGGCGATCCATCGAGTAATGGACGAGAAATGATTACCGGTAATAATAATAATGGTCAATCATCGGTTGTTACTAATACTGCTTCGGCTGCTGCTAATGCTGCTGTATCACTTTTATCTCAATCATCATCATCGACAACAGCAACAACAACAAATAATAATCCTGTTACAAACAATTATCATCCTCATCAACAACAGCAGGGACCATCATCAACATCACCATTACAACATCAACAACAACAATCACAATCATCAGCTGATAATTTTCCCGATGAAAATGGTAAATATTTGTTTTAAAAAAATTTGATAAGTTTAAATGGTGATAATGAAAAAATTATTGTCATTATTATCAAAATTGATGATTATCGTTCGATCGATCGATGGATTCGAATTCGAATTTTTCCATTGTCAACATCAGCATTTTTTTTCTTTTGCTGCTGTAGTTGCATAGAGATCTTTGTGTCGTATTACTGATGATGATAATGATGATCAGAGATTAGGATTTAGTAAATTCAAAAGTTTTTTGATTTTTTTCTAAAAATTAAATAAAAAGAAAAAACAATGGTTATTGCAAAAAAAATTGACCCAATTCAAAAGATGGCAGCACAAGATTGATGGAGAAGCTTTTATTTGATGATGATGATTATGGTGATGATGATGGTGATGAAGATACTGAGCGGTAGCGACCATAAATACATGTATCGTTTTTTTTATTGTATCCAACAATAAACGTAACTAGTTTTTTTTCTTCTTTAATCATGTATGTTTTTTTTTCGAACCCTTTCTTTTCATTCAAATGATGATTGTTCGAAAAAATAAAAAATCGAAGCACGCACGTACTTGACGACAGGACATTCATTTAGCGAGATGTTGTTGTTTAATTGAATTTCGAATTGATGCAAAAAAGCAATTCAGAATGTTTTTTTTTTTGATTGATTTTTTTTGAATTTTATCACTTTTTTTTGGTTTGCTTATCCAGAATTCCAAAAAAAAAAATAAAAATATTTTTTTTCAAAAGCACCGGGGAAAGGTGTGGCCACTAAACATTCGAATTCTAATATTTTAATACTGACGATCAATTTGGATCAAAATAGATGCTTGTTTTAGTGTTTAGTGTTTAGTTTTGGTTGTCTGTTTTGCCGACGCGCATAACTACCACTATCTCCCTTTGATAGCACTCTCTCTCTGTTTTATTTGCTGCTTCTACGCTTATTTTGCGCTCTGTTTGTGTGTGTGATGTGTTTGGTGGTGTTTTCGTTTTGTTTCTTTCCTGTATCCAGCAACAACAACAACAAATATTTTTTCACCTCTGCAGTTTTGTTCTCTGGCGATAGCCAAAAGAAAAAAATCAAAAAAAGAAAGAAGTGTGACCTTTCATCTTAATCTTTTTTGTTTCCTTCATCCTCATCATCTTCATCATCATCATTTTGTGATTTGTTTTTTGGTGTTGTTGTTAGCTTTATTTTGTTTTTGTTTGTTTATTTGTTATTGAATTGAATTGACAAGATTGAGTGTCTTGTGTTCAATACATATGAATGAAATTTGTTGATTTGGTTTTTGTTTTTGTTTTTTCGAATCAAATAAAAAAACAGATGTGCAGCTTTTTTGGTATCCACCAGACCAAATGAGCTATTCCCCATCATCCCCATCTCAAGGTATGTTTGTTTGTGTCTCCATTGATGAATATTGATGAATATATTGATCACATTTAAATTGAATTTTTTTTGATGTTTTTTTCAAAACAAAGGTGGTAATAATGCGCAACTTTATTACCTTAAAATATTGGTACCAGCCGTTGCGGCTGGTGCTATTATTGGAAAAGGTGGTGAAACTATTGGCCAATTACAAAAAGAGACCAATACACGTGTTAAAATGTCAAAATCGAATGATTTTTATCCAGGTAGTAAGTATATTTTTTGTTTTGTTTTGTTGTTTGTTTTTCGAGTTGTTATTTAATTTTGTTTGCCTTATTCTCCGAAACAAAACAGGTACCAATGAACGTGTTTGTTTAATTTCTGGACCGGTCGAAGGAATCATACGTATAAATGAATTTATAATGGAAAAGATTAAAGAAAAACCGGATCCAAATGCAAAAATGGCTATTGATTTTGATAATAAACAGCCAGCCGAGAGAGAAAAACAAGTAAGTTTTTTTTGGTTTTGTTTTGATTTGAAAGAATCATTCGGTAATTTAAATTATTCAAAAGGTAAAAATTCTCGTGCCGAACAGTACAGCCGGAATGATAATTGGTAAAGCTGGTTCATATATAAAACATATAAAAGAAGAAAGTGGAGCTTATGTACAAATATCACAAAAATCATTGGATCATGCATTGGCTGAACGTTGTATAACGGTTATTGGTGAATTTGAATCAAATAAAAAAGCCTGTCAAATGATATTGGCAAAAATTGTTGAAGATCCACAAAGTGGTAGCTGTTTGAATGTTAGTTATGCTGATGTAACTGGTCCTGTTGCTAATTTTAATCCAACTGGTTCACCATATGCAAATGTGTCAAATTCAAGTATTGACAATTCAAATCATAGTAATCCAAATTATTCATCCAATAATAGTTTGAATAGTATGAGTCCAACCTTGAATAATTCATTTAATGGAAATCAAAATGCTAATAGCCCGGGTAATATGGTACAATTTGGAAATGTTTTCCAGAATTCACCTTCGGGTTCACAAACACAAATGATTGAAAATTTTCGTAGTATGTTACGTGCTTGTGGTTATAGTGAAGATGCTGTTAATGAAATTTGTACTGCTATGGCAACATTGGCTAATTATGGAATGCTTGGTCTAGGTCTTGGCCTTAATGGTATGATTAATGGAACACCTATTCTCGGTGGTTTAGGAATGGGATTAACTCCAGGTACACCTACCAATAATTGTGGCATTCAAATGAATCAGAATACAATGTTTTCACAAGGTGGTACAATACCTGGCCTTGATCAAAGTTGTAGTAATGTTCCACAACCATCAGGAAATGGTGGTAACAATTTATTTGGACCTGTTGGTTCAGTAGGAAATTCATTATCAGCAATGGGAATTACACATGGTTCATTCACTCATAATTCATCACCTGTTACAGGTGGTGGTGGTGGTCGTCAAGATCGTCATCTTCATATGCCTGATGGTTCAGTGTTTGAAACATTTCGTGCATCACCATCATTAAGTTCACCTGGTAATAATAATAATAATAATAATAATTCATCAACAACAATACATCCATCAATGACAATAAATAGTAATTCATTTGGTATTGGTGCATTACATCATAGTCCAAATTCAATGCGTAAAAGTTCACCACCAACAACACCAACTGATCAATCACCTGATCAATCATTGAATCATCATCATCATCATCAACAACAAAATAAACTTGAATTAGAAGTTAGTGACAATATTATTGGTGCAATTCTTGGACATGGTGGAAAATTATTAGTTGAATTACAACGTTCAAGTGGTGCTAATATACAGATATCGAAAAAAGGTATATTTGCACCGGGTACACGTAATCGTATTGTTACGATTAGCGGTTCACCAAACGCTGTACAATCGGCACGTGTTTTAATTGAACATCAAATCAATGAAGAAGAATCAAAAAGATCTAATCAACAACAACAACAGCAGCAACAACAACCGATTAATAATTTTTTGCGATAAAATTTCTTTTTTTTACATCAAATCAAAAAAAAATCCCCATCAATCATCTTCAAAACACACATACTTTTTACATTGAAAATTCTTTAATATAAAAAATACAAAACTAAAACTTTTGTCTCCCTTCATCATCATCCTCCGTTAACAAGTTACACACACCACATACTAACCATCATTTGTTCTTCATCATACACACGCCAACTTTTTTATTTTTCATTCATTCGTAAAATCAACAAAACAAAAGCAAAACAACAACAAAAAACAGGCAGGGAGTAAGATATCTTTATATTATTATTATTATTATTTAGTTATATAACAGAATTATTATTATGATGATGATTATGTAATACCAGTGTTCATTTTTCTTCTTCATTTTTTTGGATTGATTTAGGGTTAATAATATTATTTTTCCATCGTTTTTCATTCGTTTTCTGCCCTACATCTTGATCATCATACTGATTCGATCGTCGATATTTTGCTTTATTTTTTTTTGTTTGTCGATTTTCAAATTGCTTTTTTTTCGCTCTCTTTCAATCAATTTTTCATTTGTTATTATCCCATTTGTTAGTGTCTTCTTCTTTCTTTTGTTTTTCTAATTTTTTTAATCAAAAAAAAAACATTTTGCTAACCAACCATCCAACCAACCTGATGTAATAATCTTCTTCGTTCTTCGTCAATTCAATTATGGAATTTTCGTTTTTTTCAGTTTTTAGTTCTTGATGATTTTTTATTGAAAATCGTAAGAGAAACTCCAAAAACATAAACAACAACAACAAATCAAAAAGATTTATATATTTTTTAACATCCATCACTTTTTTTTTGTTTGTTTGTTTCGTTTCGCGCCTCGCAAATATTATTAATTATTGTCAACAAATTATTCATTCATATTTACCTTACATCTTTCTTCTTTCATCCATAAACACCAGCCTATCACACAGATAAGAAAAAACATACTCGCTCGCTCTCGCTCCTGAAAAACAAACTAAACATCAACCAAGATTGATCCATCTTAACTTAATTGGTGATATTGTCATCTTTTTTTTTCTTTATTAAACATAACATACATACATAACTTTCGCCCATCAATTACATCAATCACATATATTGAAGAAAATGATAATCCATCGTTTGTTATTTTATTATTATTATTAAAACAACAGAGAAAAAACAAAACAAAATATGAAAAACGTGATAATATTCATTAACATTTATTAATTCAATATTGAAATAATCATCATCGTTAACAACAAATATACCAAACACACATGACCGAAACACACACACGCCATTCATCATCATCATCCAAGAAGAATTTATAAAACAAAATATTTTTTTGTTTGTTTGTTTGCAATTAGCAATATTTTATATAATAATTCTTTCTGTAATGTACGTTTGTTTTGTTTTTTTCTTCAAAATTTACCCCCAAAAAAAACAAAACAGCAAAATTACTTTTTTCATCATTATCAATGGAAGCATAATATCCACACAGCATTGTTTTATTGAATCCCCCCGACTAACTAACTAACAAAAAATCCCAAAAATTTCAGAATCAAATTCGTTATAATAATGATCCCGGAGAAATTCATGAGCACTTTGCAAGTTGCAATATTTTATTTTATGTTTCTTTGTTTTCTGTGAAATTCTGTAACATCTTTTTTTTTGCTGTTTCAAATTGTAGGTTTGTTTTTTAATTACTAATTTTTTTTTGCTTTGCTTTCTTTCATTCGAAATGATGATGATGATAATACATTACATTCATGAATAATGTGCCCCCCTATCATTACAAACGCATATATTACAACAACCATAACCCATTTGGTTATCGTCGTCTTAGGAGTTAAATTAAATCGATTTTTGCCTATCTACCTTTTCTTTTTCAAAAGAATATTCATCTTTATATTTTCTCTTCAAACACACATTTCATTCATCATTTCAAAGCAAACAGTGTCTCTTAACACTTTACACACCAAGATAAATTACCTATTTTGTTTCGGTCTTCAAACCACACACACACACACAGAAATTCGAATGAATTCTTGTTTCAACATTCGAATTCGAATTTCAACAAAACAAAACAAAAATTCATTCGTTTTTGTGTCATTTCAACATTTTTTTTCTCTCGATAAGATTCTCTTTTTTTTCTGTCAAATTGATTTCTACACATTACCTTATAATGATGCTATATTATTATTAAATAAATAAACAAATTTTATTAATTCAAATTCAAATCCTAATAGATTCTATAGCGAACATTATCCTCATCGTCGTCATCGTCATCATCATTATCATCTGAATCTTCTTCCATTGTTGATGATGGTGATGGTGATCGATTATTTTTTTCAATCTTATCTTTTTGATGTGTTTTACGTTTCATAGCTGGTTTTAGATCCCATATTTGTACCATACCATTATCATGTCCGGTAAATATAAATACCCGGTCACGAATATCAATAGATAAACCACATACGGCAGTAATTTTTCTTCCATCCACTGATTCTAATGTTGTAATTTTCCGACCATTCGATGCACAGATTATATTTATATAATTACAACCGACATAAGGTAGTTCAACTAATACTTGTTTCAATCCTTCTTGATGTCCATATGGACCAATATCATGAATATTATCTAATTGTTCTTTATTTGAATAACGTATCGAGAAATTGGATTTTGGTTTTAAACCTGGTTGTGTTGAAATCGTACCACGAAATCTGATCAGCGACCATGTACGAGCATGCAATTTTGTACACATTGTTAGCAGATAATCTTGGCATAATATTATTTTCCAAATAGGACTTAAATGTACACGTATTGTACGAAATAGATCCGGGTCTTGATTTCGAGTATCTTGTACAAGGATACAAACAGTACCATTTTTCGTACCATATGCAATTTCTAATGGATGTCTTGAACATTCATCATTCAATGAATTTGTTATATCATGACGTTTATTAAAACGACCACAATATGAACAAAAACATGATATGGTAGTGATTTCTTCACCATCCGGATCTTTATAGATTTTATTCATCAATAATTCACCATCCCTTAAACGATATGGCAGTTTTTGCATATCAATCAAATAAATTACGCCATGATTTGATGAAAGAAAAAGATAATCCATCATATAACTATTGAATGCAGTTATCATACAAACAGAATTTGTTGTTGTTGATGATGATGATTCACCATTATTATCATCATCGTTTAAATTTTGATGAAACATTCGGGAATTGTTCCAAATTAGAATGCGACCTTTTTCTTTACATAATGTAACTTTGCATAAGAGAAACGAGGAAGATAGGAAAAAACATTAAATTTTCAAACAACAGCAAACTTTCTTACCAAGCTGTGAACGCATGAAAAACATTGAATCAATGGAAAAATTTTTCCAATCATAATGACCAATTTTTGTAAATTTTGTCTTATCAATTATTCTTGGTTGACGATTATAATAAATATCATCCATATTTTGTTGATTATTTTCATAATAATTTCTCCATAATGTAACATCATCGGTATAAATTGCAATTAAAAAATGTTGATTTGTTGATGATTCCAATACTAGATCGGTCAGTTTAATTGTTTTGTTTGGATATTCGAAATCGAAATCACATTTCCAACCATTTGTATCGGAGAAAAAATAAAATTTTATTAAATGATCAAATACAACGGCTAAACCACGATCAAACGATATCATTTGTTTGACCGGTGATGATGATTGATTTGATTTGAGTAGGGACTAAAATTGGACAAAAGAAATTTCGTTTGAAAAACATTCTAATAACAACATATCATATTCAAAATTTTGTCAAACCTCAAAAAAAATATTTCCACCACAAGTTGATTGATTTTCACGCAATTCTAGCCGTTTTATCAATGGTGCAATGCAGAAAAATTTTGCCTCATCAATCAAACTATCAATATTCGAATCATTTACATTATGTAATTTATTTGTACGTAAATAATTGAGAATGATTGAAAATAATTTTGGATCACGATCAATAAATATAGCACCCGAATCATCTGTATTTGTTGGTATTCCACCCATTAACATTGCCGTAAAAAATGTATCCGATATTGAACACAGTGTATTTTTACTTGTTGTAAATTTTTTCCCACCAACATTCAAATTAATTATTTCGGACATCATTGTACAATCGGCAATTTTTTTCAATTGTCGAATTTTTGTCTTTTTTTCCATATTGATTTTAGTTTTTTAAAAACAAAACAAAAATAATTTTTGAAAGAAATCATACGACGTTATCCATCTTCTGTCATCCATTTCCATTAGTTTTATCTGATGACAAAAGATGGCACTGTGTNATTTTTTTCAATTGTCGAATTTTTGTCTTTTTTTCCATATTGATTTTAGTTTTTTAAAAACAAAAAAGTTTTTGAAAGAAATCATACGACGTTATCACATTCTGTCATCCATTTCCATTAGTTTTATATGATGACAAAAGATGGCACTGTGTGTCAATTCGAACGATATTGTATTTCGAATGTTTGAACATTCGAATTTGAAAATTTTGAAAATGAATCATCTTATCAAACAAAAGAAAATTTTTGTATTTAAAAAGCAAATTATGGATTATTTACATATTAAAAAAAATTAATAGAAAATCGCTATCATTTGGTTATAAAGGTAATTTATAAATATACAAAGATTATTATTTAAAAAAAAATTCTTCATTTTAAATAAATTAAATTAAAATCCTAATCTATTCTACAGCAATCATTTTTTTCCGTACGATTATTACCACTATTATTGCTGTTGTTATTGTGATGATTAATTTGTTTAATATTAACAGTCGACATTGAATTTGTCATTTTTGATGTATTATTTTGTGAATAATGGTGATAATGATGGGGATGATGATGATGATGAGAATATTTTGTATCAACGGTATTCGAATCATTATTATCATTATTACCTTCATCATGATGTTCAATGAAAGCAATATTATTCAAAGATTTTGATTGTATAATCACTCTCATTGANATTTTTTTCAATTGTCGAATTTTTGTCTTTTTTTCCATATTGATTTTAGTTTTTTAAAAACAAAACAAAAATAATTTTTGAAAGAAATCATACGACGTTATCCATCTTCTGTCATCCATTTCCATTAGTTTTATCTGATGACAAAAGATGGCACTGTGTGTTCAGTCAATTCGAACGATATTGTATTTCGAATGTTTGAACATTCGAATCATTCGAATGAAAATTTTGAAAATGAATCAAACAAAAGAAAAATTTTGTATTTAAAAAGCAAATTACGAATTATTTACATATTTTAAAAAAATTAATAGAAAATCACTATCATTTTGGTTATAAAGGTAATTTATAAATATACAAAGATTATTATTAAAAAAAAAATTCTTCATTTTAAATAAATTAAATTAAAATCCTAATCTATCCTACAGCAATCATTTTTTTCCGTACGATTATTATTATTACCACTATTATTGCTGTTGTTATTGTGATGATTTATTTGTTTAATATTAACAGTCGACATTGAATTTGTCATTTTTGTTGTATTATTTTGTGAATAATGATGATAATGATGAGGATGATGATGATGATGAGAATATTTTGTATCAACATTATTCGAATCATCATTATCATTATTACCTTCATCATGATGATGTTCAATGAAAGCAATATTATTCAAAGATTTTGATTGTATAATCACTCTCATTGATGGTGATTGATTTGTATTAGTAGTTGTTATTGATGGTGGACAATCAAATTTATTCGTCGTTACTGATGATTGTTTTGTTCGAACATTGGTGATAATTTTTTGCTTATCAATATTATTGCTACCTAAACATTCGAATAATGATTTTTCATTATTTGTTTCGTTTAAACCAAAATTATTCGAATCAATAATATTATCATCATTATCAGTTGATTTTAAAAAATCCGGTGAACTTGATACAGGATGTAATATTGATTCTTTTTTATGATTTGGATGTAAATCTGAAACAATCGATATTACGTTCATTGATTGATTATCACAATTTTCGGATGGATTTATTATTTTTTGGTTATCAATATTTGTGGTTGATGAATCGGTTACAAATATATCGATTAAATGCTTTTTCTGACGATTATCACCACCATTATCAACATTATCACCATCATCAAATGAAGAAGATTCTTGAATTTTTGAATCAAAACATGTCAGGCTATTGCTATCTTGAAGACTATTATTTTCAGCACAAATACTACCTTCTTCGGAAACTATTGAACATTTCCTTGCCAATGGTAGAACATATGATGTTGTTGAATTTTGTGGTAGCTCTAAATTTATCAGACTTTGTGTATGTTCCGATGGTAATGATAATGGTAAAAAATTATTTTTTTTCTTATCTAAATTATTATCTTTTGTTAACCCTGTGGTAGTAGTAGTAGTTACAGTATGAGAATCACTTCGTATAAAATCACGTCTTCTTCTTCCTGTTGTTGTTGTTGTAACAATATTTCCACGTTTATTTTGACGAAATTTATTATTATTGCCAAAATCCGAATTTGTTTGTCCTTCTTCTTTAATCAATTCTCTTGTTGATTTATCTTTTAATAAATGATATGTTGCTTTAATATAATGATGATCATTAACACTATATTCCATAGATGGGGAATTATTATCCTTATCTGTTGTTGATGATTCAATTGTTTCAACAATATGTTCATTATGTAGAATTTTTTTTATCTGATCTTTTGAAATACTGATTCCTTGATTAATCATTTGATCAATAATATAATCATTAACATGATTTTTATTGCCAATTTTTATCTGTTGTTGTTCTTTTTTCATTGCAGTCAAATCGATTGTTGTTGGTAATGTGGTTGTTGTTGTTGATAAATCTTCTTGTTCATTCAACCATGGATGATTAAGAATCTGATCAATTGATAAACGCATATTTGGATCTTTTTTCAATAAACTTCTTATCAAATCAATCGATAATTCATTTACTGATGGTTTTTCCGGTGTAGTAAATGAACAGTCTAAAATCCTATGAAAAAAATGAATTTTTTTGGTTTAAATAAATAAAATCTTGTTCAAGTTAATCAATCAATCAACGTACTTGATTAATGTTTCATTATCATTAAATTGCATAAAAGGATTATGACCATAAAGAAGAATATAAAGTATACAGCCTAATGCCCAAATATCAACTTTTGGACCATCATATTGATTACCTAATAAAATTTCCGGTGCAGAATAAGCTAACGAACCACAAGAAGTACGAAGTAATTCATCTTCACACCATTGATTTGAAAATCCAAAATCAATCAATTTAACTAAAATATCACTTTTCGGTTGTTGTTGTAGTTGTCGATTATTGATTATAAGTATATTTTCTGGTTTGAGATCACGATGAACAATTTTCAGTGAATGACAATAGTAAATTGCCTTACAAATCTAGTTTTATAAACAAAAATTAACATTTTTCCCACCAAAAATTATAATCAAAATCATACCTGTTTGAAAATATGTTTAGCTTCCATCGAATCTAAACCATCACCATCATTCTTTTTTTGTATATAATCATATAGATCACAAACATTGTTTCCACAATATTCTGTGTTTACAGTAAAAGAAAATCGAATGTTTTTTCAATACTCCAAAAAGTAAACTTTAAATTAAACATACCCATGACTAGATAAAGTTTAGTTCTTGTATCAATACATTGATAAAGTTTTACAACATTTGGATGTTCATTTCGAGATAATATTGACCATAACTTTATTTCACTACTTAATTGTTCTAAACCTTCTTTTGTAAGTTTAATTTTATCAACAATTTTTATAGCTACATGTTCACCTGTGTAAAATGATAAGCTAATTTTAATTTATAAACTTAATTTGGATTTTTTGATTCTTACCAGTTAAACAATGTCTAGCAAGTTTTACAATTGCAAAATGACCTTTACCCAATACATCATTCGTAATATCATAAAGGCCGGCAGCCATTTATTTTAAATTTGATAATTTAATTATATTAATGATGATGAATTTTCGAACAAAAAACATTAATTCAACAACAAGCGAAAAAAACATTGATTATGATGAAATTAACATTGTTTTGAAATGAATGAATGTCCCATGTATATCAAAGAATTTAGAATAAGAATTTTTTTGATCGATCGATCGATAATTAGCGGTAGAATTTCTCCAATTTTAACTGATAATTTGTCTATTTCGGACGAAAAAAAATTGGTAAACAAAAAATTATTTTTATACAGATCAAAGTCAAACAAAAAGAGAGAGAGAAGAAAAAAATGATGATCGAATAAAAAAGAAGAAGCCATATTCTCTGGCTACTCATAGATGTCGTTATTCGAATTCTTTGTGAAAAGAATTTAACGTTCGAATTCTTTGTTGAAGAATTTGATTTTTTTTCGGGTAAAAAACCCGGAATTTTTTTTCTGAAAATTTTTCAATCAATTCACGAAAAGACAAAAGTTTTGATTAAGAAATTATTGATTGAATCGTCTTTTCGTTTGTTTGTTTGTTACAGAATTGAAACAGAATTTTATTCAAAAAAAATGGATGGATTTTCCAAAAGAAAATATATAAAAAAAATTACAATATTTGTCATTTTTTTCTCCGAACAACCGTCCAACCATCATCTTCATTATTATCATTATCATTATGACCATGATTATCGTTATTATCTTCATCCATCATCATTAATGAATCCGATGTGGCCGACATCATTCGCTGATCATTTGTTTGTTGTTCGGACAATAGTAATGATGATGATGATGATTGCATTGTCAAAGTTTGTTCTTCTTGGTTCTTTTTTGGATTTTTCTCTTCATATTTTTCTTTTGTTTGTTTTAATTTATCTCGGATATAATCATGATCACCAGATAAAATTTTTTGATAATAACCCAAAATACTTGTTGATATCATTTCTAATGAACCATCTTCAATAATAGTATCAAATTCATTGTCTAATATTTCGGCTATAAAATCACTGACATCTTGAACAATAAGTTGATTATTATTATCATGAAATAATTGTACAATTGAATCACAAAGCCATTCAATTTTGGCTGATTGATTTGGTCCACCCATACCATTTGAAATGGAAATCTGAAAAGATGGCCAACAATCTATTGTTTCGGATATTGAACGATGAAATAATGTTCGATCAAACATAATGATGATGAAACCAGAAAAATTAACCAAGAAAAAATAATTTTCAAAATTCAATTTGTTGATTCCACGATCAACGAAAAAAAACGTGCATCAAAATCAGCAGCAGCGAATAGAATGACTTGCATGGTATAAAATCCTCATTATTCTATGGATTCGAATCATTTTTGGAATTCGAATCTTATGAAATTCATTTTGAATTTTGATTTTTGTTTTTTAATTTTTTAAAAAACTTTTTCTAGGAATCCTCATCAACATAAATTCACATAATTTTCATTCTAAAACTCTATATGGCTTCAGCATTGAACAAAACAAAAGGATGACCCTGATTAAAACTGGTTTTTTTACCCTGCCATGGATGCTGTCACCTATTAATTTTCTTATGACCATCTTAACAATGATGATGACCATGAACAAGTTGAAAAGCATCATTCATTCATTCGATGTTCTGATCTGATCTCTGATACATCACCAACAACAACAATGGACGATTCAACATTTTATTTTTGGCTAAGTTTTTTACTTTTGTTAATAAGTTTTTTCGCTTTATCTTGGAGTTTTTTTGCTGCCCTATTTTTACCCACACAATGGTTAACACCGGTGGATAAAGTAATTCTAATCACTGGTTGTGATTCGGGTATTGGATTGGAAATTGCAAAATATTTACATTCAAAAGGATCGATTATAATTGCAACAGTTCTTTCTCGATCAAGTCCCGGTGCATTGGAATTAAAAACTTTAAAACTTAATGAGGATCGAATCTTTTTAATCGAACTTAATTTGATTGATTCGAAGAATTTACATGAATCGATTGAAAAAATCCGGAAAATTCTTGATGAACGAAAATGTGGTAAGTGTGTATTTTGTCTATGTAACTGTGTAATTTCATTTTGTTTCGTTGTTGACAGAACTTCATGCATTAATCAATAATGCAGGCATTTGTGTATTTGGTGAATTTGATTTTCAAACATTCAAACAAATTGAATCACAAATCAATGTAAATTTTCTCGGAACGATTCATTTAACAAAATTATTATTGCCTATGATAATCAAATCGAAAAGTCGTATCATTAATTTAAGTTCGGTAAATGCTTTGGTACCATTTCCTGGTCTTAGTGTTTATTCGGCTACAAAAAAAGCTATCGAAACATTCAGTGAATCATTATCGATTGAAATGAAAAAATTTAATGTAAAAACTGTTTGTATACGATTGGGTGATTATGCTAAATTGACTAATATTATGGTTAATCACAGAAAAATAATGAAAGATCAACTGGAACAATTTGACGAATCTAAACGCCGACTATATGGTGATTATTTTGAAAAATATCATGAAAATGTAATGAAAAATTATGGAATGTTTAGTCCGAAAAGTTATGCATCATCAACATTGTTTGATGATTTTGAAAAAGCTGTCTATGCTGTAAATCCACCAGCTCATTTAATTAGTTCAACATTTTCATATAAACTTTTGATCTTGTTTCTTTATTATCTTCCATTCAATATGAGATGTTATTTGCTTAACAAATTCGTTTCCGAAACAATTAAATAAAATCCATTTTCTTTCAAAAATGACTAACAATCGATACTATCGATACAATCAAATTTTTGGCAATTTGTGATTTATTTACGAGCCATTTTATTTGTTGTTTATCATCGAAACTTTGAATTCTTTATTTTGGTAAATTTTTCCGAATTAATTTTCTGTAAATTTTAAAAATGGGTTGTGATGGCGGTACCATTCCACGTCGAGATGAACTTGTTCGAACTAAAAAGAAAAAAGAAGCTAAAGATAAAGAAGCAGAAATGGCTGCTAAATGGAAATATTGTGCAATATCATCGAAAGATTTACAACCACCAATTGTTTCTTGTGAACTTGGTAGACTTTATAATAAAGATGCTGTTATTGAATATTTATTGAATAAGGAAGCACCAAATTCATCATTATTAAGTCACATTCGTAATCTTAAAGATTTGGTTACATTACGATTGACACCAAAACCAAAAGATGATCAAAACAAATCAACAGAATCTAACGGTGCTAATGAATATAAATATGTTTGTCCTATTGTTGGTTTAGAAATGAATGGTAATTATAAATTTATGTATTTTCGCCAGTGTGGATGTGTTGTTTCCGAAAGAGCCATAAAAGAAGTAAAAAGCCAAGTTTGTTTATCATGTAATAAACCATTCATCGAAGATGATTTAATCGTTCTAAATGGTGATGATGATGAAATTGAAGATCTTAAAAATCGTATGACCATTAGACGTAACAAAGTAAAAGAAGAAAAAAAACGTAAACGAACAATAAACAATGAAGATTCGACAAACGGCAAAGCAAAAATGGCTAGATCTGATGAACCAGGAACTTCAACAGATACTACTACCACTACAGTGGTTAAAACATCATCATTATCCGTACTGTCGGAAAAAGCATCAAAAAAATATTCAGTAAAAAAAGATCCAAATGCAACCGAAGCATATAAATCATTGTTTACATCACATGAAAGTGCTAAAAATCGACCAAAAGCACATTGGGTTACATTTAATCCATGTTATAATTAAAATAACAAATAATATTTTATCTTTTTTATTTCGAGCATTCTTATAAGTAAAAAAAAATAATAATAAACAAATATAACATTAATTTAAAAAAAACAAAAACATTCAACTTTTTTTTCAATTATCAACATCAATATCCATGATAAGATCATCACCTTCTAATTTCATATCTTTTTGCGCCAGGATGCGTTTTACTGTTCCGCTAACTGGTGATTGTACAACCATTTCCATTTTCATTGCACTTAATACAATTAATGGTTGTCCTTTGGCTACTTTATCACCAACATTAACTTTAACATTGATTACGGTGCCGGGCATTGGTGAACCAACTGAACCTTTTACACCTTTCAATGCTTTTGGATTCGATACAATTTCCTTTATCGAAGCGAAAAAAACGAAAAACAACGGTTATCAGGTTTTTTCGAAAAAAGTTAAAGAAAAATTTTTACCTGTTTAACAGTTTTATCTTTAACCAATACAGTTCTTAATTGTCCATTCAGTTCGAAAAATACTTCACGTTCACCAGTTTTCGAACGAATTTCCGAAACAGCCAATGTTTTTATATGTAATGTTTTACCTTTTTCTAAAACAACTTCAAATTCTTCACCAACTTTTGGTCCGGTTAGAAAAATTCTTGTATCCAACAGTGCGACAGGTCCAAATTCTTCACGAAATTTTATATAATCATCGCAAACTTTTGGATACATTGCCGAACTAATAACATCAGTTTCCGATATGGATGATTCATGTTTTTCAATTAATTCATCTTTAAGTTGAATAAAATTTAATGGTGCTAAATGTTGTCCTGGACGACCACTTATCGGTGAAAGTCCTTTCAGAATTTTACTACGTAATGGTTCGGGAAAACCACCATATGGTTCACCTTTGAATAATAATAATTAACACGGGTTATCCAAAGGTCAATCAACGAACTTACCAATAAAACCTTGCATAAATTCTACTACTGAACTTGGAAAACTTAATTCTTCAGCTTTTTGTTCAATATCATTAGCAGTCAGATTATTTTGTACCATAAATTGTGCAAAATCACCAACAACTTTTGATGATGGTGTTACTTTTATTAAATCACCCAATAGTTTATTTGCTTCAGCATATGCTTTTTTAATTTGTTGAAAACGAGATTCCAAACCAAGAGAATATGCTTGAAATTGTAGATTAGTATATTGACCACCAGGAATTTCATTCAGGTAAACATCAGAATTTCCACTTTTCATTGTTGTTGTACATTCAAATGGTGCATACAGCGTACGTGTTTGTTCCCAAAATGCTGAATAACCACTAATATGTTTTAAATCCAGTCCAGTATCATATGGTGACCGTTCTAATGATGCAACAATTGCACCCATACTTGGTTGTGATGTCATTCCTTTTTTTTCCAGCAAAAAAAAAGAAAAAATCAAATGAAAAAGTCAAAAATCAAAAATCAAAAATTATGAATCAACTAACCAGACATTGAATCAACGGCAACATCAACAATATCCGCTCCAGCTTTTGCACATTCAATCATTGATGTAACCGAAGCACCAGCTGTATCATGTGTATGTATATGAATCGGTAGATCCGGATATTTCGAACGTAATGATGATACTAACAGTTTTGCTGCTTGTGGTTTCAATAAACCGGCCATATCTTTTATACATAAAACATGTGCACCAGCTCGAACTAATTCATCGGCAATTTTCATATAATAATCTAGATTATATTTCGTACGATTTGGATCGGAAACATCACCCGTATATGAAATGGCTGCTTCAACAACACCACCAGCTTGACCAGCAGCTTCCATACCGACTAAAATATTTGGCACATAATTTAGTGAATCAAAAACCCGAAAAATATCCATTCCATTCTGCCAAGATGAGAGTTGAATGAAAATTATCATCAAAAAATCAATAAATCAGGTAGCGAGACTCACCTGTTTGGCTAGTTCACAAAATTTAAAAACTAAATTATCAGGATATGATGTATAACCAACTGCATTTGCACCACGCAATAGCATTTGAAATGGAATATTTGGTATTAATTGACGCATTTGTTGCAAACGTTCCCATGGATCTTCATGCAGGAATCGCATTGCAACATCAAATGTTGCACCACCCCAATTTTCCAGACTAAATAATTGACTAAAATTTTCGGAAACATATGGACTAATACGAAGTAAATCATATGTACGAACACGTGTTGCAAGTAATGATTGATGTGCATCACGAAACGTTGTGTCCATCAACAGAAGATTTTTATGTTCACGAATAGCTTTTGCAAATGCTTTTGGTCCTTGACTATCTAGAATTTCTTTCCAACCGGAAAATATTTCTCTTGGTGATTTTTCACCAATTATTGTTGTTTCCGGAACTTCGGGTATTATTTCCGCTGGTTTTAGTTTTGTTGCTAATGGTGTTGATGGTCCATTAACCATAACATTTGCTAAATAATATAATAATTTTTGTGCACGATTTTGACTTGGTTCAAATTGAAACAATTGTGGATGAGTATCAATAAAATTTGTATCATAATCATTTTTCAGGAAACGTTCATTATTTAAAACATTCAACAAGAATGGTATATTCGTCTTAACACCACGAACACGAAATTCTCTTAAAGCCCTGGTCATTTTACGTGATGCTGATTCAATATTACCAGCTTTAGCAATAACTTTAACTAATAATGAATCATAATAAGGGGAAATAATGGCACCGGAAAAAGCGGAAGCACCATCCAAACGTATACCGAAACCTTCACCACTACGAAAAACTTCAATCCGGCCGAAATCAGGTTGAAAATTTTTAGCCGGATCTTCTGTTGTTACACGACATTGTATAGCAGTACCATCGATACGAATTTTATCCTGAATCAAACCTAAATTAGCTAGTTTATTTCCTTCAGCAATACGAATTTGGTTTTGTACAATATCAATGCCGGTAATTTCTTCGGTTACCGTGTGTTCAACTTGCAGTCGGGCATTTACTTCGATAAAATAATGTGATCCATCAGAATCCAATAGAAATTCCACCGTACCAGCATTTTGATAACCAACATGTTTGGTTATTTTTACAGCATCTTTAAGAATATTTTCTCGAACCAAAGGATCAATTGATGGTGATGGTGCAATTTCAATAATTTTTTGATGTCTACGTTGTATACTACAATCACGTTCATATAAATGTACAATATCACCATAATGATCACCCAAAATTTGTACTTCAATATGACGTGGATGTTCAATAAATTTTTCAATAAAAAGTGCACCATTACCGAATGCAGATAATGCTTCGGATGATGCACGTTCAAAATTTTCAACTAATTCACTTTCTTTACGTACAACACGCATACCTCTACCACCACCACCATATGCTGCTTTAAATATGATTGGTAATTTATGTTTTCGAACAAATTCCATTGCTTCATCAACCGATGTAATTGGATTATCAGTACCGGGAACAACATGGACACCAGCTTCAATTGCAGCTTTTCTTGCTTCAACTTTATCACCCATCCTGGCCATAATATCCGGACTAGGCCCAATAAATTTAACATTATTATCAATACAAGCACGACAAAAATCTGAACGTTCCGATAGGAAACCATAACCCGGATGAATAGCATCAACATCGTTTTCTTTTGCAATACGAACAATTTCCGGAATGTTTAGATAAGCTTGAACCGGAGCCAAACCGGCTCCTATCAGATAAGCTTCATCAGCTTTCAACCGATGCATATGCATTTTATCCTGTTCCGAATATATGGCTACCGAACGTATTCCTAATTCAGTACATGCTCGAAATATTCGAATGGCAATTTCGCCTATTCGTTTGTTTTGGGTTTTTGGTGAAAAAATCAAAAAAGTTTTTTTTTAAAATTTTTGAGTTTTTGTTTCAAATGGTAAAAAAGTCACTGACCTCTATTGGCAACTAAAACTTTTTTAATTGGTTTAATTTCGGTTGAAAAATAACGAAAATTTTTTGATGGTGGATGATGATGATTATATAAATGTTTTTGTAGAATGAAAACGTTGATATTATTGTTGGCGAGGAAATTACGATGATATAAGATTCGAGACATGGTGACCTTTTTTTAACGAGCAAGCACGATTATTCGATTCAGAACAAAAAATTTATTGAAATTTGATGCGGATTATGAAAACCTGATGATGAATTAACATTGGTCAATCTTTGATTTCTGTTTTTGTTTTGGTTAGAAAAAATGAAAATGAAAAATTTTAAAATCTTTGGGTACAAAATTTGGTTACAGAATTTTTGGAAATGTTGTTGAAACAAACAACAACAAAAACAAGGTTGAAAATATGTTTGAAAAAAATTTGATGATGGCTGTTTGTTGTTGTTGATCAACACCGTTTGTGTCATTCATTCAAGGGGAATATCAATCAATCAAGCGCAATTATTGATTTGACTTGTTGATTTTTCTGTTTTTTTTCGATGATTGCTAAATACTTATTATCAAAAATAAACAACAAAACGAAGTTACCATTGAAAAGGAATTATCATCAACATGGTTGTTGTTGTGCTTCAATGGCAGAAATATTAGATAAAGAGAGAAAGGCGAAAAAAAGAGCAAAAACTATAGTTAACAGTCTGTGTATGTTATGCTGATGATGATATGTAGATCATCAAAATGTGAGAATTTTTTTCTTATACATGTTTGTCGTTGATTGGTTTGTTTTGAACGTTCGAAATGGATGGATAACAACAACAAATTATTCACCAAGTACATCGATTAGAAATCCGGTGATGGTCTTGTGTTTTCGTTTTGTTGTTGAAAAACGTTTTTTTTTCTTGTACAAAATTTACCTTTAGCACGACGACGATATTATCATCAAATTATCAGTAGGTTTTCGTTGATGGAAAAAATGAAAATTGTACGTTTTTTTTGAAAAAATGATTATCGTTGTTGTTCGTTTATCATGTGCGAAATGGTGAAAAATTTCTCGTTGTTTGTTATCTGAACGACAAAATAATTATGGATATATCAATGACATATATAGGTGATAAAACAAACAAAACAAAATGATGATAATATTCTTTGCCAAAAAACGGAAAACTTGATTTGGTTCAAAGTCTTGCCTTGGTCTGGACGAAAACCATTAATTTTTTTTTTGTTTTTTGAATGGAACAACAATTTAATCTTAACTAAAAAGTAAAAGGTAAATTCAAATTACAGGTGAATTTTTTAAATAAAGATAACGATATGGAGGAAAAATGACGACGACGACGACGTAAACGAAGATGTTTATAACAACATTCAAGATTTATCTATTTTCTTCTTGTTTTCTTGTTTATCATGTGATCAAGTCAGCTGTGCTATCAGCGGGTTATTTTTTTTTTGCGTTTGCTTCGTTTGTTGTGTGTGAATGGTGTGAATGTCCATATGGTAATGACATTGGCGGTGGTGGTGACCATGGCAACCACATCCGAAGAAGAATTTGGTCAAATTCTACAAACAAAAACACACAACGATTATTCTATTAGTCATGATTCTTGGATCAAAGATTTTTTTTTTTTGATTCGAAGTGAAAAAAATGACCAGTTTAAAAGACTATATTTCGAAAGAAAATAACGAAATTGTTGAACAATTTCGTTATTTTAATCGTTTGGATAAAATTTTAAAGAATTTATCGAAAAAATCTCAACATGAAGAAATGAAAATTTCTAAATTCTCGTTTGATGATGGTCACCAAGATGATGATGAAAACATTCCGGCCAAGAACAAACCTCCAGCCGATCATAAAACTGAAACATCGAGCAACCAAAAGGATGATGATCAAACGAAAACGAATCTGGATTTGGAAAAAATGCTAGAAAATTTGCCAATTTTGAACACACCAAAATCAGCACCGTCGAAACCATCACAAATGGAAAAATATCGCCAGGATTTACTCAAACAAATTCAAGAGAAAAAAATTTCCAAAAAAACCAATGAAGAATTGGAAAAAAATAAGGAAAAAATTTTACAAAATAAAATCAAACAACAACAAATATCATTATATTTAGAATATTTGGATGAAAGAAAAAAAATGAAGAATTTTATTCCAAAACAAAGACCACCATCATCATCAACAAAGATAATGATGGCTGAAAATGATCGAAAAAATGCAATACAAATGAAACAAAAATGTAAATCAGCTAAAGCTGATCATCATCGAAAACATGAAAAGGATGCAAATGAAAAAAATAATATAAATTCATTGAATGATAAAATGGACATTCCAAATGATGATGATAGTGGTGGTTGTGGTGGTGGTGAACAATCATCATCAAATGATTCATTGATGAAGATCCAAGAAAAAGGTTAGTTTGAAACAATGTTTTGTCATAAATTCGTTGATTGATTGATTTTTTCCATTAACAGAATCATCATCAACAACAAATATTTTAACCGATTTGAATGAAGTGCGAAAAATAATGCATAATGATCATTATGAATTGTTGGAAAAATTATTTGATTTGAATATCTAAATATATGATGAATGAATCGAATGAAATGTGAATCGATGAATGAAATGAATAAAGATGAATAAAATCATTTTTTGGATTTTGTTTTTTACAAATTTTCTCTTAAAAAATGTTGTTTACGAATAATGTCTTTGATTATGCGCGATTAATGCGTAATTTTCTTCTTTTAGTCTCGTGATGATCCTGGTTTATTATAAACATCATCATTAACGTTGTCGGCTATTTTTTCATCATCATTTTTAATTCGTTTATTCGTTGTTAATGATTCGGAATGATGTTCATCATTTGATGTACCATTTTGGTCATTGGTTGTCGAATCTTGATCGTCAAGTGGTCGTTTTATACTGACAATATTACCATTTTTAATATTATTCAAAGAATTTTCTGAATTTGATTTTTTAAATCGAACCAATATACATGTCATATTATCGCAACCAGATCCATCACCATCGGTACTTGGTGCCAAACATGTTTTGAATAACTGTCAAAAACAAAAAACAAAACCAAAATCAGTGAAAAATTCGATTCTATTTTAACACAAACCTCTGAACATATTTCTTTCAAATCATCCGTATCTTTCAATCGTTTTTGAATAAAATCCACAACTTCTTGACTATTCATTGAATTCCTTTAAAATAAAAAGAAAACATTAAAAATTTTCATAAGATTTTCATCAATCAATTTACCATATTCCATCACAAGCAAGGAAAAGAAAATCATCTTTTTCTTTATCAATAGGTAATGTAAGTATATCTGGTAATGCTGTTATCATTTGTTCCCTATCCGATACATTTGGATTATTTTTATACATATGATCACCAATAGCACGTGATAGATTTAAACCACCATTAACACGACCATCATTTGTAATTTCACCACCAGCATTAATAATTCGATCTTTTTCACGTTCATCTTCGGGTTTATGATCTTCAGACATTTGTATAGCTTGACCATTACGTGATAATACACAACGTGAATCACCAGCATTTGCAACATAAATTTTATCATTACATACAATGGCTACAATAGCTGTACAACCACTTCCTTTTCCTGGTTCATAATCCATATTGAAAACATTTTTCAAACCAGTTGCAATATCTTCACGACTATCAGGTACATCATCATCATCATCATCATCATCGTCGTCGAGATCTTCATCGTCATCTTCTTCATCATCATTTGATGATGAATCTCCGGGAGATTCACCATTCTCTTCTTCTTCTTCTTCATCATCACTTTCATCATCTTCTTCGTCATCTTCTTCATCAAGATAATCTTGTAAAAATGCTTTCAAAGTTTCCGATTTAAGTAGCAAACTATTTTTCTTTGCCATTTCTAATGATGACAATGGTTTGGACGATGATGACGACGATGAACTTTCTTTTTCATCAGAATTTTCTTCATTATTTCCATTTTGTATCTTTTCGCCATCTTTATGGTCGTCATGATCATCATCATCATTCGAATTTTCACCATAACGAATTTTAAAATTTCTGGCTATAATTTCCTCAATTGGAATGCTGGCTTCTTTTCTTAGTGTTGATGTTTCATCATCATCAATATCACTAATATCATTCAAATCGGCCAATTTTTTCAGCTCAGCTAATACATTTGGTTCTTTAAGTGTATTATCAAATTTTAAAAATGATTCTTCTAGCGCATCAGAAATTTTTTTCTCCTTATAAAATGATGATTTTTTAATAAAATCAGGTAGATTTTGTGCACAATATTTTGATATTTCATGACCACCATGTCCATCAAAAACAGCGAAGAATGCAGTACCATTATCGTCATAATTCAATATGGCAACATGTGCATCCTGTTTGAATTAGGTTTAAAAAAAAAATTTCAACAAAAATTAATCAATTTTTTTCAGAAAATTTATAATTACCTCTTGTGTTTTACGCCATCCTTGCATTTCGGCTGTACAACAAATAAATTGTTCATTTTCCTGAATCGAACTATCAATTTCGGTACGTGGTTTTGATAAATAGGATCCCATTTTTTTTTGCTGTTGATGATAAAGTTGACGAGATGAAACAAACCAAAATCAATTTAAATTGAAAATGCGAAAAAAAAAATTTTCAAACAAAAAAAGAAATTTTAGAAGAAAACCCGGCCTCACGAAAAAAGAAGAAAAAAATGTGCACACTTTGAGTCATTATTATAATATGGCTATATAGACACACAGTCCGTTCATATAAGACATTACGAAATGTTCTTTGAATGAAGCATGCAAGTTTTGCAAATATTGATCATTTGTGATGGAATTTTTTTTTGTTGTTTTTGAAATAACTTTTTTTTTGACATGCAATTATTTTGTTTAATTAATAATTTTCGTCGTTTAAATAGTAGATTAATAGCCATTAGAAATTTATATAACAACAACAGTAAATCAACACAAATTGAAACAGCTAAAATGTCTAAATTAAAATGTACACATTTACGTGATTTAAATCAAGAAACATTCAATCTATTTGAACGATTAATCAAAACGGATGAAATACAATATTTGAATGAAATTTTTCATTCAAATGGTTTTGAAATTGTAAATTATATTACCTTGTTTGATTATATAGATATTAATCTTTACTTACTTTGAAAAATCTTACTTTTCTTTTTTACCAAAGAGAATGGCCGGTGGTGCTGTACGTGATATTTTATGTCATATCGTTCCGAATGATATTGATTTTGCATCCGATGCTAAACCCGATGAAATGATTAATATTTTAAGGTATTTTCCTTTCGATTTGGATGAAATAAATGTTGAATGAAATGATTTTTTTAAAAAAACAAAAGTAACAAACCTGATATACGTTTAATAACGACACAATCCGGAACAAAACATGGTACAGTTACAGCACGTATACGTGATAAATCACAATATGAAATAACAACATTAAGAATCGACAGAAATACTGATGGTCGTCATGCTGAAGTTGAATTCATTAATGATTGGAAATTGGATGCATCGCGAAGAGATTTAACAATCAATTCAATGTTTATCGATATGAATGCAATGCTTTATGATTATTTTGATGGTGAACAGGATTTGAAAAATAAATCGATTCGTTTTGTTGGTGATCCGGATAAACGTATTAAAGAAGATTATCTTCGAATATTTCGTTATTTTCGTTTTCATACAAGATTTGGTACGGATGGTTTACATGACCGAAATGTTATTGAAATAATGCGTAATAATATTGAAGGATTAAAAACGATAAGCGGTGAAAGAATTTGGTCCGAAATGAAACGTATTTTGATCAATGTAAATTGTACGGATTCCATAAGAATGATGTTTACCGATCTGAAAATTGGAAAATATTTAGGTTTTATCAACGATATTGATTTGACAGAATTTTTTAAAATTCAACAAAATTTAATCCGTACCACTATGATATGGAAAGTTTCAACATTATTTGCATCATTAATTTGTGATTTAGATGAATTATCTTCGATTACATTACGATTGAAATTATCCAATATTGAACGTGATACAATTGCCTATATTATATCGAATCGTTTTGCCAGTAATGATGAATCAGGTGATGATAATGATCGAAAACAAAATCTTAAAATTCAATTAGCCATTGCACCAAAACCTAATCAAAAAAATTTAAAAGATTTTATTCAACAATTTCTTATCTATAAAGGATATGATGACGAATTCATTGAAGAATTACAACAATGGCCAATTCCGATATTTCCCTTTAATGGTACAATGATATTTGATAAAATTCAGAATAAAAAAGAATTAAAAATTATACTTGAACAAATACGTTTGAAATGGGCTAGGCAAAATTTTTCAATGTCACAAGAACAATTTTATAATGAAGTTGATAATATTATTAATCAAATAAGAAATAATCATGATTGTAAATAAAAATTTTTTTATTTGTAAAAAAAAAAATTTCAAAAATTACAAAATTTCAAATTTTTTTTTTTTTTGTTGAAAAAATTCATTCGAATTCGAATATTCGAACATTGTTGTTGTTGTTTCTGTATCTGTTGATGATTCGGCAGTTGCCATCATCGATGTTGTTGCTGTTGTTGTTGCTGATGTCGATGTTGTCAATGTTGATGATGTTGATCATCTTTTTTATTATTGGTCATCATTGTATTTAAAAAGAAAAAAGAAACAAGTAAAAATCAATTTAAATTCAATCACATTATTTTATTACCATAATTATGAAAATAATAATTTCTATTTTGTATTTTTTTGAAAATTATTCTTACCCATTACGGTTTACGTTTGTTTGATGTTTGATGTTTTACGTTTGTTGGTTTGATGTTTTTCGGTATTTGCTGTTTTGTTTTGTTCTTTTGATCTTATATCATTTCATATCCTATGAAATAAATCGCATCATCATCATCATCATCATCATTGTCTAAATGTACATTAAGAATTGATGAAAAAATTATTGAAGGAAAAAAAGCCATTTTGAATTTGATTTTTGTTTGAATTTTTGTTTTTTTTTTTGGATTGGCCGGATTCGATTAAAAAAAGGTTTTATTTTTTTTCTCTCTGAACAAAAATGATGGCTATTTAGGATGGATATGATGATAATTTTGTTGTTGTTGTTGTCGTTGTTGATGCTAATATATTGATGACTTTGGCGTCAAGGTTATCGATATTCAATATTTGCAATCCATCCATCCATCCACAATAACATAACAACGTAGCAGATCATATAGCATTAAAGTGCGCATGCATTGAGTTAGAGAACACTGAGCTCACTGAGAAAAATGAAGGGTGAAGAAGAAGCATAGAAAATAGTTACGAAAAACACGGACAAAACACGGACAAAATTTGTACAGCGAAAGTAAGATTTTGGAAGCATAGAAAATAGAAAGTAATCTGCATCAAAATCCACGTGACCAGCGTGAGAGCGAATATATCGATAGTTTCGATATTTTTTTGAATTGATCCAGATCCTCGATTGTTTTTTGAATTTCACTTAAATTTTATTTAAATTTTATAATTTGAATAAAATAAATTAAAAATATAAATTAAAGATTAAAATCACAAGTCCCAAATTGATAAAACGATCCAATTATGCGCCATGTGATGGAAGAGAGCCAGAGAATTCACGGTCATTGATGCCAATTGACTAATTTACATCCATTTTGATTATCTTCACTCGATTACCAATGTTCACTTTCATGATAATTGGATGATTTGACAATTTTGATGAATGTACGATAATATTGTTAACAAAGAGAATAAATGCGAATTTTTGTTGATTGAAACTTGATTAATTGTCATTTGTTCGGGATGATTCATCGATGATCGTCAATGTTTAGTTATCATCAGGTCGGAATATGAAATTTCAAACAAGAATTAGATTCAATGTTGTTGAAAATATTTGGAATTCATTTATCGTTTAATTGGTAATGATCCATCGATGATCGGCAATGTCGAGTTATCACCAGATCGGAATATGAAAATGCAAACAAGAATTAGAATCAATGTTATCAAGAATATTAAGAAGTAATTTACCGTTTATTCAATTGTCATTGATTGGTAATGATCCATCGATGATCGTCAATGTT